CGGCAAAATTGTTCTTGCATAAACCGAACAAGCATGAAAGACGGAGAGGTAAAAGTCAGCACTAAGTACAGAGTACAAAACAGGAACACTAAAGAAGAAGTCGCTCAATATGTATCGCTAAACCACACCGGCGGCCAACAGTATGAACTTCCCTCCATAAACGTTATAGTTTGAAATGGTTTTCCACAAACTGACCTCCGAGACACAGTCAATGAGTTCGTTTCTAAAATACGTCAAAGACAGATTGAAAGACGTTTTGTTCGTTTAATAACTCACCTAGACTAGAATACACGACTGGAGACTTACCGATTGCGGGCAATGACCACCAATACCAAAATTTTAAACTGTGAGACAAACTAATTGCTTGGTGCCGATCACACATTTCGACGGTCACGGGCTCATTCTCCCGGGGGCGCTAAATACGTTAAGCTATTGTTCGGGATTTAGTCGCAGAATCCATGAAGAATGAAAACATTAAATAGCAAGGAAAAGAAATTTTCATTATCATTGTGAAATGCGGAGTTTAAAGATGGTCAGCAACTCCCTTCTAGCAGTACACTTATTACGATCGTCGCGTGATTTCAAAATGTAACGCGTTCCAATGCTGCGTGACAATCACCAGAAAAGGACTTCACGGTACTGAAATAAAGATATTGAATTACGCAAAAAGCCAATGGAGAAACCAGAGTAACGAATCCTTCGGGATTTGATCGGCTCATTTGAAAAAGAGAGACAAAACCAAAACAAAGTTAAAGATGAAAATTACAGCGGAATGAAAAAAATAAAGGTTTAGCATGAGAAACCGCAGAATGAGAAACAAAGCTTTAATGTATTTACGAGTGAGGATCAATGAGCTATACTGGAAAACGAATTCCCTGTCTCTGGATCCTTCTTAGCTAAAACGACTAGCGAAGCAATAGTCCAAAATTTTAAGACGGGATCTTTCATACGAAGGAAATGTGCACTCACGTAGGCGTAAATGTGCACTCACGTAGGCATAATAATTCTTTATCGTAGGGCTTTTAGGAAGCAATAAAGGAAGATGGATCAAGGTTGATCTCGACTTTTAAAGGACCAGCATCCCACCCAGGGGGGATTAATGATACTCCTAGTTGCTTCATGCTAAGGAAACAGGGATAACTTCAGGCTGGGTGGGCCACTTGGCTCAAGTAAAGACAGTCTCCAAACTCATTGCGCAGGGCTGTTACCTGTCTCCGGCCGTCGACCACCACAGGACCCTTCCCAGTATAGATCTTTCTGGGGATTCGAAAGCCCCTTTAAAAATAAAGCGTTAGTTTCTTTTCGATCTTTCCGTGAAAATTGTACGTGACCGCCACAGAACTACACACAGTTCAGCCAATAGAGGTAGATTTCTTTTTCTACTGTCACTGTCACGCCAAAGTTTACAAAGAATGAGAATTGGTAACGAAAATATGTTCTAACTTCAAGTAGAACAAAATACGTTTCTTATTATTTCCTTCACTACTCGTCTAACTTCACTTATCTTCCAACAGTAAAGAACCGGGTTTAACGAAGAATTTAAATAAACCAGAGTCACCGTTGTCAACCAGGCAAGAAAATACGAAGGAGATGGTCTTCTGTTACCAATCAAAACTGTCATGATACTGTATGGTAGGTAACAGACAACTAATGCCAACTGAATCCACAGTGCGCTATACACTGCCTTTCTGTAACGCAGCATGTTTAGGGAAAAATAATGATTTGACTGCTGTTGGTGGTGTTGCTGCACATTGGTATGAACACGCATTTGATGCCGCCGTAGCGTAAAAAAGATCATTGTGTACGAGATGATGGAGATTGAGATACATAATGCTATGGTTACACGCCCGCACCAAAAAGTTATAAGATGACTCTCTAGGTACGATGCTGTGGCAATACCGGAAAACACCCAAATGGCAACAATGACCACATAAGTTCTCTTGCAGGTTACAATTTGCTTGTAACTAGAACCCAGCAACAGCGCGAGAAGTCGATCTACGCTTATTCCAGTCAATGTCAATAAAGATGCTGCTGCCAAAACATAGCCGACCAAAAATGACACGGCTTCTAAGAATCGACAAAGGTGCCAGTCCTCGTAAACCAGCGTCATTAGATAGGCAATATTAAGAGGTTCCACAATGATCCCAACACATAGGTCCGTTGTCGCTAAACAACGAAGCAAAAGTTTAGACGGCAGATGAAGAGAAGATTCTTTGCTAAGGGAAACTAAAATTAGTGTATTCCCAACACATGCTATTACGGAGAGGAAAATGTTGAACGCTGAAAGATAAATCAGGTGTTCGTGTATTTCTTTCGTCAAGCCTACTGGGCATCGCAAGTCTTGGAAAGCCACTGTTTGCTCTCCGTCTTCACTACCATTTCTCATTTCCAGAAGCACATTAGTTGATTGGCAGTAAAGGAAACCACTGTCAGAGCTTTGCAAGCAATTCAAAGTGGATGGAGACAGTATCCACTGATACCATTATGGTATCAGTGGAAAGACAAAGTATAGGATAGAAGCAATTTACGGTGCGGGAAGCAGCACTGCTGAAACACAACCCTCCTTAAGAACAACCCAAGATCGTTATGACGCTATTGATTAATTTTCCAAGGCGACACAATGAATTTAATTAGCCCCGTAATAGCTGCCATTTTCAATTTGTTTTAGAGATGTCATATTTTTGAGGAAATCCCCGACAAATATTCAAAGAGAGAATACAAATAATTTCCCTAAAGAAAAATCTTTATTTACTTTTTGTCTAAGATCAAGACGTACCTCAGTGCCGCAATAACAGAGGAGTTGTGGGAGAAGAATACGGTAGAGTTTCAATTTATGATAAAGTGTCATTGTAGCAAATTCGAGTAAAAATGTGTATGTTTTTTTAATAGGTGATCAAACGTGGTATCGAAAACAAATACAAATGTTTGAAATGGAAAGTAAAACTAATTACGAGTATAAAAAAACAGCAATAATAACGAGAAAAATTTCTAAAGAGAAGGTAAATTTCTAACGAGTAGTTTACTTACTGTGTGTAAACTTCAACTCAAATATTCCTGATGACCACATGACAACTAAGTTTCTAGCTGGCGGATCAGTCGAAAAAATTGAGGACAAGTTTTGGCGACATAAGCAACGATATTTCTCCTGATTTCTCCGGGAAAAAACGTAAAGCAAAATTTACGAAATCTGCAAGTTACCAGTCAACTTCGTTTTGGAAATCCTTTCGTTTCCAGAAATCCTTAAAAGAATAAGCTTGTTAATTATTTTTTGTGTGATCATGAATAATGATCAGCAACATCAAGAGAAAAATCATCGGACAGAGAGGGAAAATCAGGGCATTAGTCGGGGTATGTCGATTTCACTTAAGTTATTTTTAGCTTGAATTGGGGCGGAAAGCATTGTGGTTTCCTAATGTAGTTTCTTACTGCCGAAGTAAAAAAAACCCTTCTCGTCGCTGTTCCCCGATACATTAATCCCATTGTTTTCTCTTGGTTAAATGACTGACAGCAAAACTTCCTAAGCAGGCTTTATGTTGCTAAAGGAGTAGGCACTGATTGATATCGGGATAAATACAAAAGTAAATTTGTTCTCTGCAAGAGAATGCCAACTGTTGATATTCTCTTGGTTCCTGGTCAATCTGTTAAAAACTATCCAGAGCATAAAGGCCTTTAATCAAATTAGCTCTCATGGTAAATTATGATAAATCGAAATAGAAAGGAGAAAAGGTTTCGACGGATGAGAACAAAAATTAGATGAAATGCGTCTACGATCCCTCACCCAGATTTCTACCTAAAAAAAATGACTGTGCATCTTACAAAAATGATTCCAAACTTTTTCAAGTAGGTGCTGACGATAAGTGCTAATTTCTCCATTTTAATTTCATCCTTGTTGGTTGATTCTTATGTTTGTGATGAAGTAGATATCGATTGAATTTATTAAACAGACAAAAAAAATTACAAACCAAACCAGAGGAATCACAATCGCTAATCGGGACGAAGGAAATTCTCAAACGAAGCCAATAAGAACTTGAAGTAAAAACAAGCAAACAGCCTACACGATTGGTTTTACTTTTGTAGCTGATTGGTAGAGGGATTCTGCGAATTTTCTAGATCAATAACAGACCGTGGTGAGGCAAACCGAAGAAATCCTAGATATCTCTCCAAATTCAGTTGAATATTGCCCTGAAAATGTGGTTTCTAACCTACACTCTTTTTTAGAGATATGGAGCTGAAACCATTAAAACACATGTACATGAGTTCACTTTCCCGCCTTTTATTGACTAATAGCCATACCATGCTCTACGCGAAGGGCGATAATTCTCCTTGCTAGCGGAAAGACAACTCTTTCCATTATAGTGTCAAGTTTTTGGAAAACATAGACTCTGAGTTCAGCATGACATGACTGGGAGAATAACTATAAAACCATGATTGAGGTTAAAGGAACCAGGTGGAAAATTGGTTGACATAATTTTGCAAAAACTAAACTTTTGATAGAAGTCGTCACTGACTTTTGCTGATTATCGTTCAATCATGTTTAAATCTGATCAAACCTACCCCTACGTTTTCTTTATTTACGAACGTACATTCGTATTAACCTTCTGAATTTATTCACTAAAAGCACGCTCTATATCTATTTTTAAAACCTGTTATTTATAAGATCTGAGAGTTTACTTGCGCGCCTCCGAGTGGAGATATATCTTTGTTATTTTCTTCCTGATTCTCATTACTGAATATAGTGCTTTTCGATTAAGAGTCCTGATAAAAAAAACTTAAGCAATATCCGAGGGACAATCAGAAGAGAGGAAAAGCGCGGGAAAACGCAGGTGACGAAGTCCTGATTGGTGTTGGTTTTGCATCTGATTGGTTCAGAGAGAGGTTTTCTAAGTTTTCTAAGCCAATCTCAATTTAAAGAAAGTAAAACCAATGCAACTACGGATTACGTTCGACACTATTGAATATTGCTCTATCGAAGAATTTTAGAGATATAAACTAACGGTGAACTAACGCTTACGGCAAAGAAAAACGTATCTGATTGTCTTCTTTACTGCTTGTCTCACTTCACATATCTTCCAACAGTAAAGAAACGGGTTTAACGATGAGTTGAAGAAAACTAGAGTCACTGTTACTCCCCAAACAACCATGTACGTTAAAGATGCATTGCGCAACCTCATACGATTGAGCAAAAGTACAACTGTGCTGTATGGTAGATGACAAGCAACTAATGCCAGCTGCACCCACAATGCACTGTAAACTGCCTTCCTGTATCGCGCCATGTTCAGTGGGACTGCTTGGCTCGACTGTGCGTGTTGAAAACGGTCTTTAACTACCATTTGGTGACGATTTAATGTATAGAATATCTTCGTATACGATGCAATAGAGATAATCAAACCTATTGGTGTAAATATACGACTGCACCAAAAAACTATTCGGTAATCGATAACGTACGATCCTGCTGCGATAGAGGACACAATCCAAAAGATCGCTAGAATGAGATATATCCGCTTCAAAGTCACAGTTTCTTTGTATCTAAGCCCCAGTAAGAGGGCAATAAGTCTGTCAACGGCTATTGCAGTGAGAGTCAACAGAGAAATTGAAGTAAGTCCGTAACCAGTTACATAAACTGTCACAAGTAGGTATCGACAGAGAGCCCAGTGTTCATTATATACGGACATCAAGTAGGCAGCTTGGAGAGGTTCTACAATCAGACCAACGCAGAGATCAGTTGTTGCGAGACAACGATACAAGAGTTTGGACGGTGGATGAAGGGAAGAGTCCTTCCGAAGAGCAACTAGGATCAGAAAATTACCTATAACTGCAGTAATGGAAAGAAAAATATTGATTGCTGAGAGGTATAGCATGTATTCCTGATTTCCATTTCTCAATGTGCTGGAGCAAAGCAGTTCCTCAAATGATTCCTTCTGTCTTACATGAACCGTTAAGTTCAGTCCAGCCATGTTCTCTGTTTCGGTAAGTTTAAGACTTCTTATCACCCGAGGGTTTCTTTTATTGGTAAATTTATGTCTACGATTGCGTCATTACTTTATTTTTTCCAAAAATTAAACAAATGGATAAAGTGGGTGTACAATCGGTCCTCATTGCGTCTAATTATGAAGATGTATTAAGACTTTTAAAGGGAAGTACGCTAAAAATAGGATGCACATCTGGGGCTGTCATTCTAAGATCCTGGCTAAATATCTCCTTAATAATGTGACACTGGCTATGGCTATAGCGCCTTCTGATAAAAGTTGTCTTTCCTTACCCCTTTCTTAAAATGCTCATTCTACGAGTTAAATCAAGACAGTCAACAATACCAGGAAGGCATTAGTTCTCTGTTAAATATTGTTGGGATTTTCCACCAAGAAGACAACTGAAAGTTAACGCGTTTATGCTGCCAACCGATATTGGATCGTAAGTTCTGAAGAAGGCATGTGTTCTTTGAACTTAAAGATAATATTGGCCTGGATATATGAGAACTGTTTGGAGCCGTGGAAGAAAAACGCGTTGCTTGTTAGTGATCGACAATAACTGGTTAAAATGGAATATGATGAGTTTGGGAGATAAAGAGCAGAGTTCTTCGAAAGAAGTCGGTAATAGTTCGTAATTGAGAACTGGTCAGAAGCAACGCGAGGCGGAAAGAAGCTTTTAGCACGTTTCATTTGCTAGTTCGTTAAATACTCTTAATTGACATCAGCGGTTATAATTGCATGGAAATGTTCCTAAAGTTATTAACACTGACGACTAATTTCTATTCTCAAAGACAGCCAATAATCCCCCACAACAATTTATCTTGCCAGTCAAGGGATTTTGAAAATTGAAGGTTTTTAATTTCTTGCTTCCTTTCGCTCCCATACTATTAAATTGGGTTTAAGGGCATTTTCATTCTTTGAATAATCTAAATGACCTTGACATTGAATAATGAACGCTTTGCTGTAAATCAGCGCTAAGGATCAACAACAAAAACACAAAAAGCACAAAAACATCTGTGACTTTATATGCATTGATTTACAAAGTCCTTGTTGCCCATTGAAGAGACACATGAATGAATATTACGCCGCTTATAATCAGCGACTTATTTAAATACTTCCTGATCACTGAAAAAGTTCCGGGGTACATATGAACAGATATTACTTAAAAGCTGCATGATATTTTAAAGAAAGAAAATTAGCATGTTCACTTTATAAAGGACACGTCAAGAGCAGTATGAAGAATTTTAGAGTGAAATATGGAAAAAAAACTGTGCATCAAAACAGTGCCCGTTAAGTAGCATTTTCACACTTTATCCTTGTGATGGACATGGCATTTTAAGTAACATTTTCCCAACTGTCCGTATTTCATTTCTTTTCTTTTTTTCTTTTTTTTTTTTTTTTTTATTGTACCAGAGCACAGCTACTCTATTAAATAGATTCGATGATTTCCTGTGCACTTAGCCTATTTTTTAAGATCACTTTAAAGTAGAAGATATCTAGAAAATTGTCAAATTGGTAGAGAAGTAGTCTATAAAACCTCGCTGAAGAGCGTTTAAATGTCAATTGTGATGGAAGACTTGGGAATTCTAGTGTCAATTTGTCGGCGATGAGCGCCATGAGCAGAAACTGATGAAAAAAATGTTAGTTACTGTGTGTCAAGTGTGTTAATTTGGTAACATATCAATATCCATTTTTCCTAGCTGAACTATGTAGGCATAAATTACCGCATTGGACGCAAGCGGCAAACATACGCACGTGCACATGAAGAAACCACAATAAGCACGCTACTGATGATCAAATGATATTAAGTGCTTTCGGTATTGTTAGTTACCCGCGGTTTTCAGCTTGTAACTGCTCGCTGTAAGTTTAAGTACTACAGAAGCGTATTTAATCTTAACTAACTGCTTTGTCACTGGTTAAAAAAATGGCTTTCTGGGTGATACGATTCAATGTCACCATCGAAAATCTAGCATGGGATCTTTGCCGCAGCGTGAGATCTGCCTGCCTTGATTTAAAAGAATTATAATCGGTGGCAGTGCTTGTCGCTATGGAAACTGTGTTGTTTGCCCGGTAGCCACACGTGAATGGTGTATTACGTAATGAGCAAAAAGGAGTTATTTGTTGTTTTCTAGGTGAGTAACTCTTTGATGCTTTTTAGAAACCTGCCAGTCATTAATGGACTTAAAAGCCCCGTACCCTCTTTTTCACGACTAACATGCAGGTGGCGGTAAGTTTTTTCTTTATTCAGCAGTTCGCCGAAAATCCTCTTAGATGCGTAGTGCACCCGCTATTGGTTGTTCTATGTTTCGTGATCTGACGTGAGTGTATTCACTAAGATGTACAATAAAGTTTTGTTTTCCTAGATTTTTAAGTTGATATAGATAAAAATTGAACCTGTCTTTTACTGTCTTCTTTTAATTTTCATTTTAAATGGTTATATTCAATATTTCAAGTGAGTATATATGCCCCTTTTTATAACGACCCGTCTGCTTTTAGAGTTATTTTTGTCTGCACTAAGCCTTATGAGTTACATGTTTTTTCATTGCAATCATCACGTGAGAAATTGTGTCGTGTTGTTTCCTCACTTGCCAATGTCTTTGTTTCCAAGGCATTTGTTTCGTTGCGCTCAGGTTTAATAACAAATTTCGTATAATTATCACCACGAGACGAGTTAAGGTCCTATTGCCTTACTAATAAACTTTTTCCCGCTTCGAAAACGGTTTTGAAATATTTTTTGCCTTAAATGGACTGATGAGACGTTCAATGCGCATTTCTTCAATTACATCGTTTTCCCTGCTTCAAAACCGATTTATCTACGCACGCCGCGGCTTCAACCACAATTTTGCAATATTACGTACAAGATAGACGCTGTGAGCGTTTTGCCTTACTAGTTAAGATTTCTCATGGCCTACTTTTTAAACAGGTTTTTCTGCAAACGGGTATTATCAATGATACCTTTCAATTTAAGCAACACGACCACAGCTGCAAGAATAAATGCCTCCCTTGGAAAAAAGTGCATTATTTGCGAGGGTTCAGTAATAATTTTGTATTACTATGATATGAACAGCGTAGATATGAGGATATCTCCTTTTTTAACGATTTCTGTGTTTTTCTAAAAACACTTTTAGATACTCAAGGACTCGATGAAAACTTTGAGACTCTCTTAATTTCGGAGAGGCTGTGGATAAATTGCCTCCCTTCTTAATTTCAACCTGCGTCTTAACTGAGTAGTTTCAAAGCCTAACTAGAGTTTTAGCAGAACTTTTGAATTATTCTCAATAAAAGAAAAACATTGAGGGCATATCGCTTCAATTATTAACTCCTGTCACAGTTTTTACGCTAGAGGAGAAGAATATTCACGATGCTGTGTATGAACCTGAAGCAAGCCGGATATAAAATTTTCTTACATGCCCTCGGTCACTGAAGAGACAAGTTGAAGGAGGCAGGCGTCATCTTCATGTGAGGCATGGGCATGTGAGGCATGAGCATGTGAGGCATGTGTCATCTTCAGCTAGTGCAAGAGTATAAATGACGCTAATTCTGATAGAATAATAGAATGACCTTATTTATTTATCGTGTTAAAGTTACAACTTGTTTGTATCTCAGCCCAAGTATCAGCGCGAGGAGTCTGTCCACACTGATTGCAGTCAGTGTCAACATGGACACCAACGTCAAAGTATAGCCTGTTATGAAGGTCGTGTTAAGAGCATAGGGGCAAAGATTCCAATCCTTGTAAACCAGCGACAGCCAGTAAACAACTTGGAAAGGTTGTGCAATAATGCCAACACAAAGATCAGTGGCGGCCAGACAACGAAGTAGGAGTTTTGAGGGCGGACGAAGGGAAGATTCCTTCCGCAGAGAAACAAGGATTAGAGTATTTCCAAGAAAAGCAGTAACGGCCAAAAATATGTTAAGCGCTGAAATGGACGTCAATTCTCCGTGTATTCCGTTTGTCCAGCCTTCCAAGCACCGCAGTTGTACAAGTGTTTCAATTTTTTCATCTACACTTGAGTTTGCCTTTACCGTTATCGTCGCTCCATTATGTGTACATCATGTGAGGTTACAATGTTTATCTAGTTCTTAACTTACATCGCAAGCTAGGTCTCTATTTTTAATAGCTTTTCGCCTGTCGTTACGTATTCAAACATACGAGACAGAAATTTTAATCCAACAAACGATTTTTCTGGAATATGAAAAAATGGGCCAAAGCATGGTCTTCTACGTCATAGCTTTGATTGAAGCACGGCACCTTTTTTTTGTAAAATTTAGACGGGTGCGATATTTGACGTTTGGCAAATAAAGACAAAAGCTTCCTTTCTGGGATCCATATTTTTAGGAGAAAACAATCCCGTCTTCCAATTCAAGCTTTATTTTTCAAGTTCTTGAGCTTGCGAGAGACTGACGCTAGTAGTTGTCCTATCTGAACTTAGCCACCACGGCGCTCAAGAAATGATTCAGCTCCAGTCAGTTTACATGAGAGCGAACTGATCGCTCAACAAATTTTATCCTTCACCATATTTGGCAAACTTGCACTGTAAATCCAGTTAGGGCGGTCTCGGCGTATGCTTGTTTTTTACATAAATAAGGATACTTTCAAGTAGGATAAGTATTTTCATCGAAAAAGTCAAAAAAAGGAGAAGTAAACAGAAAAAAATGATCAGGAAAATATTGTTGATTCTTAAGGTCTAAAAAAACTTTCTGTATTCATTTAATTAACGTACGAGACGACCACCCACGACGAGTGTTAGAGCGTGCATTAACATTAAATACACGCCTAGACACTTCATCCCACTTTACTAGAAATTATTGCAATGAATCGATTCTATTTCTAAAGCTTATAAATTTTTTTTTTTATCATGAGTGTTTCATCTTTGTACCTGTGTTGGAGCCAGGAATTTGGACTCGTTATACTTAAACCAACCCCAGACTTTTTGCGAGCAAACATTCACATCATGTACGTATTATAAAATATCTCTCAAGGGCGACGATAGGTGAAGGCTTTAGTACCGGTTTGGAATCTACCCACTCATTTTTGAAGGACAATCGATTCCTCAAGATAAAAATGTCAGTGAATTATCATTCAAATATAGCTTTATTCCGGGAAGACTTGGAATCAGTGGTAAGATTTGCAGGATGTTTTAAATAGCAAAATAGGCAAGTCGCCCAAGGGATGGCTAGGGGCCACCCTGGCTTTTCAAACATGGTCTTTAGACTTCATAATCACACTATAACTTCAACTGTATTCTAAAAGTAAATGTACTGCTCGCTATATTTCCTTGTCAGCAACTCGTTTAATGATAAAATGAAAAAAAAAAATCTGAAGACATGTTTTTCTTAGTAAGTACGAATTTTTTTTCTTCCAACACCTAGTAGAAACATAATGAACCAGAGACGAAGTTGAAACGAAACGCAATGTGATTGCAGAGGGTTAAATTGATCACTGTCGCAATATCCGCCACCAAATCGAGCACAAATAACTAAAATCTAAATAATTTCAATTCATTTGCATTATTTCAGCAACAAGGATGAGTGAGAACAGCAAAAGCAAGACATGCTAGTTCCGCTCTCTTACTTTCAAGCGAACTATTTACTCTTTGACCCATAAGAGTGACTAGTATCTTGTTTCTCTTCACAGTATCATCCCCAAACCACACATTAAGGTTATACAATATATGATCACCAACAAAAGAAGCTCTTGATCGTTAAACAAATTCTTCAAGTCAGCACCATGCGTGGGAAATGTATAGAGAACTGTATGGAGAATATGCATACTGATATTAGGGTGTAAAGGGTTATTGGATAAACTTGGCAGATGCCTTAATCAATTTCTTCTGAAGACCTTTCCGCAATAGACTCCAGAACGTTTAATGATGGGCACATTTTTATTGATCCTTTTCAAAGTCTCAGAGAAACGTCAGTAGCCATGATGCTTGCTTAGAAGAAAAGCAAACTCTTTAAAAAGCATCCTCTGAAAAATTACACTAAAAAATTTACTTATGATTTGTGGAACAAAAAAGTTTCTGTTTTTTCTGGTCTTGGATGTATACTTCCTGCACAAACTTAGTGATCAGTGAAGATGACATAAAATGATTTGCAATCTTGATTGTTTATATCCCTAAAATTTGTGAAAATGAGTGCTTTTTTATTAATCGACATTGATAAAACTGCACATGCAACAAAGCGCTTGGCGAATTGTCTCTTTTACTACTTGTCTCACTTCAGCAATCTTCCAGCAATAAAGAAATGGGTTAAGTGATGAGTTTAAATACACTAATGAAACTGATGCTGCCCAAGCCATAAAATACGATGAAGACATTGTTATGTTACTTCGTAAGGCCATCACAACAAGATATGGAAGATAACAGAGAACCATTGCAAGCTGAACCCACACTGCACTATGCACTGCTTTCCTGTATCGCACAATGTCAAGTGGGACGGTTAACTTTAGATGTTCTTTCTGCACACGTTCATGAACTTCAGTTTGACGGCGACGAAGCTTGAGGAAAATGTAAGTGTATGAGACGGCCGTGATGGTAAGACAAAATGCTGTAGCAATACGGCCATACCAAATAGTGATACGGTGGCTTGCGAGGGACAATAGCGCAACGACACAGGAAACTAACCAAAAGGTGGTTATAACTGCATATGTTCGCTTTAATGTTACAACCTGTTTATACCTTAGCCCCAGTAAGAGAGCGAGAAGCCTGTCCACACTTATCGCAGTCAACGTTAACAAAGATACTGACGTCAACACGTAGCCTACCATAAAGTATGCACTTGCTGAGAACCGACAAACATCCCAGTCTTCATAAACCAGAGACATCCAAGAGGCAACATTAAGGGGTGCTGCAACTAGGCCAACACAAAGATCAGTTGTCGCCAAATTATGAAACAAAAGCTTCGACGGCGGATGTAGGGATGATTCTCTCCGAAGAGCGACGAAGATCAGAGTATTCCCAAGAACTGCAGCAATGGATAGGAAAATATTGACCGCTGATAAAGACATCAGATGTTCATGAATACCGCTTGTAAAATCTGTTGAGCATCGCATTTCTTCAAAGGACATATTATCTTTTGTATACTCAGTATGGTTTGTCATCGCCATTGTCCCTTGCAGAGAGGTTTCAGTGCATTCGCTCGAGCCGAAGAATAAGGTTTTCCTTATAGAAATGCTTGGGATAATTGTGAGAAATGAGTCAAACTTGAGGGTGAGATTCTAATTCCTGTTTCCATTTGCCGTCACGTCCGGATGAAAAGAGCCAAGTTTCGGTTTTCTTAGTTTTGCATTAATCACATACCACATAATTGAATATCTTCTTTAGATCTTAAGACCCTGAAGCGCATCATAACATTTGGATGCAACTGATAATGACGGAAGCTCCACAGCCGTATCAAAGGTAATGATTTCAGTTCCCGACATTTTCAATTCTTGTTTGTCAAAAATAAAACAAATGGATAAAGTGGGTGTACAATCGGTCGTCATTGCGTCTAATTATGAAGATGTATTAAGACTTTTAAAGGGAAGTACGCTAAAAATAGGATGCACATCTGGGGCTGTCATTCTAAGATCCTGGCTATATATCTCCTTAATAATGTGACACTGGCTATAGCTATAGCGCCTTCTGATGAAAGTTGTCTTTCCTTACCCCTTTCTTAAAATGCTTATTCTACGAGTTAAATTAGGACAGTCAACAATACCAGGAAGGCATTAGTTTTCTGTTAAATGTTGTTGGGATTTTCCACCAAGAAGACATCTGAAAGTTAACGAGTTTATGCTGCCAACCGATATTGGATCGTAAGTTCTGAAGAAGGCATGTGTTCTTTGAACTCAAAGATAATATTGGCCTGGATATCTGAGAACTGTTTGGAGCCGTGGAAGAAAAACGCGCTGCTCGTTAGTGATCGGCAATAACTGGTTAAAATGGAATATGATGAGTTTGGGAGATAAAGAGCAGAGTTCTTCGAAAGAAGTCGGTAATAGTTCGTGATTGAGAACTGGTCAGAAGCAACGCGAGGCGGAAAGAAGCTTTTAGCACGTTTCATTTGCTAGTTCGTTAAATACTCTTAATTGACATCAGCGGTCATAATTGCATGGAAATGTTCCTAAAGTTATTAACACTGACGACTAATTTCTGTTCTCAAAGACAGCCAATAATCCCCCACAACAATTTATCTTGCCAGTCAAGGGATTTTGAAAATTGAAGGTTTTTAATTTCTTGCTTCCTTTCGCTCCCATGCTATTAAATTGGGTTTAAGGGCATTTTCATTCTTTGAATATGCTAAATGACCTTGACATTGAATAATGAACGCTTTGCTGTAAATCTGCGCTAAGGATCAACAACAAAAACACAAAAAGCACAAAAACTCCTGTGACTTTATATACATTGATTTACAAAGTCCATGTTTCCCATTGAAGAGACACATGAATGAATCTTACGCCACTTATAATCAGCGACTTATTTAAATACTTCCTGATCACTGAAAAAGTTCCGGGGTACATATGAACAGATATTACTTAAAAGCTGCATGATATTTTAAAGAAAGAAAATTAGCATGTTCACTTTATAAAGGACACGTCAAGAGCAATATGAAGAATTTTAGAGTGAAATATGGGAAAAAACTGTGCATCAAAAAAGTGCCCGTTAAGTAGCATTTTTACACTTTATCCTTGTGATGGACATGGCATTTTAAGTAACGTTTTCCCGACTGTCCGTATTTTCTTTTTTTTTTTTTTTTGAAAAATTGTACCAGAGTACAGCTACTCTATTAAATAGATTCGATGATTTCCTGTGCACTTAGCCTATTTTTTAAGATCACTTTAAAGTAGAAGATATCTAGAAAATTGTCAAATTGGTAGAGACGTAGTCTATAAAACCTCGCTGAAGAGCGTTTAAATGTCAATTGTGATGGAAGACTTGGGAATTCTAGTGTCAATTTGTCGGCGATGAGCGCCATGAGCAGAAACTGATGAAAAAAATGTTGGTTACTGTGTGTCAAGTGTGTTAATTTGGTAACATATCAATATCCATTTTTACTAGCTGAACTATGTAGGCATAAATTACCGCATTGGACGCAAGCGGCAAACATACGCACGTGCACATGAAGAAACCACAATAAGCACGCTACTAATGATCAAATGATATTAAGTGCTTTCGGTACTGTTTGTTACCCGCGGTTTTCAGCTTGTAACTGCTCGCTGTAAGTTTAAGTATTACGGAAGCCTATTTAATCTTAACTAGTTGCTTTGTCACTGGTTAAAAAAATGGCTTTCTGGGTGATACGATTCAATGTCACCACCGAAAATCTAACATGGGATCTTTGCCGCAGCGTGAGATCTGCCTGCCTTGATTTAAAAGAATTATAATCGGTGGCAGTGCCTGTCGCTATGGAAACTGTGTTGTTTGCCCGGTAGCCACACGTGAATGGTGTATTACGTAATGAGCAAAAAGGAGTTATTTGTTGTTTTCTAGGTGACTAACTCTTTGATGCTTTTAAGAAACCTGCCAGTCATTAATGGACTTAAAAGCCCCGTACCCTCTTTTTTACGACTAACATGCAGGTGGCGGTAAGTCTTGTTTATTCAGCAGTTCGCCGAAAATCCTTTTAGATGCGTAGTGCACCCGCTATTGGTTGTTCTATGTTTCGTGATCTGACGTGAGTGTATTCACTAAGATGTACAATAAAGTTTTGTTTTCCTAGATTTTTAAGTTGATCTAGATAAAAATTGAACCTGTCTTTTACTGTCTTCTTTTAATTTTCATTTTAAATGGTTATATTCAATATTTCAAGTGAGTATATATGCCCCTTTTTATAACGACCCGTCTGCTTTTAAAGTTATTTTTATCTGCACTAAGCCTTATGAGTTACATGTTTTTTCATTGCAATCATCACGAGAGAAATTGTGTCGTGTTGTTTCTCACTTGCCAATGTCTTTGTTTCCAAGGCATTTGTTTCGTTGCGCTAAGGTCTAATAACAAATTTCGTATAATTATCACCACGAGACGAGTTAAGGTCCTATTGCCTTACTAATAAACTTTTTCCCGCTTCTAAAACGGTTTTAAAATATTTTTTGCCTTAAATGGACTGATGAGACGTTCAATGCGCATTTCTCCAATTAAATCGTTTTTCCTGCTTCAAAACCAATTTGTCCACGCACGCCGCGACTTCAACCACATTTTGCAATATTACGTGCAAGATAGACGCTGTGAGCGTTTTGCCTTACTAGTTAAGATTTCTCATGGCCTACTTTTTAAACAGGTTTTTCTGCACACGGGTATTATCAATGATACCTTTCAATTTCAGCAACACGACCACAGCTGAAAGAATAAATGCCTCGCTTGGAAAAAAGTGTATTATTTTGCGAGGGTTCAGTAATAATTTTTTATTACTATGGTATGAACAGCGTAGATATGAGGATATCTCCTTTTTTAACGATTTCTGTGTTTTTCTAAAAACACTTTTAGATACTCAAGGACTCGATGAAGACTGAGAGAGGCTGTGGATAAATTGCCTCCCTTCTTAATTTCAACCTGCGTCTTAACTGAGTAGTTTCAAAGCCTGACTAAGTTTTAGGAGAACTTCTGAATTATTCTCAAGAAAAGAAAAACATTGGGGGCATATCGCTACAATTATTAACTCCTGCCACAGTTTTTACGCTAGAGGAGAAGGATATTCACGATGCTGTGTATGAACCTGAAACAAGCCGGATATAAAATTTCCTAACATGCCCTCGGTCACTGAAGCCGGGACAAGTTGAAGGAGGCAGGCGTCATCTTCATGTGAGGCTTGGGCATGTGAGACATGAGCATGTGAGGCATGTGTCATCTTCAGCTATTGTAAGTGTATAAATGATGCTCATTCTGATAGAATAATAGAATGACCTTATTTATAGATAAAGAATGGATCGCGGAGTCTAATAAGACGAACTGAACAATGTGCTAAGTCGATAAGCAGCAAAGGAACTGTTTGATAGTCTCCTTTACCGCTTGTCTAACTGAACTTATCTTCCAGCAGTAAAGAAAAGGATTTATCGCCGAATTAAGATAAACACAAGTGACGGAAGAAACAAGAATAACAAAGTTTGCCGGAGACACCTTGCCATTCATCCACACACCCATTACACTGTAAGGCACGTAACATATAACCAATGCCAGTTGCAGCCATAGAGTACCGTACACTGCCTTTCGGTATCGACATAAATTCAAAGGCGCCGATTGATTTAGTTGCTGTCGTTGTCGAGGAATAATATGTATTTGATTCTGGTTGTGAAAAAGTGAGTGGAAAATTTTTGCATACGAGAAAGTGGTAATTACCAGACATGACGGTAAGGCAATATAGCCATACCACAGAGTAATCCTGTAATCTTTAAGGTACAATGTCCCAGCAAGCGTGGAAATAAACCAAAAAGTAATCACCACAGCATACGTTCGTGTTAAAGTTACAACTTGTTTGTATCTCAGCCCAAGTATCAGCGCGAGGAGTCTGTCCACACTGATTGCAGTCAGTGTTAACATGGACACCGACGTCAAAGTATAGCCTGTTATGAAAGTCGTGTTAAGAGCATAGGGACAAAGATTCCAATCCTTGTAAACCAGCGACAGCCAGTAAACAACTTGGAAAGGCTGTGCAATAATGCCAACACAAAGATCAGTGGCGGCCAGACAACGAAGTAGGAGTTTTGAGGGCGGACGAAGGGAAGATTCCTTCCGCAGAGAAACAAGGATTAGAGTATTTCCAAGAAATGCAGTAACGGCCAAAAATATGTTAAGCGCTGAAATGGACGTCAATTCTCCGTGTATTCCGTTTGTCCAGCCTTCCAAGCACCGCAGTTGTACAAGTGTTTCAATTTTTTCATCTACACTTGAGTTTGCCTTTACCATTATCGTCGCTCCATTATGTTTACATCATGTGAGGTTACAATGTTTATCTAGTTCTTAACTTACATCGCGAGCTAGGTCTCTATTTTTAATAGCTTTTCACCTGTCGTTACGTGTTCAAACATACGAGACAGAAATTTTAATCCAACAAACGTTTGCCGTCGTAAACTAAAATGACGGTGAGCGGAGAAATCCAATTTAGCACAGAGTTTGACGGGATTTTTAAAATATGTTTTTCGAGTATACTATCAACTTAAAGTAACTTTCTCGGAAGGTCGCAGTTTTTAGGTTCATTTCTATGCAAAATTGCGTTTGTCTGTTTATTATCCCAAAGTTATCATAGAGACGAATCATTGCAACAGCGAAATAGACAAGGTGGATTACTCCAGGCCTGGCATTTCCAATTTTAATTATTAAGAGTAAATACAAAAAAGAAAAGAAAAATGGATCAACGTTAGAACAGATGGCAAAAGATTATTTTAATATCACGATGTGTATTTGTTCTGCTAATCATTGTCCCTTCTTTTGGTTTTTTGAGTGGAAAAAAAAAACGGCCAGAGAGATGAAAACACTGTTGTGTCGCAAGCTAAGAAATACTTCACAGTAATAGCGTATTTAGATCTATTTACCTTTTCATAATAATTGTTTCGCCTCTTGTCACTTAGGTGCAGCCTTTTTTCGTTGACAACAGGTCAATGAATTTCTGTGATATTGTAAGAGTTTAAGCATTTTCTGAGTTCTCCTTTTGTAGTTTCCACACAAAGAACTACAAAAGACTAAACTCACGCCAAGTAAGCCATTTTTTAAGAAAAGGACAACAAACATCTGGCACCAACAGTTATCATAACCGCTGAGCAAACGTCTCTTTCTATGGGCTGTGCTGTTTTGTCAAGTGAATGAAAGCAAAGAAAACTGATTTGACTGTTCTCTCGCTCAACAAAGCAAAAGTTTTAAAAACATTTGTGCGTTCGCACCAACTGTATTGGAAGTGATTCGGCATGTGACAAAGTAAAACTATTTTCTTTGCGCCTGTGAAATAGACCAGGTGAAGGAAATCCTTGTTATAACTGCTCTTTTAAATTTAAGATGATTTGGATTCAAAGGTTTCGGAGATTTTTCTGGAATATGAAAAAATGGGCCAAAGCATGGTCTTCTACATCATAGCTTTGATTGAAGCACGGCACCTTATTTTGTAAAATTTAGACGGGTGCGATATTTAACGTTTGGCAAATAAAGACAAAAGCTTTCTTTCTGGGATCCAGAATATTTTTTAGGAGAAAGCAATCCCGTCTTCCAATTCAAGCTTTATTTTTCAAGTTCTTGAGCTTGCAAGAGACTGACCCTAGTAGTTGTCCTATCTGAACTTAGCCACCACGGCGCTCAAGAAATGATTTTAGTTCTAAAAAAGCAGCTCGAGTCAATTTATATGAGAGCGAACTGATCGCTCAACAAATTTTATCCTTCACCATATTTGGCAAACTTGCACTGCAAATCCAGTTAAGGCAGTCTCGGCGTATGTTTGTTTTTACATAAATAAGGATACTTTCAAGTAGGATAAGTATTTTCATCGAAAAAGTCAAAAAGGAGAAATTAACAGAAAAAAAATGATCAGGAAAAAGTTGTTGATTCTTAAGGTCTAAAAAAACTTTCTGTATTCCTTTAATTAACGTACGAGACGACCACCCACAACGAGTGTTAGAGCGTGCATTAACATTAATAACACGCCTAGACACTTCTTACCACTTTACTAGAAATTACTGCAATGAATCGATTCTATTTCTAAAGCTTATTGATTTTTTTTTTTTCATGAGTGTTTCATCTTTGTACCTGTGTTGGAGCCTGGAATCTGGACTCGTTATACTTAAACCAACCCCAGACTCTTTGCGAGCAAACACACACATCATGTACGTATTATAAAATATCTCTCAAGGGCGACGATAGGTGAAGGCTTTAGTACCGGTTTGGAATCTACCCACTCATTTTTGAAGGACAATCGATTCCTCAAGATAAAAATATCAGTGAATCATTATTCAAATACAGCTTTATTCCGGGAAGACTTGGAATCAGTGGTAAGATTTGCAGGATGTTTGAAATAACACAATAGGCAAGTCGCCCAAGGGATGGCTAGGGGCCACCCTGGCTTTTCAAACATGGTCTTTAGACTTCATATTTACACTATAACTTCAAATGTATTCTAAAAGTAAATGTACTGCTCGCTATATTTCCTTGTCAGCAACTCGTTTAATGATAAAATGAAAGAAAAATAATCTGAAGACATGTTTTCTCTCAGTAGGTACGAAGAATATTTTTCTTCCAACACCCAGTTGAAACGAAACGCAATGTGATTGCAGAGGGTTAAGTTGATCACTGTCGCAATATCCGCCATCAAATCGAGCACAAATAACTAAAATCTAAATAATTTCAATTCATTTGCATCATTTCAGCAACAAGGATGAGTGAGAACAGCAAAAGCAAGACATGCTAGCTCTGCTGTCTTACTTTCAAGCGAACTATTTACTCTTTGACCCATAAGAGTGACTAGTATCTTGTTTCTCTTCACAGTATCATCTCCAAACCACACATTAAGGTTATATGAATAAAGGGAATGATCACTAACTAAACAAGCTCTTGATTGTTAAACAAATTCTTCAAGTCAGCACTTAAGGAAATGTATAGAGAACTGTATGGAGAATATGCATACTGATATTAGGGTGTAAAGGGTTATTGGATAAACTTGACAGATGCCTTAATCAATTTCATCTGAAGACCTTTCCGCAATAGACTCCAGAACGTTTAATGATGAGCACATTTTTATTGATCCTTTTCAAAGACTCAGAGAAACGTCAGTAGCCATGATGCTTGCTTAGAAGAAAAGCTAACTCTTTAAAAAGCATCCTCTGAAAAATTACACTAAAAAATTTACTTATGATTTGTGGAACAAAACAATTTCTGTTTTTTCTGGTCTTGGATGTATACTTCGTGCACAAACTTAGTGATCAGTGAAGATGACATGAAATGATTTGCAATCTTGATTGTTTATATCCCTAAAATTTGTGAAAATTAGTGCTTTTTTATTAATCGACATTGATAAAACTGCACATGCAACAAAGCGCTTGGCGAATTATCTCTTTTACTACTTGTCTCACTTCAGCAATCTTCCAGCAATAAAGAAATGGGTTAAGTGATGAGTTTAAATACACTAATGAAACTGATGCTGCCCAAGCCAGAAAATACGATGAAGACATTGTTATGTTACTTCGTAAGGCCATCACAATAAGATATGGAAGATAACAGAGAACCATTGCAAGCTGAACCCACACTGCACTATGCACTGCTTTCCTGTATCGCACAATGTCAAGTGGGACGGTTAACTTTAGATGTTCTTGCTGCACACGTTCATGAACTTCAGTTTGACGGCGACGAAGCTGGAGGAAAATGTAAGTGTACGAGACGGCTGTGATCGTAAGACAAAATACTGTAGCAATACGGCCATACCAAATAGTGATACGGTGGCTTGCGAGGAACAATAGCGCAACGACACAGGAAACTAACCAAAAGGTGGTTATAACTGCATATGTTCGCTTTAATGTTACAACCTGTTTATACCTTAGCCCCAGTAAGAGAGCGAGAAGCCTGTCCACACTTATCGCAGTCAACGTTAACAAAGATACTGACGTCAACACGTAGCCTACCATAAAGGATGCACTTGCTGAGAACCGACAAACATCCCAGTCTTCATAAAGCAGAGACATCCAAGAGGCAACATTGAGGGGTTCTGCAATTAGGCCAACACAAAGATCAGTTGTCGCCAAATTATGAAACAAAAGCTTCGACGGCGGATGTAGGGATGATTCTCTCCGAAGAGCGACGAAGATCAGAGTATTCCCAAGAACTGCAGCAATGGATAGGAAAATATTGACCGCTGATAAAGACATCAGATGTTCATGAATACCGCTTGTAAAATCTGTTGAGCATCGCAGGTCTTCAAAGGACAAATTATCTTTTCTATACTCAGTATGGTTTGTCATCGCCATTGTCCCTTGCAGAGAGGTTTCAGTGCATTCGCTCAAGCCGAAGAATACGGTTTTCCTTATAGAAATGCTTGGGATAATTGTGTAAGTAGAAAGTATTACGGAAGCCTATTTAATCTTAACTAGTTGCTTTGTCACTGGTTAAAAAAAATGGCTTTCTGGGTGATACAATTCAATGTCACCATCGAAAATCTAATATGGGATCTTTGCCGCAGCGTGAGATCTGCCTGCCTTGATTTAAAAGAATTATAATCGGTGGCAGTGCCTGACGCTATGGAAACTGTGTTGTTTGCCAGGTAGCCACACGTGAATGGTGTATTAGGTAATGAGCAATAAGGAGTTATTTGTTGTTTTCTAGGTGACTAACTCTTTGATGCTTTTTAGAAACCTGCCAGTCATTAATGGACTTAAAAGCCCCGTACCCTCTTTTTTACGACTAACATGCAGGTGGCGGTAAGTCTTGTTTATTCAGCAGTTCGCCGAAAATCCTTTTAGAGGCATAGTGCACCCGCTAATGGTTGTTCTATGTTTCGTGATCTGACGTGAGTGTATTCACTAAGATGTACAATAAAGTTTTGTTTTCCTAGATTTTTAAGTTGATATAGATAAAAATTGAACCTGTCTTTTACTGTCTTTTAATTTTCATTTTGAACGGTTATATTCAATATTTCAAGTGAGTATATATGCCCCTTTTTATAACGATTCGTCTGCTTTTAAAGTTATTTTTATCTGCACTAAGCCTCATGAGTTACATGTTTTTTCATTGCAATCATCACGAGAGAAATTGTGTCGTGTTGTTTCTCACTTGCCAATGTCTTTGTTTCCAAGGCATTTGTTTCGTTGCGCTGAGGTCTAATAACAAATTTCGTATAATTATCACCACGAGACGAGTTAAGGTCCTATTGCCTTACTAATAAACCTTTTCCCGCTTCTAAAACAGTTTTAAAATATTTTTTGCCTTAAATGGACTGATGATACGTTGAATGCGCATTTCTTTAAGAACATCGTTTTCCCTGCTTCAAAACCGATTTATCTACGCACGCCGCAGCTTCAACAACAATTTTGCAATATTACGTACAAGATAGACGCTTTGAGCGTTTTGCCTTACTAGTAAAGATTTCTCATGGCCTACTTTTAAACAGGTTTTTCTGCACACAGGTATTATCAATAATACCTTTCAATTTCAGCAACACGACCACAGCTGCAAGAATAAATGCCTCGCTTGGAAAAAAGTGTATTATTTGCGAGGGTTCAGTAATAATTTTCTATTACTATGATATGAATAGCGTAGATATGAGGATATCTCCTTTTTTAACGATTTCTGTGTTTTTCTAAAAACACTTTTAGATACTCAAGGACTCGGTGAAGACTTTGAGACTCTCTTAATTTCGGAGAGGCTGTGGATAAATTGCCTCCCTTCCTAATTTTAACCTGCGTCTTAACTGAGTAGTTTCTAAGCCTGACTAGAGTTTTAGGAGAACTTTTGAATTATTCTCAATAAAAGAAAAACATTGAGGGCATATCGCTTCAATTATTAACTCCTGTCACAGTTTTTACGCTAGAGGAGAAGGATATTCACGATGCTGTGTATGAACCTGAAACAAGCCGGATATAAAATTATCTTACATGCCCTCGGTCACTGAAGAGACAAGTTGAAGGAGGCAGGCGTCATCTTCATGTGAGGCATGGGCATGTGAGACATGAGCATGTGAGGCATGTGTCATCTTCAGCTAATGCAAGAGTATAAATGATGCTACTTCTGATAGAATAATAGAATGACCTTATTTATTTATCGTGTTAAAGTTACAACTTGTTTGTATCTCTTGTATCCAAGTATCAGCGCGAGGAGTCTGTCCACACTGATTGCAGTCAGTGTCAACATGGACACCGACGTCAAAGTATAGCCTGTTATGAAAGTCGTGTTAAGAGCATAGGGACAAAGATTCCAATCCTTGTAAACCAGCGACAGCCAGTAAACAACTTGGAAAGGCTGTGCAATAATGCCAACACAAAGATCAGTGGCGGCCAGACAACGAAGTAGGAGTTTTGAGGGCGGACGAAGGGAAGATTCCTTCCGCAGAGAAACAAGGATTAGAGTATTTCCAAGAAATGCAGTAACGGCCAAAAATATGTTAAGCGCTGAAATGGACGACAATTCTATGTGTATTCCGTTTGTCCAGCCTTCCAAGCACCGCAGTTGTACAAGTGTTTCAATTTTTTCATCTACACTTGAGTTTGCCTTTACCGTTATCGTCGCTCCATTATGTTTACATCATGTGAGGTTACAATGTTTATCTAGTTCTTAACTTACATCGCAAGCTAGGTCTCTATTTTTAATAGCTTTTCACCTGTCGTTACGTATTCAAACATACGAGACAGAAATTTTAATCCAACAAACGATTTTTCTGGAATATGAACAAATGGGCCAAAGCATGGTCTTCTACGTCATAGCTTTGATTGAAGCACGGCACCTTTTTTTGTAAAATTTAGACGGGTGCGATATTTGACGTTTGGCAAATAAAGACAAAAGCTTCCTTTCTGGGATCCATATTTTTAGGAGAAAACAATCCCGTCTTCCAATTCAAGCTTTATTTCTCAAGTTCTTGAGCTTGCGAGAGACTGACGCTTGTAGTTGTCCTATCTGAACTTAGCCACCACGGCGCTCAAGAAATGATTCAGCTCGAGTCAGTTTACATGAGAGCGAACTGATCGCTCAACAAATTTTATCCTTCACCATATTTGGCAAAATTGCACTGTAAATCCAGTTAAGGCAGTCCCAGCGTATGCTTGTTTTTACATAAATAAGGATGCTTTCAAGTAGGATAAGTATTTTCATCGAAAAAGTCAAAAAAAGGAGAAGTGAACAGAAAAAAATGATCAGGAAAATATTGTTGATTCTTAAGGTCTAAAAAAACCTTTCTGTATTCCTTTAATTAACGTACGAGACGACCACCCACGACGAGTGTTAGAGCGTGCATTAACATTAAATACACGCCTAGACACTTCTTCCCACTTTACTAGAAATTATTGCAATGAATCGATGCTATTTCTAAAGCTTATTAATTTTTTTTTTTTTTATCATGAGTGTTTCATCTTTGTACCTGTATTGGAGCCAGGAATCTGGACTCGTTATACTTAAACCAACCCCAGACTCTTTGCGAGCAAACATTCACATCATGTACGTATTATAAAATATCTCTTTCAAGGGCGACGATAGGTGAAGGCTTTAGTACCGGTTTGGAATCTACCCACTCACTTTTGAAGGACAATCGATTCCTCAAGATAAAAATATCAGTGAATTATCATTCAAATATAGCTTTATTCCGGGAAGAATTGGAATCAGTGGTAAGATTTGCAGGATGTTTTAAATAGCAAAATAGGCAAGTCGCCCAAGGGATGGCTAGGGGCCACTCTGGCTTTTCAAACATGGTCTTTAGACTTCATAATCACACTATAACTTCAACTGTATTCTAAAGTAAATGTACTGCTCGCTATATTTCCTTGTCAGCAACTCGTTTAATGATAAAATGAAGAGAAAAAAAATCTGAAGACATGTTTTCTCTTAGTAAGTACGAAGAATTTTTTTCTTCCAACACCTAGTAGAAACATAATGAACCAGAGACGATGTAGTTGAAACGAAACGGAATGTGATTGCAGAGGGTTAAATTGATCACTGTCGCAATATCCGCCACCAAATCGAGCACAAATAACTAAAATCTAAATAATTTCAATTCATTTGCATCATTTCAGCAACAAGGATGAGTGAGGACAGCAAAAGCACAACAAGCTGGTTCCGCTCTCTTGCTTTCAAGCGAACTATTTACTCTTTGACCCATAAGAGTGACTAGTATCTTGTTTCTCTTCACAGTATCATCCCTAAACCACACATTAAGGTTATATGAATAAAGGAAATGATCACCAACTAAACAAGCTCTTGATTGTTAAACAAATTCTTCAAGTCAGCACCATGCCTGGGAAATGTATAGAGAACTGTATGGAGAATATGCATACTGATATTAGGGTGTAAAGGGTTATTGGATAAACTTGGCAGATGCCTTAATCAATTTCATCCGAAGACCTTTCCGCAATAGACTCCAGAACGTTTAATGATGGGCACATTTTTATTGATCCTTTTCAAAGACTCAGAGAAACGTCAGTAGCCATGATGCTTGCTTAGAAGAAAAGCTAACTCTTTAAAAAGCATCCTCTGAAAAATTACACTAAAAAATTTACTTATGATTTGTGGAACAAAACAATTTCTGTTTTTTCTGGTCTTGGATTATACTTCGTGCACAAACTTAGTGATCAGTGAAGATGACATGAAATGATTTGCAATCTTGATTGTTTATATCCCTAAAATTTGTGAAAATGAGTGCTTTTTTATTAATCGACATTGATAAAACTGCACATGCAACAAAGCGCTTGGCGAATTATCTCTTTTACTACTTGTCTCACTTCAGCAATCTTCCAGCAATAAAGAAATGGGTTAAGTGATGAGTTTAAATACACTAATGAAACTGATGCTGCCCAAGCCATAAAATACGATGAAGACATTGTTATGTTACTTCGTAAGGCCATCACAACAAGATATGGAAGATAACAGAGAACCATTGCAAGCTGAACCCACACTGCACTATGCACTGCTTTCCTGTATCGCACAATGTCAAGTGGAACGGTTAACTTTAGATGTTCTTGCTGCACACGTTCATGAACTTCAGTTTGACGGCGACGAAGCTGGAGGAAAATGTAAGTGTACGAGACGGCTGTGATCGTAAGACAAAATACTGTAGCAATACGGCCATACCAAATAGTGATACGGTGGCTTGCGAGGAACAATAGCGCAACGACACAGGAAACTAACCAAAAGGTGGTTATAACTGCATATGTTCGCTTTAATGTTACAACCTGTTTATACCTTAGCCCCAGTAAGAGAGCGAGAAGCCTGTCCACACTTATCGCAGTCAACGTTAACAAAGATACTGACGTCAAAACGTAGCCTACCATAAAGGATGCACTTGCTGAGAACCGACAAACAGCCCAGTCTTCATAAAGCAGAGACATCCAAGAGGCAACATTGAGGGGTTCTGCAATTAGGCCAAGACAAAGATCAGTTGTCGCCAAATTATGAAACAAAAGCTTCGACGGCGGATGTAGGGAAGATTCTCTCCGAAGAGCGACGAAGATCAGAGTATTCCCAAGAACTGCAGCAATGGATAGGAAAATATTGACCGCTGATAAAGACATCAGATGTTCATGAATACCGCTTGTAAAATCTGTTGAGCATCGCAGTTCTTCAAAGGACAAATTATCTTTTCTATACTCAGTATGGTTTGTCATCCCCATTGTCCCTTGCAGAGAGGTTTCAGTGCATTCGCTCGAGCCGAAGAATAATTAGTTATTGCCGAAGTGATCGGCAATAACTGGTTAAAATGGAATATGATGAGTTTGGGAGATAAAGAGCAGAGTTCTTCGAAAGAAGTCGGTAATAGTTCGTAATTGAGAACTGTTTAGAAGCAACGCGAGGCGGAAAGAAGCTTTTAGCACGTTTCATTTGCTAGTTCGTTAAATACTCTTAATTGACATCAGCGGTCATAATTGCATGGAAATGTTCCTAAAGTTATTAACACTGACGACTAATTTCTGTTCTCAAAGACAGCCAATGAATTTTAATAGCCATCATTTTTCCTTGCTGAACTATGTAGGCATAAATTACTGCATTGGACGTAAGCGGCAAACATACGCACGTGCACATGAAGAAACCACAATAAGCACGCTACTAATGATCAAATGATATTAAGTGCTTTCGGTATTGTTAGTTACCCGCGGTTTTCAGCTTGTAACTGCTCGCTGTAAGTTTAAATATTACGGAAGCCTATTTAATCTTAACTAGTTGCTTTGTCACTGGTTAAAAAAATGGCTTTCTGGGTGATATGATTCAATGTCACCATCGGAAATAAAATATGGGATCTTTGCCGCAGCGTGAGATCTGCCCGCCTTGATTTAAAAGAATTATAATCGGTGGCAGTGCCTGTCGTGGTGGAAACTGTGTTGTTTGCCCGGTAGCCACACGTGAATGGTGTATTACGTAATGAGCAAAAACGAGTTATTTGTTGTTTTCTAGGTGACTAACTCTTTGATGCTTTTTAGAAACCTGCCAGTCATTAATGGACTTAAAAGCCCCGTACCCTCTTTTTTACGACTAACATGCAGGTGGCGGTAAGTCTTGTTTATTCAGCAGTTCGCCGGAAATCCTCTTAGATGCGTAGTGCACCCGCTATTGGTTGTTCTATGTTTCGTGATCTGACGTGAGTGTATTCACTAAGATGTACAATAAAGTTTTGTTTTCCTAGATTTTTAAGTTGATCTAGATAAAAATTGAACCTGTCTTTTACTGTCTTCTTTTAATTTTCATTTTAAATGGTTATATTCAATATTTCAAGTGAGTATATATGCCCCTTTTTAAAACGACCCGTCTGCTTTTAAAGTTATTTTTATCTGCACTAAGCCTCATGAGTTACATATTTTTTCATTGCAATCATCACGAGAGAAATTATGTCGTGTTGTTTTCTCACTTGCCAATGTCTTTGTTTCTAAGGCATTTGTTTCGTTGCGCTAAGGTCTAATAACAAATTTCGTATAATTATCACCACGAGACGAGTTAAGGTCCTATTGCCTTACTAATAAACTTTTTCCCGCTTCTAAAACGGTTTTACAATATTTTTTGCCTTGAATGGACTGATGAGACGTTCAATGCGTCCACGCACGCCGCGGCTTCAACCACAATTTTGCAATATTACGTACAAGATAGACGCTTTGAGCGTTTTGCCTTACTAGTTAAGATTTCTCATGGCCTACTTTTTAAACAGGTTTTTCTGCACACGGGTACTATCAATGATACCTTTCAATTTAAGCAACACGACCACAGCTGCAAGAATAAATGCCTCGCTTGGAAAAAAGTGTATTATTTGCGAGGGTTCAGTAATAATTTTCTATTACTATGATATGAACAGCGTAGATATGAGGATATCTCCTTTTTTAACGATTTCTGTGTTTTTCTAAAAACACTTTTAGATACTCAAGGACTCGATGAAGACTTTGAGATTCTCTTAATTTGAGAGAGGCTGTGGATAAATTGCCTCCCTTCTTAATTTCAACCTGCGTCTTAACTGAGTAGTTTCAAAGCCTGACTGAGTTTTAGGAGAACTTCTGAATTATTCTCAAGAAAAGAAAAACATTGGGGGCATATCGCTACAATTATTAACTCCTGTCACAGTTTTTACGCTAGAGGAGAAGGATATTCACGATGCTGTGTATGAACCTGAAACGAGCCGGATATAAAATTTCCTAACATGCCCTCGGTCACTGAAGCCGGGACAAGTTGAAGGAGGCAGGCGTCATCTTCATGTGAGGCATGAGTATGTGAGGCATGAGCATGTGAGGCATGTGTCATCTTCAGCTTGTGTAAGTGTATAAATGATGCTTATTCTGATAGAATAATAGAATGACCTTATTTATAGATAAAGAATGGATCGCGGAGTCTAATAAGACGAACTGAACAATGTGCTAAGTCGATAAACAGCAAAGGAACTGTTTGATAGTCTCCTTTACCGCTTGTCTAACTGAACTTATCTTCCAGCAGTAGAGAAAAGGATTTATCGCCGAATTAAGATAAACACAAGTGACGGAAGAAACAAGAATAACAAAGTTTGCCGGAGACACCTTGCCATTCATCCACACACCCATTACACTGTAAGGCACGTAACATATAACCAATGCCAGTTGCAGCCATAGAGTACCGTACACTGCCTTTCGGTATCGACATAAATTCAAAGGCGCCGATTGATTTAGTTGCTGTTGTTGTCGAGGAATGATATGTATTTGATTCTGGTTGTGAAAAATTGAGTGGAAAATTTTTGCATACGAGAAAGTGGTAATTACCAGACATGACGGTAAGGCAATATAGCCATACCACAGAGTAATCCTGTAATCTTTAAGGTACAATGTCCCAGCAAGCGTGGAAATAAACCAAAAGGTAATCACCACGGCATATGTTCGTGTTAAAGTTACAACTTGTTTGTATCTCAGCCCAAGTATCAGCGCGAGGAGTCTGTCCACACTGATTGCAGTCAGTGTTAACATGGACACCGACGTCAAAGTATAGCCTGTTATGAAAGTCGTGTTAAGAGCATAGGGACAAAGATTCCAATCCTTGTAAACCAGCGACAGCCAGTAAACAACTTGGAAAGGTTGTGCAATAACGCCAACACAAAGATCAGTGGCGGCCAGACAACGAAGTAGGAGTTTTGAGGGCGGACGAAGGGAAGATTCCTTCCGCAGAGAAACAAGGATTAGAGTATTTCCAAGAAATGCAGTAACGGCCAAAAATATGTTAAGCGCTGAAATGGACGTCAATTCTCCGTGTATTCCGTTTGTCAAGCCTTCCAAGCACCGCAGTTGTACAAGTGTTTCAATTTTTTCATCTACACTTGAGTTTGCCTTTACCATTATCGTCGCTCCATTATGTGTACATCATGTGAGGTTACAATGTTTATCTAGTTCTTAACTTACATCGCGAGCTAGGTCTCTATTTTTAATAGCTTTTCACCTGTCGTTACGTATTCAAACATACGAGACAGAAATTTTAATCCAACAAACCTTTGCCGTCGTAAACTAAGATGACGGTGAGCGGAGAAATCCAAATTAGCATAGAGTTTGACGGGATTTTTAAAATATGTTTTTCGAGTATACTATCAACTTAAAGTAACTTTCTCGGAAGGTCTCAGTTTTTATTTTTTTCATTTCTCTGCAATTGCAAAATTGCGTTTGTCTGTTTATTATCCCAAAGGTATCAAAAAGAGGTATCATTGCAACAGCGAAATGGACAAGGTGGATTACTCGAGGCCTGACATTTCCAATTTTAGTTATTAAGAGTAAATACAAAAAAGAAGAGAAAATGGATCAACGTCAGAACAGATGGCAAAAGATTATTTTAATATCACGATGTGTATTTGTTCTGCTAATCATTGTCCCTTCTTTTGGTTTTTTGAGTGGAAAAAAAAAAAACTGCCAGAGACATGAAAACACTGTTGTGTCGCAAGCTAAGAAATACTTCACAGTAATAGCGTATTTAGACCTTTTTACCTTTTCATAATAATTGTTTCGCCTCTTGTCACTTAGGTGCAGTCTTTTTTCGTTGACAACAGGTCAATGAATTTTTGTGATATTGTAAGAGTTTAAGCATTTTCTGAGTTCTCCTTTTTTAGTTTCCACACAAAGAACTACAAAAGACTAAACTCACGCCAAGTAAGCCATTTTTTAAGAAAAGGACAACAAACATCTGGCATCAACAGTTATCATAACCGCTGAGCAAACGTGTCTTTGTATGGGCTGTACTGTTTTGTCAAGTGAATGAAAGCAAAGAAAACTGATTTGACTGTTCTCTCTCTCAACAAAGCAAAAGTTTTAAAAACATTTGTGCGTTCGCACCAACTGTATTGGAAGTGATTCGGCATGTGACAAAGTAAAACTATTTTCTTTGCGCCTGTGAAATAGACCAGGTGAAGGAAATCCTTGTTATAACTGCTCTTTTAAATTTAAGATGATTTGGATTCAAAGGTTTCGGAGATTTTTCTGGAATATGAAAAAATGGGCCAAAGCATGGTCTTCTACGTCATAGCTTTGATTAAAGCACGGCACCTTATTTTGTAAAATTTAGACGGGTGCGATATTTAACGTTTGGCAAATAAAGACAAAAGCTTTCTTTCTGGGATCCATATTTTTTAGGAGAAAGCAATCCCGTCTTCCAATTCAAGCTTTATTTTTTAAGTTCTTGAGCTTGCGAGAGACTGACGCTAGTAGTTCTCCTATCTGAACTTAGCCACCACGGCGCTCAAGAAATGATTTTAGTTCTAAAAAAGCAGCTCGAGTCAATTTATATGAGAGCGAACTGATCGCTCAACAAATTTTACCAACCCCAGACCCTTTGCGAGCAAACACACACATCATGTACGTATTATAAAATATCTCTCAAGGGTGACGATAGGTGAAAGCTTTAGTACCGGTTTGGAATCTACCCACTCATTTTTGAAGGACAATCGATTCCTCAAGATAAAAATATCAGTGAATCATTATTCAAATACAGCTTTATTCCGGGAAGACTTGGAATCAGTGGTAAGATTTGCAGGATGTTTGAAATAGCACAATAGGCGAGTCGCCCAAGGGATGGCTAGGGGCCACCCTGGCTTTTCAAACATGGTCTTTAGACTTCATAATCACACTATAACTTCAAATGTACTCTAAAAGTAAATGTACTGCTCGCTATATTTCCTTGTCAGCAACTCGTTTAATGATAAAATGAAGAGAAAAAAAATCTGAAGACATGTTTTCTCTCAGTAGGTACGAAGAATTTTTTTCTTCCAACACCCAGTAGAAACAAAACGCAATGTGATTGCAGAGGGTTAAATTGATCACTGTCGCAATATCCGCCACCAAATCGAGCACAAATAACTAAAATCCAACAACAAGGATGAGTGAGGACAGCAAAAGCACAACAAGCTGTTTCCGCTCTCTTGCTTTCAAGCGAACTATTTACTCTTTGACCCATAAGAGTGAATAGTATCTTGTTTTTTCTTCACAGTATCATCCCCAAACCACACATTAAGGTTATATGAATAAAGGGAATGATCACCAACTAAACAAGCTCTTAATTGTTAAACAAATTCCTCAAGTCAGCACCATGCGTGGGAAATGTATAGAGAACTTTATGGAGAATATGCATACTGATATTAGGGTGTAAAGGGTTATTGGATAAACTTGGCAGATGCCTTATTCAATTTCATCTGAAGACCTTTCCGCAATAGACTCCAAAACGTTTAATGATGGGCACATTTTTATTGATCCTTTTCAAAGTCTCAGAGAAACGTCAGTAGCCATGATGTTTGCTTAGAAGAAAAGCAAACTCTTTAAATAGCATCCTCTGAAAAATTACACTAAAAATTTACTTATGATTTGTGGAACAAAAACATTTCTGTTTTTTCTGGTCTTGGATGTATACTTCGTGCACAAACTTAGTGATCAGTGAAGATGACATGAAATGATTTGCAATCTTGATTGTTTATATCCCTAAAATTTGTGAAAATTAGTGCTTTTTTATTAATCGACATTGATAAAACTGCACACGCAACAAAGCGCTTGGCGAATTGTCTCTTTTACTACTTGTCTCACTTCAGCAATCTTCCAGCAATAAAGAAATGGGTTAAGTGATGAGTTTAAATACACTAATGAAACTGATGCTGCCCAAGCCATAAAATACGATGAAGACATTGTTATGTTACTTCGTAAGGCCATCACAACAAGATATGGAAGATAACAGAGAACCATTGCAAGCTGAACCCACACTGCACTATGCACTGCTTTCCTGTATCGCACAATGTCAAGTGGAACGGTTAACTTTAGATGTTCTTGCTGCACACGTTCATGAACTTCAGTTTGACGGCGACGAAGCTTGAGGAAAATGTAAGTGTACGAGACGGCTGTGATCGTAAGACAAAATACTGTAGCAATACGGCCATACCAAATAGTGATACGGTGGCTTGCGAGGAACAATAGCGCAACGACACAGGAAACTAACCAAAAGGTGGTTATAACTGCATATGTTCGCTTTAATGTTACAACCTGTTTATACCTTAGCCCCAGTAAGAGAGCGAGAAGCCTGTCCACACTTATCGCAGTCAACGTTAACAAAGATACTGACGCCAACACGTAGCCTACCATAAAGGATGCACTTGCTGAGAACCGACAAACATCCCAGTCTTCATAAACCAGAGACATCCAATAGGCAACATTGAGAGGTTCTGCAACTAGGCCAACACAAAGATCAGTTGTCGCCAAATTATGAAACAAAAGCTTCGACGGCGGATGGAGGGAAGATTCTCTCCGAAGAGCGACGAAGATCAGAGTATTCCCAAGAACTGCAGCAATGGATAGGAAAATATTGACCGCTGATAAAGACATCAGATGTTCATGAATATCGCTTGTAAAATCTGTTGAGCATCGCAGTTCTTCAAAGGACATATTATCTTTTCTATACTCAGTATGGTTTGTCATCGCCATTGTCCCTTGCAGAGAGGTTTCAGTTCATTCACTCGAGCCGAAGAATAAGGTTTTCCTTTTAGAAATGCTTGGGATAATTGTGAGAAATGATCAAACTCGAGGGTGAGATTCTAATTCCTGTTTCCATTTGTCGTCACGTCCGGATGAAAAGAGCCAAGTTTCGGTTTTCTTAGTTTTGCATTAATCACATACTGCATAATTGAATATCTTCTTTAGCTCTTAAGACCCTGAAGCGCATCATAACATTTGGATGCAATACTGCTATGTTATTTGTTTGCAAATTAAAAGGGAAAATAAAATGGTCGAAAGTAATCTACGATTCACTGAACATTTTTTCTGAACAGGAGAATTTCTTCAACAATGCTGAAACGGATATCGAAAGTCACCCACGCTTCATCAGCAAACTAGAAACACGTCTATACATGCCTATCCTATTCACATTTCCTATGCACGTATCCCATGCCAAAGATCATCTGTAGTAATAGCCTTGCATGGATCTAGTTTCAATTCAGATGGATTTCATTCTGGGTGTCTAATTTAATGTAGACCATGTGAAAAGTGGTGTTCCTTTATTTTATCCTTGTTGACCTAATATCTATAATAAGATCATCTAATGGTTATAACTGATAAGGACGGAAGCTCCACAGCCACGGTATTAAAGGTAATGACGTTTTCAATTCTTGTTTGTTCAGTACATGTCTCGATTCTATTGTACGAGTTTGACTTCAGTGATCGTTTCATTGAAATCCACCAAACTCTAAAGTTTTCATCGAACACTGCAATATTCACCTGCTTTTGCGGTCGTGACATAAAAGGAAAACAAAACATGTGTCGAAATATGCTTAACTACGATAACGTCGGTCGGGAAACTGCTTGAGCTTTAGTTCGACGTAATAACTCAAACAATAGTTTACGTTGAGAGTCAGCTCCATTTAAGCAGAAGGAAATAAAAGAAAAAAAGAGGGGCTTCCTGTACTTCCTCTATACTAGTGCAAATGCGAAATAGAAAGTAAAAAAAATTTCGAAAATTTCTTTGATTTTTGTATGCCATTTTTAGCGGAGAGTCCGAATAAAACGTGATGACATTTCTATTTACCGGCTTCAGAGAGCTTACGATCAGTGATTAAAAGAAACAATCTCCTGGCTTTGCACACCCCGTAAAGATACGTGAAAAGCACCTTTGATTTTGTACATTTATATTTTGGAGAGCGGGTTTGTTTCTTGAGAGATTGTGATCGCCTTAAGCAGCTCTATTATCCTTGTGTTTGCCTTCAGTATATTGAGTGGCTTGCACTCCTCAAGATTTCATCAACAAAATGTATTTTTATCCAGTCATGAAGTCGTTCGATAAGAAATCAAGGAAAGGAACTAATTTTTAGTAATCCTTCCGGATGAAGCATAACTTTGTGACAAAATTGTTTCAAAGGTTTGATTATTTGTAAACATAACAGCAGTTCGTCAAATACTTTAGTTTCATTTTCATGTCTTGTAAAGTTCGTTGTTACTATTTCTTAGGGTCGATGCAACTGTTTGTCGAGTGGCAGATGTCGTATTAGATATTTCCCCACGACTCAAAATCCATCCTCCTTTATTCATCAGAATTCACAATGGAGAATAACAACTTAACACTTCTCGGCTTCGTGAATCTATTTAATCTTGCATATGAACTGCTTTATCAATATGAAATCGAATAACCCTACTGATTCATGGCATGACTCCGGCTTTATTGGACGATCGATTTTGTAGGATCGTGGGTGATATAGTTTGGTAAATGATGTTTGAGTAATGGCGAAATACGAGCTTCCCTTTCAGTCAGAAGTTGATTTGACTGCTACTAGTAAACACCGTCACTTTGCAAAGGAAGATAACGTGATGCTTGAAAATAGACCATGAATTATATTATGCAGGAGCGTAACGCGCCAATAAGCACACACGCACGCAACTATCCCTGGAAATCTATATTCTCAGATAAGTTCAGGTGGTGTGAGCTGGCTATTTACTAATGTATAGTTACTGGCTAAAGGCGTCATCTATCTTGAGATCGACGGGTTTGGCGCACGTATTATCGTTTCGTACTTCTCTTCATGAACTGAAGAATACAAATATCTGAAACGCTTTCCAGCTCAACACTCAAGTTGACAGCCCTACTACATTAACGAAGCGAAATGGTGACCACAATCGACGAGTTCAGCGCAAGATTTTAAATACCCCCACACTTATTTTGGAATACATGACTCAGCTTTGCAATTGCCGACGCATTTTGTTTCGACCTGCGCTGCTGGACGAAGTTTTCAGTTCCTTAAAAGGATTGCCAATCCCTTTCGCACCATCATAGGTTAGGAGCGATTGTTCGTTCTGGCAGAAAAATGTATGATGTGCACAACACGTGTGTAAAAAGAAATAAAATAAAAAAAACAATAAGATTACTCGATTAAAGAATTTTTTCCTGACCCGTCCACAACTGTTGTCTTCAGAACGTGAAGTGAGGGATAAAGAGACGACGGATGAACGCTGTCTTTTTGCACAACAAATCCCGAGCTTTCGTGATTCTTGCGGCATTGAAGATGACCAAGCTTAAATGAAGAATTTTTCTGCGGAAGCGGAGGCATCACACTTTGTGTACAGGTTCTACTAGTATAAGGACCTCGCAAGGGAAAAAAAAAGCGGAGCTCAAGCTCGTAAAAAGGGCAGGCTTCCTTGCTCAACTTATGAAGGTTTAGTAGACAGGCAGTGAGAGTGTGGCAGTGATTTTGATTAGCTTTTGTTTGGAGCTAGTACTGAAAGCAAATGTGAGTAGTGGTAGTACTTCTTGGTAGCATCAGAAATAAGAAGTAAAAGTAGCCTCATTGCAAGTTGTAATTCATCTTTTTTATTTTTTACGACGTCTTGTTTAGTTGCATAACGTGTGTGTGTTTTGTGAATTTATTGAGGAAGTTTAAGGCCCCTTTAAATAAGGAGATGCTTTAGGGTGAGTTTATGTGATCTCAATATCTTCAACGTTTTTCGTACGGCACACATAAATTCTCTCTCCTTCACAAATATAAAATAGACTTGACTAACGTACAATATTTACAAAACATTTACATTAAATAACTTTCGATACATAAATTTTCTTAAAACTCGCTTACTTCCTACTAGGTCTCATTTATAAAAAAAGTATACCACATCTACAGAGCACTTTAAGTTCAATCGCTCCGATTTCACTGAACCAGTCAAGTGTGGCGTGATCTTGAAAACAACCTGATAGAAATTTTCAAGGACGTCTGTAGATATCCATGTGAATGTGAAATTTCCCAACATGAAAAGTCTTTGAGATAGATACACTGATGGGCAAAGTATCCCATTAGTGACGGTGTTTCGTTTGTTAACCAGTCAGTGTGGCAGGTATTTAGGACGTCTGTTATATCAACTTGAAAGAAGGCAAAGATCCCTTGGACAATAGAGCTATCACTTGTGACCTTGGACAAATCTGGAAACTGGACACTACTGTTCCTGATGGCGAAAAACAGAGTTTGATCGCGACGAGATATGTATATATATATATATATATATATATATATATATATATATGCAGGGGCACATGACGGGACCAGCAGCGTGGAGTTCTCCTTAAATTCTGGTATTTCTAAGAAAATTTTCAAATTGCAATTTTACTGAGATTTCTCCCCCCTCCCCCTTCCCCCAGACCTCAAAAAGATCTTAACTTCTTAATCTTAACAGATTAAAACATTAATTCTCTTTCTCGTTCCCTTTTTTTCCTTAATATATGTATTCGGTCATATTTTCGTGCTGTAGGGACACACCCCAGTGATTTCGACATAAGCAACAGATCGCGTGACTTACCCGAGTTGAAGACGATGATCTGTAAACAAACGTTGACTTATTGCCATGTCCCTGTTGGTTAAAGGAACGAAATAACTTCTCGTTCATATTCAAACAAAACAAAAAGGTTCAAGTTGAATAGTTTTAAAAGACACAGAACAAGAAAGTCAAGATGAAGAACCTTTTGATTTTGTGTCTGATTTGTGAGCCATGATGATTGCATGTTGATGGCTGGTGTCTTCAGTCTTTCCGGCGTTTAAATCTACAAAGTAATCATCTTTTCGAATTAGAAACGCCTCGACAACTGAACAAAATTGGTTCGGTTAAAGCCTTCCCTCACTGTCCAAACGAAAACAGACAGACAATTATGCATGGTCATATTTTCGTGTTGTGGGAAGGAGACACTCCAGTGAGATCGATTTACGCAACAGATCGCGTGACTTACCCGAGTTGAAGACGATAATCTGTAAGCAAACGTTGACTTATTGCCATGTCCCCGTTGATCAAAGGAACGAAATAACTTCTCGTTCATATTCAAACAAAACAAAAAGGTCCAAGTTGAATAGTTTTAAAAGACACAGAACAAGAAAGTCAAGATGAAGAACCTTTTGATTTTGTGTCTGATTTGTGAGTCATGATGATTGTATGTAGACTTATGTACTGTAAAAGAAAATGCACTGCTCGCCATATTTTCTTTTCAGCAAATCGTTTAATGATAAAATGAAGAGAAATAAATCTTAGACATGTTTTCCGCTCATTTTATCTCTCAGTAAGTACGAATAATATTTTTTTTCTTTTTACTTCTACTGGAAATATAATGAACCAGAGAGAGACAATGTAGTTGAAATGAAATGCAATGTGACTGCAGAGGGTTTCGTTGATCGCTGTCCCAATATCCGCCATCAAATCGAGCACAAATAATTTAAATCTAAATAATTTCAATTCATTTGCATCATTTCAGCAACTACGATGAGTGAGGACAGCAAAAGCAAGACATGCTAGTTCTGCTGTCTTGTTTTCAAGCGAACTATTTACTCTTTGACCCATAAGAGTGACTAGTATCTTGTTTCTCTTCACAGTATCATCCCCAAACCACACATTAAGGTTATATGAATAAAGGGAATGATCACCAACTAAAGAAGCTCTTGATTGTTAAACAAATTCTTCAAGTCAGCACCATGCGTGGGAAATGTATAGAGAACTGTGTGGAGAATATGCATACTGATATTAGGGTGTAAAGGGTTATTGGATAAACTTGGCAGATGCCTTAATCAATTTCATCTGAAGACCTTTCCGCAATAGACTCCAGAGTGTTTAATGATGGGCACATTTTTATTGATCCTTTTCAAACGTCAGTAGCCATGATGCTTGCTTAGAAGAAAAGTAACCTCTTTTAAAAGCATCCTCTGAAAAATTACACTAAAAAATTTACTTATGATTTGTGGAACAAAAAAGTTTCTGTTTTTTCTGGTCTTGGATGTATACTTCGTGCACAAACTTAGCGTTCAGTGAAGATGACATGAAATGATTTGCAATCTTGATTGTTTATATCCCTAAAATTTGTGAAAATTAGTGCTTTTTTATTAATCGACATTGATAAAACTGCACATGCAACAAAGCGCTTGGCGAATTGTCTCTTTTACTACTTGTCTCACTTCAGCAATCTTCCAGCAATAAAGAAATGGGTTAAGTGATGAGTTTAAATACACTAATGAAACTGATGCTGCCCAAGCCAGAAAATACGATGAAGACATTGTTATGTTACTTCGTAAGGCCATCACAACAAGATATGGAAGATAACAGAGAACCATTGCAAGCTGAACCCACACTGCACTATGCACTGCTTTCCTGTATCGCACAATGTCAAGTGGGACGGTTAACTTTAGATGTTCTTGCTGCACACGTTCATGAACTTCAGTTTGACGGCGACGAAGCTGGAGGAAAATGTAAGTGTACGAGACGGCTGTGATCGGAAGACAAAATACTGTAGCAATACGGCCATACCAAATAGTGATACGGCGGCTTGCGAGGGACAATAGCGCAACGACACAGGAAACTACCCAAAAGGTCGTTATAACTGCATATGTTCGCTTTAATGTTACAACCTGTTTATACCTTAGCCCCAGTAAGAGAGCGAGAAGCCTGTCCACACTTATCGCAGTCAACGTTAACAAAGATACTGACGCCAACACGTAGCCTACCATAAAGGATGCACTTGCTGAGAACCGACAAACATCCCAGTCTTCATAAACCAGAGACATCCAAGAGGCAACATTGAGGGGTTCTGCAATTAGGCCAACACAAAGATCAGTTGTCGCCAAATTATGAAACAAAAGCTTCGACGGCGGATGGAGGGAAGATTCTCTCCGAAGAGCGACGAAGATCAGAGTATTCCCAAGAACTGCAGCAATGGATAGGAAAATATTGACCGCTGATAAAGACATCAGATGTTCATGAATATCGCTTGTAAAATCTGTTGGGCATCGCAGTTCTTCAAAGGACGTATAATCTTTTCTATACTCAGTATGGTTTGTCATCGCCATTGTCCCTTGCAGAGAGGTTTCAGTTCATTCACTCGAGCCGAAGAATAAGGTTTTCCTTATAGAAATGCTTGGGATAATTGTGAGAAATGATCAAACTCGAGGGTGAGATTCTAATTCCTGTTTCCATTTGTCGTCACGTCCGGATGAAAAGAGCCAAGTTTCGGTTTTCTTAGTTTTGCATTAATCACATCATACCACATAATTGAATATCTTCTTTAGCTCTTAAGACCCTGAAGCGCATCATAACATTTGGATGCAATACTGCTATGTTATTTGTTTGCAAATAATAATAGTAATAGCCTTGCATGGATCTAGTTTCAATTCAGATGGATTTCATTCTGGGTGTCTAATTTAATGTAAAACGTGTGAAAAGTGGTGTTCCTTTATTTCAGCCTTGTTGACCTAATATTTATAATTAGATCATCTAATGGTTATAACTGATAATGACGGAAGCTCCACAGCCGTATCAAAGGAAATGATTTCAGTTTCAGACGTTTTCAATTCTTGTTTGTTCAGTACATGTCTCGATTCTATTGTACGAGTTTGACTTCAGTGATCGTTTCACTGAAATCCACCAAACTCTAAAGTTTTCATCGAACACTGCAATATTCACCTGCTTTTGCGGTCGGGACATAAAAGGAAAACAAAACATGTGTCGAAATATGCTTAACTACGATAACGTCGGTCGGGAAACTGCTTGAGCTTTAGTTCGACGTAATAACTCAAATAATAGTTTACGTTGAGAGTCAGCTCCATTTAAGCAGAAGGAAATAAAAGAAAAAAAGAGGGGCTTCCTGTACTTCCTCTATACTAGTGCAAATGCGAAATAGAAAGTAAAAAAAATTTCGAAAATTTCTTTGATTTTTGTATGCCATTTTTAGCGGAGAGTCCGAATAAAACGTGATGACATTTCTATTTACCGGCTTCAGAGAGCTTACGATCAGTGATTAAAAGAAACAATCTCCTGGCTTTGCACACCCCGTAAAGATACGTGAAAAGCACCTTTGATTCTGTACATTTATATTTTGGAGAGCGGGTTTGTTTCTTGAGAGATTGTGATCGCCTTAAGCAGCTCTATTATCCTTGTGTTTGCCTTCAGTATATTGAGTGGCTTGCACTCCTCAAGATTTCATCAACAAAATGTATTTTTATCCAGTCATGAAGTCGTTCGATAAGAAATCAAGGAAAGGAACTAATTTTTAGTAATCCTTCCGGATGAAGCATAACTTTGTGACAAAATTGTTTCAAAGGTTTGATTATTTGTAAACATAACAGCAGTTCGTCAAATACTTTAGTTTCATTTTCATGTCTTGTAAAGTTCGTTGTTACTATTTCTTAGGGTCGATGCAACTGTTTGTCGAGTGGCAGATGTCGTATTAGATATTTCCCCACGACTCAAAATCCATCCTCCTTTATTCATCAGAATTCACAATGGAGAATAACAAGTTAACACTTCTCGGCTTCGTGAATCTATTTAATCTTGCATATGGACTGCTTTATCAATATGAAATTGAATAACCCTACTGATTCATGGCATGACTCCGGCTTTATTGGACGATCGATTTTGTAGGATCGTGGGTGATATAGTTTGGTAAATGATGTTTGAGTAATGGCGAAATACGAGCTTCCCTTTCAGTCAGAAGTTGATTTGACTGCTACTAGTAAACACCGTCACTTTGCAAAGGAAGATAACGTGATGCTTGAAAATAGACCATGAATTATATTATGCAGGAGCGTAACGCGCCAATAAGCACACACGCACGCAACTATCCCTGGAAATCTATATTCTCAGATAAGTTCAGGTGGTGTGAGCTGGCTATTTACTAATGTATAGTTACTGGCTAAAGGCGTCATCTATCTTGAGATCGACGGGTTTGGCGCACGTATTATCGTTTCGTACTTCTCTTCATGAACTGAAGAATACAAATATCTGAAACGCTTTCCAGCTCAACACTCAAGTTGACAGCCCTACTACATTAACGAAGCGAAATGGTGACCACAATCGACGAGTTCAGCGCAAGATTTTAAATACCCCCACACTTATTTTGGAATACATGACTCAGCTTTGCAATTGCCGACGCATTTTGTTTCGACCTGCGCTGCTGGACGAAGTTGTCAGTTCCTTAAAAGGATTGCCAATCCCTTTCGCACCATCATAGGTTAGGAGCGATTGTTCGTTCTGGCAGAAAAATGTATGATGTGCACAACACGTGTGTAAAAATAAATAAAATAAAAAAAACAATAAGATTACTCGATTAAAGAATTTTTTCCTGACCCGTCCACAACTGTTGTCTTCAGAACGTGAAGTGAGGGATAAAGAGACGACGGATGAACGCTGTCTTTTTGCACAACAAATCCCGAGCTTTCGTGATTCTTGCGGCATTGAAGATGACCAAGCTTAAATGAAGAATTTTTCTGCGGAAGCGGAGGCATCACACTTTGTGTACAGGTTCTACTAGTATAAGGACCTCGCAAGGAAAAAAAGCGGAGCTCAAGCTCGTAAAAAGGGCAGGCTTCCTTGCTCAACTTATGAAGGTTTAGTAGACAGGCAGTGAGAGTGTGGCAGTGATTTTGATTAGCTTTTGTTTGGAGCTAGTACTGAAAGCAAATGTGAGTAGTGGTAGTACTTCTTGGTAGCATCAGAAATAAGAAGTAAAAGTAGCCTCATTGCAAGTTGTAATTCATCTTTTTTATTTTTTACGTCTTGTTGAGTTGCATAACGTGTGGGTGTTTTGTGAATTTATTGAGGAAGTTTAAGGCCCCTTTAAATAAGGAGATGCTTTAGGGTGAGTTTATGTGATCTCAATATCTTCAACGTTTTTCGTACGGCACACATAAATTCTCTCTCCTTCACAAATATAAAATAGACTTGACTAACGTACAATATTTACAAAACATTTACATTAAATAACTTTCGATACATAAATTTTCTTAAAACTCGCTTACTTCCTACTAGGTCTCATTTATAAAACTTCTCTCAGAGTATACCACATCTACTGAGCACTTTGAGTTCAATCGCTCCGATTCCTGGCTAGTGCGCAGGATCCGGTTGCGCCAAATCTTAGGATAGGTCAAGGCTTTGTTGTCTTGAAAACAACCTGATGGAAATTCGTCCCAAATCACGCTACATTCTCTGGCTTAGATATCCATGTGAATGTGAAATTTCCATGACATGAAAAGTTCTTTAGTCTAGATAGATACACTGATGGTATGAAAGCGAAGGAAACACAAGGTTCTCTTAGTGATCCGTTGTGTTTCGTGACGCAATTCACTGAACCAGTCAGTGTGGCGTGATCTATGGCAGGTATTTCAAGGACGTCTGTTATTACTCAACAGCTGAAAGAAGGCAAAGTATCCCATTCGACGGAGCTTTGTTAACCTCTGGCTAGAGCTATCACTTGTGACCTTGGACAATATGTGGAAATCTGGACACTACTGTTCCTGATGGCGAAAAACAGAGTTTGATCGCGACGAGATATGTATATATATATATATATATGTGCAGGGGCACATGACGGGACCAGCAGCGTGGAGTTCTCCTTAAATTCTGGTATTTCTAAGAAAATTTTCAAATTGCAATTTTACTGAGATTTCTCCCCCCTCCCCCTTCCCCCAGACCTCAAAAAGATCTTAACTTCTTAATCTTAACAGATTAAAACATTAATTCTCTTTCTCGTTCCCTTTTTTTCCTTTATATATGTATTCGGTCATATTTTCGTGCTGTAAGGACACACCCCAGTGATTTCGACATAAGCAACAGATCGCGTGACTTACCCGAGTTGAAGACGATGATCTGTAAACAAACGTTGACTTATTGCCATGTCCCTGTTGGTTAAAGGAACGAAATAACTCCTCGTTCATATTCAAACAAAACAAAAAGGCCCAAGTTGAATAGTTTTAAAAGACACAGAACAAGAAAGTCAAGATGAAGAACCTTTTGATTTTGTGTCTGATTTGTGAGCCATGATGATTGCATGTCGATGGCTGGTGTCTTCAGTCTTTCCGGCGTTTAAATCTACAAAGTAATCATCTTTTCGAATTAGAAACGCCTCGACAACTGAACAAAATTGGTTCGGTTAAAGCCTTCCCTCACTGTCCAAACGAAAACAGACAGACAATTATGCATGGTCATATTTTTGTGTTGTGAGAAGGAGACACTCCAGTGAGATCGATTTACGCAACAGATCGCGTGACTTACCCGAGTTGAAGACGATAATCTGTAAGCAAACGTTGACTTATCGCCATGTCCCCGTTGATCAAAGGAACGAAATAACTTCTCGTTTATATTCAAACAAAACAAAAAGGTCCAAGTTGAATAGTTTTAAAAGACACAGAACAAGAAAGTCGAGATGAAGAACCTTTTGATTTTGTGTCTGATTTGTGAGCCATGATGATTGTATGTAGACTTATGTACTGTAAAAGAAAATGCACTGCTCGCCATATTTTCTTTTCAGCAAATCGTTTAATGATAAAATGAAGAGAAAAAAAATCTTAAGACATGTTTTCCGCTCATTTTATCTCTCAGTACTGGTACGAATAATATTTTTTTCTTGTTACTTCTAGTGGAAATATAATGAACCAGAGAGAGACAATGTAGTTGAAATGAAATGCAATGTGACTGTAGAGGGTTTAGTTGATCACTGTCCCAATATCCGCCATCAAATCGAGCACAAATAATTTAAATCTAAATAATTTCAATTCATTTGCATCATTTCAGCAACAAGGATGAGTGAGGACAGCAAAAGCACAACAAGCTAGTTCCGCTCTCTTGCTTTCAAGCGAACTATTTACTCTTTGACCCATAAGAGTGACTAGTATCTTGTTTCCCTTCACAGTATCATCCCCAAACCACACATTAAGGTTATATGAATAAAGGGAATGATCACCAACTAAAGAAGCTCTTGATTGTTAAACAAATTCTTCAAGTCAGCACCATGCGTGGGAAATGTATAGAGAACTGTATGGAGAATATGCATACTGATATTAGGGTGTAAATGTAAATGTATAAAGGACTGTTTGGAGAATATGCATACTGATATTAGGGTGTAAAGGGTTGTTGGATAAACTTGGCAGATGCCTTAATCAATTTCATCTGAAGACCTTTCCGCAATAGACTCCAGAACGTTTAATGATGAGCACATTTTTATTGATCCTTTTCAAAGTCTCAGAGAAACGTCAGTAGCCATGATGCTTGCTCAGTTTAGATGCCTTAGAAGAAAAGCAGAACTCTTTAAAAAGCATCCCCTGAAAAATTACACTAAAAAAATTTATTTATGATTTGTGGAACGAAAAAAATCCCGTTTTTTCTAGTCTTGAATGTACACTTCGTGCACGAACTTAGTGATCAGTGAAGATGACACGAAATGATTTGCAATCTTGATTGTTCATATCCCTAAAATTTGTTAAGATGAGTGCTTTTTAATTAATCGACATTGATACAACTGCACACGCAACAAAGCGCTGGGCGAATTGTCTCTTTTACTACTTGTCTCACTTCAGCAATCTTCCAGCAATAAAGAAATGGGTTAAGTGATGAGTTAAAATACACTAATGAAACTGATGCTGCCCAAGCCAGAAAATACGATGAAGACATTGTTATGTTGTTACGTAATGCCATCACAACGAGATATGGAAGATAACAGAGAGCCATTGTAAGCTGAACCCACACTGCACTATGCGCTGCTTTTCTGTATCGCCCAATGTCAAGTGGAACTGTTAACTTTGGATGTGCTTCCTGCACACGCTTATAAACTTCAGTTTGACGGCGACGAAGTTTGAGGAAAATGTAAGTGTACGAGACGGCTGTGATCGTAAGACAAAACACTATAGTAATACGGCCATACCAGACAGTAATACGGTGGCTTGCGAGATACAATAGCGCAACGACACAGGAAACTACCCAAAAGGTCGTTACAACTGCATATGTTCGCTTTAATGTTACAACCTGTTTATACCTTAGCCCCAGTAAGAGAGCGAGAAGCCTGTCCACACCTATCGCAGTCAACGTCAATATAGATACTGACGCCAACACGTAGCCTGCCATAAAGGATGCAAACGCTGAGAACCTACAAACATCCCAGTCTTCATAAACCAGAGACATCCAATAGGCAACATTGAGAGGTTCTGCAATTAGGCCAACACAAAGATCAGTTGTCGCCAAATTATGAAACAAAAGCTTCGACGGCGGATGGAGGGAAGATTCTCTCCGAAGAGCGACGAATATCAGAGTATTCCCAAGAACTGCAGCAATGGATAGGAAAATGTTGACCGCTGATAAAGAAATCAGATGTTTATGAATATCGCTTGTAAAATCTGTTGGGCATCGCAGTTCTTCAAAGGACGTATAATCTTTTCCATACCCAGTATGGTTTGTCATCTCCATTGGCCCTTGCAGAGAGGTTTCAATGCATTCACTCGAGCCAAAGAATAAGGTTTTCCTTATAGAAATGCTTAAGTTAATTTTGAGGAATGAATCACTCAAAGGTGAGATTCTAGTTCCTGTTTCCATTTGTCGTCACGTGCGGATGAAATTATATATATATATATATATACATACATATCTCGTCGCGATCAAACTCTGTTTTTCGCCATCAGGAATCAGTGTCCAGATTTCCACATATTGTCTAAGGTCACAAGAGATAGCTCTAGCCAGAGGTTAACAAAGCTCCGTCGAGTGGGATACTTTGCCTTCTTTCAGTTGTTGAGGGATAACAGACGTCCTTGAAATATCTGCCATAGATCACGACACAGCTTCATCATCTACCGACTGGTTCAGTGAATTGCGTAACGCAACACAACGGATCACTAAGAGAACCTTGTGTTTCCTTTCCATCAGTGTATCTATCTAGACTAAAGACCTTTTCATGTCAGGGAAATTTCGCATTCACATGGATATCTAAGCCAGAGAATGTAGCGAGATTTGGGACGAATTTCCATCAGGTTGTTTTCAAGACAACAAAGCCTTGACCTATCCTAAGATTTGGCGCGAACGAATCCTACGTAATTGCTAGGAATTGGAGCCATTGAACTCAAAGTGCTCAGTAAATGTGGTATACTGAGAAAAAGTTTTATAAATGAGACTTAGTAGGAAGTAAGCGAGTTTAAGGAAATTTATGTATCGAAAGTTATTTAATGTAAATGTTTTGTAAATATTGTACGTTAGTCAAGTCTATTTTATATTTATGAAGGAGAGAGAATTTATGTGTGCCGTACGAAAAACGTTGAAGATATTTAGATCGCATAAACTCACCCTAAAGCATCTCCTTATTTAAAGGGGCCTTAAACCTCCTCAATAAATTCACAAAACACACACACGTTATGCAACTAAACAAGACGTCGTAAAAAATAAAAAAGATGAATTACAACTTGCAATCAGGCTACTTTTACTTCTTATTTCTGATGCTACCAAGAAGTACTACCACTACTCACATTTGCTTTCACTACTAGCTCCAAACAAAAGCTAATCAAAATCACTGCCACACTCTCACTGCCTGTCTACTAAACCTTCATAAGTAAGGTTATGAAAGCCATGTTATGTAAGCCAGCTCACACCACCTGAACTTATCTGAGAATATAGATTTCCAGGGATAGTTGCGTGCGTGTGTGCTTATAGGCGCGTTACGCTCCTGCATAATATAATTCATGGTCTGTGTTCAAGCATCTCGTTATCTTCCTTTGCAAAGTGACGGTGTGTACTAGTAGCAATCAAATCAACTTCTGACTGAAAAGGAAGCTCGTATTTCGCCATTACTCAAACATCATTTACCAAACTATATCACCCACGATCCTACAAAATCGATCGTCCAATAAAGCCGGAGTCATGCCATGAATTAATAGGGTTATTCGATTTCATATTGATAAAGCAGTTCATATGCAAGATTAAATAGATTCACGAAGCCGAGAAGTGTTAACTTGTTATTCTCCATTGTGAATTCTGATGAAAAAAGGAGGGTGGAGTTTGATTTGTGGGGCAATATCTAATACGACATCTGCCACTCGACAAACAGTTGCATCGACCCTAAGAAATAGTAACAACGAACTTTACAAGACATGAAAATGAAACTAAAGTATTTGACGAACTGCTGTTATGTATACAAATAATCAAACCTTTGAAACAATTTTGTCACAAAGTTATGCTTCATCCGGAGGGATTACTAAAAATTAATTCCTTTCCTTGATTTCTTATACAACGACTTCATGACTGGATAAAAATACATTTTGTTGATGAAATCTTGAGGAGTGCAAGCCACTCAATATACTGAAGGCAAACACAAGGATAATAGAGCTGCTTAAGGCGATCACAATCTCTCAAGAAACAAACCCGCTCTCCAAAATATAAATGTACAAAAAACAAAGGTGCTTTTGACGTGTCTTTACGGGGTGTGCAAAGCCAGGAGATTGTTTCTTTTAATCACTGATCGTAAGCTCTCTGAAGCCGGTAAATAGAAATGTCATCACGTTTTATTCGGACTCTCCGCTAAGAGTGGCATAGAAAAATCAAAGAATAGTTTTGAAATTTTCGAAATTTTTTTTTACTTTCTATTTTGCATTTTCACTAGTATAGAGGAAGTACAGGAAGCCTCTCTTTTTTTTCTTTTATTTCCTTCTGCTTAAATGGAGCTGACTCTCAACGTAAACTATTGTTTGAGTTACGTCGAACTAAAGCTCAAGCAGTTTCTCAGCCGACGTTATCGTAGTTAAGCATATTTCGACACATGTTTTGTTTTCCTTTTATGTCACAACCGCAAAAGCAGGTGAATATTGCAGTGTTCGATGAAAAATTTAGAGTTTGGTGGATTTCAGTGAAACGATCACTGAGGTCAAACTCGTACAATAGAATCGAGACATGTACTTAACAAACAAGAATTGAAAACGTCGGGAACTGAAATCATTACCTTTGATACGGCTGTGGAGCTTCCGTTAGATGATCTAATAATAAATATTAGGTCAACAAGGCTGAAATAAAGGAACACCACTTTTCACATGGTCTACATCAAATTGGACACCCACGATGAAATCCATTTGAATTGAAACTAGATCCATGCAAGGCTATTACTACAGATGATCTTTGGCATAGGATGCGTGCAGAGGAAACGTGCATAGGATAGGCATGTATAGACGTTTTTCTAGTTTGCTGATGAAGCGTGGTTGACTTTTGATTTCCGTTTCAGCATTGTTGGAGAAATTCTCCCGTTCAGAAAAATGTTTAATGAAGCGTAGATTACTTTCGACCATTTTATTTTCCTTTTTTATTTGCGAACAAACAACATTGCATTTAAATATTATGATGAGCTTCAGGGCCTTAGGAGCTATTTTGTGATTGATGCATGACTAAGAAAACCGATACTTGGCTCTTTTCATCTGCACGTGACGACAAATGGAAACAGGAACTAGAATCTCACCCTTGAGTTTGACTCATTCCTCAAAATTAACTTAAGCATTTCTATAAGGAAAACCTTATTCTTCGGCTCGAGTGAATGCACTGAAACCTCTCTGCAAGGGCCAATGGAGATGATAAACCATACTGGGTATGGAAAAGATAATACGTCCTTTGAAGAACTGCGATGCTCAACAGATTTTACAAGCGATATTCATAAACATCTGATTTCTTTATCAGCGGTCAACATTTTCCTATCCATTGCTGCAGTTCTTGGGAATACTCTGATCTTCGTCGCTCTTCGGAGAGAATCTTCCCTACATCCGCCGTCGAAGCTTTTGTTTCATAATTTGGCGACAACTGATCTTTGTGTTGGCCTAGTTGCAGAACCTCTCAATGTTGCCTATTGGATGTCTCTGGTTTACGAAGACTGGGATGTTTGTAGGTTCTCAGCGATTGCATCCTTTATGGCAGGCTACGTGTTGGCGTCAGTATCTATATTGACGTTGACTGCGATAAGTGTGGACAGGCTTCTCGCTCTCTTACTGGGGCTAAGGTATAAACAGGTTGTAACATTAAAGCGTACATATGCAGTTGTAACGACCTTTTGGTTAGTTTCCTGTGTCGTTGCGCTATTGTATCTCGCAAGCCACCGTATTACTGTCTGGTATGGCCGTATTACTATAGTATTTTGTCTTACGATCACAGCCGTCTCGTACACTTACATTTTCCTCAAGCTTCGTCGCCGTCAAACTGAAGTTTATAAACGTGTGCAGGAAGCACATCCAAAGTTAACAGTTCCACTTGACATTGGGCGATACAGAAAAGCAGTGCATAGTGCAGTGTGGGTTCAGCTTACAATGGCTCTCTGTTATCTTCCATATCTCGTTGTGATGGCATTACGTAACAACATAACAATGTCTTCATCATATTTTCTGGCTTGGGCAGCATCAGTTTCATTAGTGTATTTTAACTCATCACTTAACCCATTTCTTTATTGCTGGAAGATTGCTGAAGTGAGACAAGTAGTAAAAGAGACAATTCGCCCAGCGCTTTGTTGCGTTTGCAGTTTTATCAATGTCGATTAATTAAAAAGCACTCATCTTAACAAATTTTAGGGATATGAACAATCAAGATTGCAAATCATTTCGTGTCATCTTCACTGATCACTAAGTTTGTGCACGAACTATACATTCAAGACTAGAAAAAACGGGATTTTTTCGTTCCACAAATCATAAATAAATTTTTTAGTGTAATTTTTCAGGGGATGCTTTTTAAAGAGTTCTGCTTTTCTTCTAAGCCATCTAAACTGAGCAAGCATCATGGCTACTGACGTTTCTTTAAAACTTTGAAAAGGATCAATAAAAATGTGCCCATCATTAAACGTTCTGGAGTCTATTGCGGAAAGGTCTTCAGATGAAATTGATTAAGGCATCTGCCAAGTTTATCCAATAACCCTTTACACCCTAATATCAGTATGCATATTCTCCATACAGTTCTCTATACATTTCCCACAAACGGTGCTGACTTGAAGAATTTGTTTAACAATCAAGAGCTTGTTTAGTTGGTGATCATTCCCTTTATTGATATAACCTTAATGTGTGGTTTGGGGATGATCTTGTGATGAGAAACAACATGCCAGTCACTCTTATGGGTCAAAGAGTGAATAGTTCGCTTGAAAGCAAGAGAGCGGAACTAGCTTGTTGTGCTTTTGCTGTCCTCACTCATCCTTGTTGCTGAAATGATGCAAATGAATTGAAATTATTTACATTTGAATTATTTGTGCTCGATTTGATGGTGGATATTGGGACAGTGATCAACTAAACCCTCTACAGTCACATTGCATTTCATTTCAACTACATTGTCTCTCTCTGGTTCATTATATTTCCACTAGAAGTAACAAGAAAAAAAAATATTATTCGTATTTACTGAGAGATAAAATGAGCGGAAAACATGTCTTAAGATTTTTTTTCTCTTCATTTTATCATTAAACGATTTGCTGAAAAGAAAATATGGCGAGCAGTGCATTTTCTTTTACAGTACATAAGTCTACATACAATCATCATGGCTCACAAATCAGACACAAAATCAAAAGGTTCTTCATCTCGACTTTTTGTTCTGTGTCTTTTCAAACTATTCAACTTGGACCTTTTTGTTTTGTTTGAATATGAAAGAGGAGTTATTTCGTTCCTTTGATCAACAGGGACATGGCGATAAGTCAACGTTTGCTTACAGATTATCGTCTTCAACTCGGGTAAGTCACGCGATCTGTTGCGTAAATCGATCTCACTGGAGTGTCTCCTTCTCACAACACGAAAATATGACCATGCATAATTGTCTGTCTGTTTTCGTTTGGACAGTGAGGGAAGGTTTTAACCGAACCAATTTTGTTCAGTTGTCGAGGCGTTTCTAATTCGAAAAGATGATTACTTTGTAGATTTAAACGCCGGAAAGACTGAAGACACCATCCATCAACATGCAATCATCATGGCTCACAAATCAGACACAAAATCAAAAGGTTCTTCATCTCGACTTTTTGTTCTGTGTCTTTTCAAACTATTCAACTTGGACCTTTTTGTTTTGTTTGAATATGAACGAGAAGTTATTTCGTTCCTTTAACCAACAGGGACATGGCAATAAGTCAACGTTTGCTTACAGATCATCGTCTTCAACTCGGGTAAGTCACGCGATCTGTTGCTTATGTCGAAATCACTGGGGTGTGTCCTTACAGCACGAAAATATGACCGAATACATATATAAAGGAAAAAAAGGGAACGAGAAAGAGAATTAATGTTTTAATCTGTTAAGATTAAGAAGTTAAGATCTTTTTTAGGTCTGGGGGAAGGGGGAGGGGGGAGAAACCTCAGTAAAATTGCAATTTGAAAATTTTCTTAGAAATACCAGAATTTAAGGAGAACTCCACGCTGCTGGTTTCGTCATGTGCCCCTATATATATATATATATATATATATATATATATATATATATATATATATATATATTACGTATTACTATATATAGTGCAATACTGCAATGTTATTTGTTCGCAAATAAAAAAGGAAAATAAAATGGTCGAAAGTAATCTACGCTTCAATAAACATTTTCTGAACGGGAGAATTTCTCCAACAATGCTGAAACGGAAATCGAAAGTCAACCACGTTTCATCAGCAAACTAGAAAAACGTCTTTACATGCGTATCCTATGCACGTTTCCTTTGCACGCATTCTATGCCAAAGATCGTCTGTAGTTATAGCCTTGCATGGATCTAGTTTCAATTCAGATGGATTTCATTCTGGGTGTCCAATTTGATGTAGACCATGTGAAAATCGGTGTTCCTTTATTTCAGCCTTGTTGACCTAATATTAATTATTAGATCATCTAATGGTTATAACTGATAATGACGGAAGCTCCACAGCCGTATCAAAGGTAATGATTTCAGTTCCAGACGTTTTCAATTCTTGTTTGTTAAGTACATGTCTCGATTCTATTGTACGAGTTTGACTTCAGTGATCGTTTCACTGAAATCCACCAAACTCTAAAGTTTTCATCGAACACTGCAATATTTGCGGTCGTGACATAAAAGGAAAACAAAACATGTGTCGAAATATGCTTAACTATGATAACGTCGGTTGGGAAACTGCTTGAGCTTTAGTTCGACGTAATAACTCAAACAATAGTTTACGTTGAGAGTCAGCTCCATTTAAGCAGAAAGAAATAAAAGAAAAAAAAAGAGAGGCTTCCTGTACTTCCTCTATACTGGTGCAAATGTAATTAAAAAAAAAAAAATTTCGACAATTTCAAAACTATTCTTTGATTTTTCTATGCCACTTTTAGCGGAGAGTCCGAATAAAATGTGAAGACATTTCTATTTACCGGCTTCAGAGAACTTACGATCAGTGATTAAAAGAAACAATCTCCTGGCTTTGCACAACCCGTAAAGATACGTGAAAAGTACCTTTGATTTTGTACACTTTTATATTTTGGAGAGCGGGTTTGTTTCTTGAGAGATTGTGATCGCCTTAAGCAGCTCTATTATCGTTGTGTTTGCTTTCAGTATATTGAGTGGCTCGCACTCCTCAAGATTTCATCAACAAAATGTATTTTTATCCAGTCATGAAGTCGTTCGATAAGAAATCAAGGAAAGGAATTAATTTTTAGTAATCCCTCCGGATGAAGCATAACTTTGTGACAAAATTCTTTCAAAGGTTTGATTATTTGTATACATAACAGCAATTCGTCAAATACTTCAGTTTCATTTTCATGTCTTGTAAAGTTCGTTGTTACCATTTCTTAGGGTCGATGCAACTGTTTGTCGAGTGGCAGATGTCGTATTAGATATTGCCCCACAACTCAAACTCCACCCTCCTTTTTTCATCAGAATTCACAATGGAGAATAACAAGTTAACACTTCTCGGCTTCGTGAATGTATTTAATCTTGCATATGAACTGCTTTATCAAAATGAAATCGAATAACCCTATTAATTCATGGCATGACTCCGGATGAAGCATAACTTTGTGACAAAATTCTTTCAAAGGTTTGATTATTTGTATACATAACAGCAATTCGTCAAATACTTCAGTTTCATTTTCATGTCTTGTAAAGTTCGTTGTTACCATTTCTTAGGGTCGATGCAACTGTTTGTCGAGTGGCAGATGTCGTATTAGATATTGCCCCACAACTCAAACTCCACCCTCCTTTTTTCATCAGAATTCACAATGGAGAATAACAAGTTAACACTTCTCGGTTTCGTGAACGTATACATTCTGGCAAATGAACTGCTTTATCAATATTAGAATAACCTTACTAATTCATGGCACGACTCCGGCTTTATCGGACGATCGATTTTGTAGGATCATGGGTGATATAGTTTGGTAAATGATGTTTAAGTAATGACGAAACACGAGCTTATCTTTCAGTCAGAAGTTGATTTGACAGTTACTAGTAAACACCGTCACTTTGCAAGGGAAGATAACGTGATGCTCGAAAACAGACCATGAATTATATTATGCAGGAGCGAAAGGCTTCCTTGCTCAACTTATGAAGGCTCAGTAGACAGGCAGTGAGAGCGTGGCAGTGATTTTGATTAGCTTTTGTTTGGAGCTGGTAGTGAAAGCAAATGTGAGTAGTGGTAGTACTTCTTGGTAGCATCAGAAATAAGAAGAAAAATGTTTGCGTAAAAGTAGCCTGATTACAAGTTGTAATTTATGTTTTTAATTTTTTACGACGTCTTGTTTTAATTGCATGACGTGTGTGTGTTTTTGTGAATTTATTGAGGAGGTTTAAAGTCCCCTTAAATAATGTGATACTTAAGGGTGAGTTTTTGTGATCTCAATATCTTCAACGGTTTTCTTACTGCACACATAAATTCTCTCTCCTTCATAAATATAAAATACACTTGACTCACGTACAATATTTACAAAACATTTACATTAAATAACTTTGGATATATATATATATATATATCTTCTTAAAACTCGCTTACATCCTATTAAGTTTCATTTATAAAACTTCTCTCAGAGTATACCACATCTACTGAGCACTTTGAGTTCAATCGCTCCGATTCCTGGCAAGTGCGCAGGATCCGTTCGCGCCAAATCTTAGGATAGGTCAAGGCTTTGTTGTCTTGAAAACAACCTGATGGAAATTCGTCAAGCTCCAAGTCTCAAATCTCGCTGCATTCTCTGGTTTAGATCTCCGCGTGAATATAAAATTTACCTAACATAAAAAGGTCTTTAGTCTTGATGGATACACTGATGGTATGAAAGTGAAGGAAACATAAAGTTCCCTTAGAGGTCCATTGTGTTTCGTTACGTGATTCACTGAACCAGTCAGTAGATGATGAAGCTGTGTCGTGGTCTATGGTATTTCGAGGACGTCTGTTGTCCCTGAACAGCTGAAAGAAGGCAAAGTATCCCATTCGACGGAGCTTTGTTAACCTCTGGTTAGAACTATCTCTTGTGACCTTGGACAATATGTGGAAATCTGGACACTACTGGTTCCTGATGACGAAAAACAGAGTTCATTCGCGACGAGATATATATGTAGGGACACACGACGAGACCAGCAGCGTAGCGTTCCCCTTAAATTCTGGCATTTCAAAGAAAATTTTTAAATTGCAATTACTGAGGTTTCTTCCCCCTCCCTCCCCCCGACCCCAAAAAGAAGACCTGGGGACCCATTTTGATCAATTAAAACATTAATTCTCTGTCTCGTTCCCTTTTTTTTCCTTTATGTATGTATTTGGTCATATTTTCGCGCTGTGAGAAGGAGACACTCCAGTGAGATCGATTTAAGCAACAGATCGCGTGACTTACCCGAGTTGAAGACGATGATCTGTAAGCAAACGTTGACTTATTGCCATGTCCCTGTTGATCAAAGGAACGAAATAACTTCTCGTTCATATTCAAACAAAAAAAAAAGGTCCAAGTTGAATAGTTTTAAAAGACACAGAACAAGAAAGTCAAGATGAAGAACCTTTTGATTTTGTGTCTGATTTGTGAGCCATGATGACTGCATGTTGATGGCTGGTGTCTTCAGTCTTTCCGGTGTTTCAATCTACAAAGTAATCACTTTTTCGAATTAGAAACGCCTTGACAACTGAGCAAAATTGATTCAGTTAAAACTTTCCCTCACTGTCCTCAGGAAAACAGACGGACAACTATGCAGTAGTCTGTCAGAAAAACAAAAAGACGCTTACTATTGGTCAGGCAGCCGTGAGACACTAAAAGTGAGCAAGAGCTTATAAACTTTATAGTCTTTATATTCTCTTGAAGTGAGTGAACACCAAACGAGGGGATAGGTGTGAGCAGCTGATTAACTGTTGACGAATAACTCACACACAAACTAACGAAGTGACAAAGCGGATGCCTGAACGACAAACCAACTAAATAATCCGCTGACTTACAAAATTAAATAACTTTGGTAGAAAAATGGTCTCAGTTAATAGCTGATATCAAAACCAACCTGGTGACACACGTACATGTAGACGGAGTCCGCTGATAACTTTCGTTCAAGCTCCCAGTATTTTTATCTCGGTTTTCCTCGGTCTCCTCTCTCTTCATAAACCATCACTCCAATTCGACATCAAATCAGAGGACAGAGAACCACTCCGTGGATTTGCCTCCACTAAAATCTATTCATTTCCTAACTTTCTACAACAAGCTATAGTACATCATCACATAGCTCACCCTGTAAACCGGAAGAGCCCTGTACACTGCCCCAGTATCCGGTGATCCTGACCTCGTACTCTCCAGATGAGAGTTGTAATGCTAAAACAAAGCAAGTAAGAAATTTTCTTGAGAATAAGATGAGACCTAAGTCACAATAAAAATCACTATTAGGAAGATAAGACGTTACACTACCGAGGATACTGGACAGAAATAAGCTCTTCAAGTTCTCTTACGTTAAGTTTATAATCATGTACAACTTTTAAACGAGCTGACAAGAAAAGTATGCAAATTGATGATGGGTATTGTAGAGGGGTTATGCGAAAACAACGTGGACAGTCTAAAATGTTACTTCTACCTTTGGTTTTGATAGAGAGTCGAAGAATTTCTTGTTTTCACCGGTTGGTTTAGTCTCCTTCTGAGCTGAATGACGGAACGGTAACCATCTGTAAAAGGAAAGAGGGAGGTGAAAGATTCACAATGTTACTCTTCGCTTACCTAGACATTAGTTGCGGTTACTGCAAATCCCCATGATGACCACTTAAGTTTAGCCTAAACTGACTTGCACATTCGCCTGAAATCATAACATGGTCGCCTTCACAATATGAATTTTGGTGGCTGGAATTTTTAAAAGACTTCCACAGCGGTGTAGTGACTTCCCTCACTCACTCACTTATCTCCCATTCCCCCGGAGGGGAAACGACTTCTAAACAGGATATTGTTCTGTGGACGGAGTGAGCGTTTCTCTCAATACGGAAGTTGCGTTTTATCAGCTCATTTGATAATGTAAATTAAAGCTGACGATAATTTAAATTAAGGCTAACGTTTCGAGCTTCAGCCCTAAGTCAGAGCAAAAGACTCTATCGCTCTGACCAAGGGCTAACGCTCGAAACTCTTTACGGTGACCATTTTACATTATCACCTCAGTAAATAAACCAAATTATCTTGTAGTTTCCCAAGATCATCGTTTTGACCGTGCACAGAATCACGGCGCTTGGCATGGCTAGCTCAGCTGTTTTCGCTCTTAGGCTCAACGCTATTAAAACAGTGAAATGATGTGGTACCTTGTGTCATCGAACATCAACGGGCAGTCCACGGTACTATCTGTTGCCTTGGTAACGGTCTTGGTGGCTACGTTTTTTAGTGTTTTTATCGGACCCTGTGATGAAATGACATGATACATCAGGAACTCGTTTTCCATCTTTGAAGAAAAAGTCTAATGGTCTTATTAGACAAGGAATACTATGCAAGCTTATTGTTTGTAGTTAGCTGGTGCTTCATGCTTGCAATCATGCATGAAAGTTGGCGGTCAGATAAGTTTGTTTCGCCACGTCCTCGTTGACGTCGCCGACATGTTTTGCTTAATATCCTTATTAACTCTATAGAAGCAAATAATTGTAGCTTTCATTGACATATCGACTCTGCACCATACAGCAGACCATCAATGCTTTAAACTCAGGCAGGGTTTGAATTTTATAATAATTCGAAAGATAGCTGAAATTAAACTCACTTCGTAACAATGACTCGATCACTCACCTAAAGGAGTAACTTTGTCTTCAAAAGGAAAATACTTTAAATTAAATTTCACTGTCCATGATTACAAATAGCAGGATGAAAATATCAGGGTTGTTTTTATTTTTAATGGTGGTGTACTATGTGAGCTAAACGAGACTTACCTCTGAGATGTCATACGGTCTGACAGGAGTGGAGGGAACAGATTTAACAGACGGCATATGCCACAGACGAGGCTGGCTAAAAAACCCGATGAAGTGACCGGTATCACGGTACCACACCCTTGGAACAGAAATAAGGAGAACATAATTCAGTTGTACAGAATCATCACCCATTACACAAAACAGAAAAACTGAGTGCTCAGGTTTTTCCAAGTTGGATAAAGCTATCTCCTAAAGTCTATATAGGTGTTATGTGGATAGTGTTCTTCTAAAACTGGATTTCAAAGCAAGCGTTGTCTCGACTCTGGATGAATGGTTCGCATAATTACCTCATGATCGAAAAGGGATGTGGCAAAGGCCGAGAGAACTCTTGCCGTGAGCGTGTTTTGAAGAGCTACGTTTTTTGCCGTTAAAGCTGCATGGTTTCTCCAATTTAGAGAACATTTCAAATAGCATTCATTCCGATGACCCAAAACGCCGTTCTACTACGTGTGGAAGGAAAGGCCAGCCCAGGAGAAAAAAGATATTTTTAAAAGGCAAATTATGCCGAAGAGTTTTCGCCTTGAATCTCAGAAAGTCCGAGGAAACTCGCACTTAAGCTTAGCTTGTGGTAAGTAACCACGCATCGTCTGAGAATAAGGCCAAACTTACCTAACGGAGACCTTAGAGATACCATAACACACTACTAGTAGTAAATGTTTACATAAAAGTCAGAATTTTTTTGTTAAGTTATTGGTCCATTAAGGACTGTTTCTTTGGCTGGCTCAAGTGATTCAAGTTACCTGACAGAACAATCCGTTGATGCAGACACGATTACGTCAGCGCTTTGCACGTGCTCTAGTCCAACAACACGAGTGAGGTGCCCTCGCCAACAAACAACTTGCTTAATCACATTCTGCAATAAACACATAAAGACGTTACCACTTATGCAAGGGTGAGTTATCGAACTTGGCGTGAGGTGATGCCACAGATTGTCACTTTAAAAAGCCAATTGTTTGCCATTATAACGGCTACAATTTACATCCCGTAAATACACTAATGAACCTCTTCACTTAATTGTAAATGAGAGAAATTATCCACTCAAGAATTAACAACTCCACAGCTGACGTTGTGCATGGGATACGCAAGAGCTTTTTCATTACAAGAAATTATCCCCTTCCTTCGTTGACACGCACAATCAGCGGTTTTACAAATACTTCTTGTATCCTTCATTAACCTATTAACTTAACATAAAATGGGAACAATGTCAAATGACAACGAAATCTAGAAACTTTCCGCCTTTGTCCTACCCCCAAATGAACAGAAGACAATGGAACGATTTTAGGGAAAGAATCAAACCTTATAGGCGGGGTTTAAAGCATAAATTAATTGTCTCGCAGATTAAAATGAGGTGAGCGTGTGAGTGAGTGAATTTTAGGTCCATACCTTAACTTCTCCGTATATGGCTTCTCTGTATATGGCTCTGTTCTGTTATAAAGCACGCAGGAGGCGGCTAGAGCACGAAAGAAGTGTAAGGAGAAACACGAGACGTAGTCGAGCGTTTCTCCCCACTTCTTGAGTGCTCTAGCCGCTTCCTAAGTGCTTTATAACAGAACAGAGCACAGTCAAGGCTTCTCTATTTGTTTTATAATAAAGAATCCATTAAATTCCCCGAGCATTATATTTAATTTTCAAAACTTTATTTCCAAAGCGAACAACAGTGTCGTCAGCATGCTCTATACTCTCATAAAGCACGCTACAATAAGCCAATCAGAATCCCTGTTAGAATGGTTCAAATAATCTGATTGGCTGTACAACACTCGAAGGGCGGCCGATGTAGTTTCTGAGGCTTGCTGTGATGACCGGAGAACGTCATGATGAGCGAGCCGCGATGGACTTCAGTATGATCATATTCGCTCAGACACCGTCATGATTAGAATGAATTTTAACAGTTATGCCAGTTTGGTTATATTTTTCATCATTTCTGTTTTGTTCTGTTTTGTTTTTGAACACTGAACTTTATATACTATATGAGTGTTAGCTGTGTTTGATTTTTATTTCCGTACGTAAGCTTGAAATCTAACTAGGCGTGAATCAATCTTTAAAACCTGGAATGTCTATTTTTTTTTTCCTTTGAGGATTTTCGTATCTGCTGACGTTTTAATAACGTAAATTACGGCGCCTGGTATGTTTACAAACCTTTATTTGGTTCTTCTATTGCTACTTGCCGGCTCGCTTGTTCCGAAATTTCACTTTCAATTATCGGAAAAAAGCTAAAAGGAAGTCCCGGAAAAGGTCGAACATAGTACAGTTTGGCAGATGGCGTGACAGCTTTAGCTCAGCTCTATGCTCTATACTCTCATAGAACACGCTCTTTCAACCAATGACAGCGCGCGTTATATCCGAACTTTATTATAAAACAGAATGGTCGATAGTCTAATGAAAAGATGGGACAAATTGCACAAATAAAAATTTGCAGAGACAATGTTCTTTGGCAGTTTACCTTGGGCTCTTTTTTTGTGTCGTCCTTGTTACTTTCCTGGTCATCTTCACGTTGCTGTTGTTGATCACCGTCACTTCCCTCGGATGAAGGATCCAAAAGAAAATTGCCGACATCCCACACGGTGATGTAACCCCCTTCAGGACAAAATCATGCATCAGCGTGTTATGCAACTTAGTACAGTGAATAAAAGGGGTAAGTTTCCGGAGAAACTGAGGTGCCATGTCGGTGGGAGAGTATAATTGGGTAATTTAGCATTATCAACTGAGTTGATAATGTAAATTGACATCCGCAGAGTTTCAAAGCTGATGTTTCGAACGTTAGCCCTTCATCAGAGCGTAAGGGCTCTGACGAGGGGCTAACGCTTTGAAACTCTTTACGGTGGCCAATTTACGTTATCAACTCAGTTGATAATACTAAACAACTCAGTACAGTGATTGCCAGGTAAAACTCGGTGGATATGATGAGAATACAGGGACAGCGCCACCCTTTATTCTTTGGAGGACGAAATTTTATTTTGTTATAATATGAAGTACGTTTGATGAATAGATTTCAAAATTTTCTGGACGCCCCCGCTGCTCGTTTTCAGACCCCCCATTCCTTTGAAATCAGGTTCTACTGCCTATACGGAAGAAAAATCAGGTATGGGGGGAAAAAAACATCTAAAGCATTTGACTTTTCGTATGCTTCCACATACCCCTTGAGAACATTAGAGATTATGAGGCAAAAGCTTGTAAGTGTGTTTATCACCCAAGGCCAAATCGCACTAATGACTTGTCAGTACTTACTCGCATCTCCACTGATAACAAAGTTGCAGTCCGGATCTGTGCACATGGAAGTCACTGCCGATGCCTGTCTCCTAGTAATTGCGCGTATCTCTGATAGAAGAGTACCCTAAAGCAAACAAGCGCATCCTGATCAGAATTCCTCATAACAAAGACTAAAACCTAACTCCTCCAGGCGCAAGTCATTCATTATCAGTCATGATAGCTGATAAGAGAATGGATTTGTCGTCCGATTAACCATATTCAAGAATGAAAATTAATGAATATCCTCTTCGTACTAAGGGCTACTGCCAACCAGAAAAGGCGAACTTATAACCTTGCTCTGAGTCAAAGTCGCAATGAAGAGAAATCGTGAGAAGGATGTTTATGGATTTGATGGTGAAAAGACTTCATGGCTTCAATTCTAATCCCGAGAACGTGTTCAAATATTCAACTACGGGCCACTTCCCACATTCGAAACTTACCGATAAATTCCAGAATCGCAAAAAGCCATCATGATGAGCAGACACTAAAGACGGTTCGCTGACTTGTAAAAATGCACCATGAACAGCTTGCTCAGTAACTTCATCTTCTTTTTCTTCCTGTTCATCCTCATTTTCAGTTTTAGATTCCTGCTCCAACTTCTGCTCCTGATTCCTGTCCTCTCCACTTTGTTCCTCTTCACGTCCTCTATCTACTTGTTCTTTATCTGTTTCAGCAATTATTTCTTCTTCACCCTTTTCAAGATTCCTATCTTGCTCGCCATTTTGAGGGTCACTCGCGTCTCCCGTATCAGCGCTATCTTCATCTCGTTCATTGCTTGATTTCGGCAAGTTAGTATTTTTACTAAGAACGGAAGAAACGATTTCGGATTAGGCACATAAAATTACAGAATGCTATCGAACGTTGAACAAGTTCAAATCCACTGATAAAAATAACATAAACGCATTACAAAGACATATCTCACGTTTCCCAGACTCACCTCTTCTAAATAAGCAAAGAAATGAACCTCACGGGTGGAATGCAATTTAAGCAGAAAAGAAGCTGAAAGCAATTTGGGCTTTGACAGAAGTCGGACTTATGCCTGACAGATACTAGTGGGGCGATACTATCGACTGAGCTACGAAGCCACGAGTTCGGAGCTAGGTAAAGTTCAGAGGGTTCATCTTCCCCTTCAAGTAATCTGCTCACAACTTGTTAATGAAATAATTTAAGATAACTAAGATAGTGAAGATAGTTTTAGCTAGAATTACGGTCAATTATATCCACAAAAGAAGGTGACATAGGTACAGTAACACAGAAGTCCGTATGAAAGATAGTATGAGAAGATGATAAAATATACCCGTTGCCGTAAATGATGGGTTTCCTAACTCGATGAATAAGATAAAGCACTTTGTACACCAGCTGTTCATCTCGGTGATTCCGTCTGTAATTACTGCTGTTTGCACTCCTGGATTTTGGTGGTTGACACCTACGCAAATAGCACCAAAGCAAATAGCAACGAAAAAAACTCATTAAGGGTTGATGAGGTAAAATCAGCTGATAACAGTTTCTACCGAGTGGCCAATCCAGCCGAAGCTCACCTTGGTTTCCGTGAAATGAAAAGACTAGAAGTATTACTACATTTTTTCTCATTTCTTGCATTTCTCCTCGCTCCTTGAGAAAAACTACGCAACTCGCAAAATATCCGCGTGCATCATATGTTTACCATGGAATAAGGTGTATGGATTGAGAAGATAGACATGGTTTGCACCTGTCGGAAATAATAGGCTAAACATTATCAAGCTGCGCAAAGTGTGTTGTAGCTTTTCTAAAAAAACACGGAAATCTCTCGGGTCATGGTTTTTACTCAACTGATTTGGTGTGTAGGGACTTCCCTTTCAAGATCGATTTGGTTTTACAAGTTTGACACAGGGTCTGGCGTGTTCCACATTAGCCGATTTTTCTAACAGCGCTAGACTGACCTTAAGACGACCTTCTCCGTCTCTAGATTCCACATGATGACTGCTCCACTCGATGTACCAGCAAAAAGTAAAGGAGATACATGTTCCAAACAAGTTACTTCACAAAACGAGAGGACATGCTCCTGCAATGATGACAACACATCACTTTGAGCTAAACTTGTTGCACCAAGTGACTTAATCTAAGTCAGTTTTGCGCTTGTATGGGTAACTGATGAATTTAAAGGAAGTGAGAACAATGACTGCAAAATAATCGAGACCCTCCCCCCAGCAACCCGAACCAAAAGGGAAACATTCAAACCGCAACAAAGATGTTACATGGTGATAAAGTTCGTTTACAAGACAGAAACAAGTTGAGACAGAGTCTTTCACCATTAAGTCATTTTAGGTATCTGGTCTGTTGAAAATAATGTAAAGAATAATGTTACAGTTACCCCCTTATAAGATTGGAATGTTTTTTTGGAAAAAAAAGAATGCCTTCTGAGATTTCCTTCTGAACAAAATGCACTGTACAGGACTGCTATTTTCAGATCCATCTAGAACCAGCGGAGTAGCGGTTGTGAGGGAAGTCAGTCTTTTGGTTTCAACCTCTCTGTCCACGTTCTCATGACAAAATTTCAGTATTTCTTCAGTTCTTTTATTGTAACCAACATTTGAAGCCTGGTTCGAGTGGATGAGATAGCCCTGACGCCATACCTCATTACTTGATTGGACCTCCTGAGATTCTCCAATGGTAGGCAGAGGTGCCCTTGAAATGAACGGTGCCTGTCCTTCTGAAATATAGGGGAAAGATTTTGAGTGCGATATTTTAATCAAGAATGGAATCTACTTGTCTTCAGTCAGAGACGCGATAAGGGGTGGACTATGAATCGAGATATACGGTTTGGGGCCCTAGCCGTGTTGTGTTCCGGGAAAGATAACTCACTCTCGCTGAGTCCCTTTCCACCAAAGGTATATAAAGTCTTTTGTACCGGCGGATTGTTTGAGAAACCTGATAAAAAATGGTGGGGGACAAGCTAGAATAGACTGGCATTCCATTCATGCGAGTTAGCGATACTCGAAGTCGCTTCGTACTATCGAAATGATTGTAAATAGGTAGCCTGCATATCATAAAGCTGGTGCTTTTCTTTTCAGGCTACCCGGCCACTATAGAATTTTAGCGGTAATGAGATAAATGAAAACAATGGAATCGAATCGAATCGAAATAAACTACTTGGCTCGAACTCAAGACTCCACCCGCTTTTTGCTAGTGTCTTATTTATATAAGGCGACAAGAAGAATTTTCCTTACTGACTGAAATGATCGTACAGAATGCGCTTAACACTATTATCATATTTCACCCCTTCAGCAAAGTATACAAGATTCAAAAAAACAATGTCTTCTGCACAAAAACTGATCCCTGAATTTTGTCGATGTTCACTGGTACAGAGTAGGTGGCTCCCACAATGTAAAGAGTGTTACCTTGGGCAGAGTTTGAGGGCACTGGTGGAATAAAGAGATCTGATAAAACCTTGAGTTCGATTAAGGTTGCGACTTCTGCTGAGTCCTGTGGGGATAAGGAATGAACCTTAATAAAGGCAAATTCAACACCAGTAGCAGCGCAACAACAGGTTTAGCCCTTTACCTCCCAGAAAATAATAAAATGTAATGTAACTTGTCCTTAGAATATACTATAGCATCTGGCCAACTACTGATAAAAGCACAAGGCATCTGTTTCAAAACGAAGTTACTATTTTACAGGTGCATGTTTAGCCGCCATAGGGCGAACAACAAATCAGATCTTGAAAATCAGTTATACTATCTCCTAACCAACGAGCAGGCCCTCATCATTAACGCTACAGGACGTGAATTTCTCTACCCGCGGGAATAGTTGAGATCAATCGGGAAGAGGCTTGCCGGGGGTCTGGCACTATTTATCAGTTCCAGACCCCTTACAGACCCCTCGCCGGATAGCGTTGCACAAGGCCTCCTACTTTACCGGGAACGAAGAAAAGCTCGTCCTTAAGTGATAATAGTAAAGACTTGTCGCAAGCTACAAGTTTTCCCCACATGACACTTCCTGTTTCTTAACAAATGTGACAATCATATGCTCAGGCTGAAACGATAGTAGTGAAGACTTGTCGCAAGCTACAAGTTTTCACCACATGACACTTTCTGTTTCTTAGCAAATGTGACATGAAATATAATCATAATCCAACGACCATATAATTAGAATCAAGAAAGAGGTTTCACTTGTTTTATATATGAGTTCAGATACATAAACACAGTCGTATTTAACGGTGTTGGTTTGTTCAAATACGCACTAAAAGATCTCCTCAAGGCAGTTTCAGAGGGTAAGTTGCTCTCTGATTAAACAGGTTAGTTGTATCACTACTATCGAAAACACGGAGAATAAAGAGTATTTACAACAGTTATGTCACTAAAATTTAACGCCAGAGTTCTTAGATCTTTTTTTACCTCCATGATTCTTATTTTCTTTCCCCACGAAGACACCAACAAGCATCTTTTGTTGTACATCGTGTGATACGTCAGGTCTGTTATGGTGTCTTCATAGCGTTTTTTAGCGTGTTCATCCGGATACTTCTTATAAAGCTGTCCGCTGCCAAAATCCCACACGTTTATAGAACCTGGTGAGAGAGAAGAAACCAGTTGGGGTCTTCCGAAAAAGAATTGAGTCCAGAAACTACAAAACTTACACGTCTGTCGAAACTCAACCACCAATTGCTCTATTTTAGGACACTAGGTAGTCTGTTGCAGGCGTTCAGCGGGTGAAACGGTGCGAAATCCGTGCGAAATAATTAACGGCGCGATAGAAGCGGTCAAATGAAAAAGGAGTGAGGTTTGGGGTCGGGTCGTGTAAAAAAAGTTGCGCGAACAGACCCAGACCTCCCTCGTTTTTCACTCCTCGCGGCTACAATTGCGCCGTTTACTATCACGCTTCGTCTAACTCACTGTACGTCTGAAATAGAATGGTATTGTACTACAAGCGGTGAACGAGTAGAAGGTGCTTGGCCTCTCTGCGTCAGCAAACTTTGCGATACAATAAGACAAAGTCACTTGAAGGTTCTCCTCGGATTCTCAAACTCAGAAATCGTCTCATAATAACTTAAGCGAGGGTAGATAAGGAATCAGACCTGTAACTTGTTCTTCTCAACTTTGCAAAGATTTACAGTGTCTTCCTTCTCATAATTGTTCTCACAGTAGTAGGCGTAAATGTAGAACGTGTAAATATACGATGTCATAAACGCTACAAAGATTTGTGTGCACAGATAAGTTAGTTTTGGGTGGTCATGTTCGTCCTGTAAGGAAGAGAGTTAGCAGATTGATGCCTGTTATTTCAAAGGCACACGTATCCTTAATATACGACAATCATACTAACCATTGTAAGCTCCAGTAGCAAGCCTGTAACCTGAGCTGTCTACTGTCATGGCTGTGATCTCCGTAGACGGGCCATGGGCATCAGCTACCTGATAAACAAACTTGCCTGTCTCCATTTCCCAAACCTGTACAAAGGAGGGAAAGACAATAAAGCAAAAAAAAATCCTGACGTATTTTATCTCATTCCTTTCTTTAACGGCCACCACAACAACACTTTGCTAATATTCTAGAAAGGGAACAAAATGTTGATACCTTAAGTATCCCTTCAACGCAGCCGCTAATGACCTGGTTCATCTGAGGATTGTACAAAAGCTGAACACACGAAAGCACAATTAGAACAAGTGACATTCTCCCGGTCAGCCTAAAACCCTTAGCACCTCTCATTGCAGGTGTAAAATAGGCAATCACAAATTACAAACCTGACATATTGGTCTGTCATGAGTGTGGGGAACTTGAAGTGAATCCTGAATGGCTCGAGTCAGTGGCCAGGTGTCAATTACACTACAACCTACCGGGGGATTATTTATTCAAAAACAAAAATAAGGAAGAAGACAGAAATCAGGAGACGGTGAAGCTGAGCGGTTTGAGGGGCTTAGAATTTAGAATCTGGAGTTCTAAATGCAAATCCTTTAGTTTGCCATCGCTGGGTGGCTGATGACTGACCAATTAACTGATTGACTGATTAACCGACTGACTGACTGACTGCCAAAGTGATTGACTAGCTTACTGGCTGACTGACTGACTGGCTAACTGGCTAGCTGACTGCCTGACTAGCTCACTGACTGACTGACTGGCTGGTTGACTGACTGGCTGACTGGCTGGCTGGCTGACAAAATGACTGACTGACTAACTGAGTGAACGGCTACCTGACTAGCCGACTCTGAGTGTCATTTACCTGTAATAAGTCTGTCATGCTTGGCATCAAAAAGCATACAGGAGATGCGCTTCTCTCCTGGCCTAACTTCATTGTCTGTAAATACCTAATACGAAGAAATACACAGGGAAACATGTATCCGTCTTGACACGAGCGCAGGACAAAGTATATATTGTGAGTTCCCATGAGGAGTCGAACCTTAAACCTTCGTACCCAGAGGCACCATGGATGAGTGAGGACCTTAATAGGTTCAAATGCGACACAGGTCCTGCATTCAGCATGGATCAGCAATGTTGAAACCGTCATGTAAGTAAATAGAATAAAAACGTTGGCTAATTTTGAGATTGGCGATGACGAAAGGAAAGATGCTTTTGTCTTAAGGCCCTGACTTACTTGCAAACATGACAGTGTCTGGATATCCCATACCCTGAATACCTGAGCAAAAAGGAGAAATTAAAGTGAGTCGCAGGATTGCAGAAAGTTAATCCAGTTTCTAAAAGAGAAGAGACATCCTACAGAGATGTTGTGTCGTTACTAATGAGATACAAACGAGCTTGTGAAGCGTTTTACGCCATTTCTCGCCTTGTTGAGAAATTGTGACTAATTAATACACTCGAGCTATTCAGTATACCATAAGGGGGCACTCAGTTTTAAGACATGAAAGAAGATATCCAGGATTTTGTTACCCTTGCTGTCGATAAACTGATGAGTTGTTGATCCTTTTCATTCACAGCAATGTCAACAATTGTGAAAAGGTGGCCAAGTAATTTTCCTGAAGAACAAAAATGCCTTCTGTTAGCTTTTTGCTATCACCATAACAAACTGTCTAGGAATATTAATTATTGCATATTTTCTTGTTACTCCGATGGGTTTGAGCTAATCCGATCGACAAGGAACTCGGGGTGGGGGGCTTATAAGAGAAGAAAGCTTATTAGAAAGGGGGAGGGAGCTCAATAGAGAGGTGACTTGATAGAGAGGGGGCTTAGTAGAGATCGGGACGCATTAGAAAGAGGGGCTTCTTAGAGAGGGGGCTATCAGAGAAGGGGCATAAAAGAAAGGAGGCCTAACAGAGAGGGGGCTTAACTTAAGGGGGAGCTTACTGGAGGGTGAGGTTTTTTAGAGAGGGGGCTTCATAGAGTCTTAATTTAGAGAGTGGGGCTTACTTGAAAGTGGAGCTTATGAGAAAAGAGGCCATGGGAAGAGCCAAGGACAAGAATAGAGAAACTCTCAGTGAGAGTCTTACCAGAGAGAGGGAACTTGTCAACATGGAGGGTCTCATTAAGGCATTTAGGGTATCTACATGATCATGAAATAAGTCAGTTTTTTCAAGTGGCATTTCAGCTTTACCTGTTGGTCTTGTGAATATGAGTGGATGCCAAACTCTTATGACTTTGTCTGCACCTAAAATGGTAATCAATAAAAAAAATGAATGCTATTTGTAAAATTCAATTCTGAGTATTAATAGCAATCAATTCATGACTGAAACTGGCAGCTGCTGAACTTCTCCACTTATTCTGTGGAACATTTGGGGAAAGGGAAAGGCATTTCAACAACCATAGTAATATAGGTTTTAACATGCTTAACCCTTTAACTGCCATGAAGGATCAAGACAGAATTTCTCCCTACAATATAATACAATAAGAGGCAGACATGTGATGAAAATAAAGAAAAATATCAATGAGGGGATCACTAGTTGATCCAATACCAAATCCTCCTCAGTAACATCATGCAAATTATATGGAAGTCAGCAAGTATAATTACTAATGCAATCTAATGGTCAAAGGGTTAGGGGTAAAATAGATAAGTGAACAGTATACTTACCAGCTGTGATAATGACATTGGCTTTTGTACAATAATCAAAGCAGTTGACCCCCTTTGGGACAGCAAGCTCTCTGACAGGACTGGAAATTAGTAAAACAAGCCAGCTATTAGATGTGACACTAGCTCTTGAGGTAGTTAAGGAATACTTGTGTTCTGGTGTCTTTAAGCTAAAGCACATTGTTGATTTTCAATGAGCAAAAGTTAATTGAATGTTTTCTCTAAAAGACTCTTAAAAACACCAAATTTTCTTAAATATCTGATATGTCATCACAAGCTACTGTGTATTTAATTCAGGAATAACAGCTCCTTTTAAACATGCTCTGAGTTTAGTGGATTAGGGTTGATGATACAATGTTTGATTATAAAGAAAGTTTTGGGAAATTTAATTTTTTTTGTCATGAGCAAAATATATATATATTCTCCCCCCTATCCCCCTCTTCCTGTAAGATCTGTGGGCTTTTTAGTAGTTGTGTGACACAAAAATTCTTGCCACCACTAGATCACACGATACATCAAAATATGAAGTATTCAATATCAACTTATCTCCCAATACTTCTCAACTTATTTAGTCTGTAGCTTGGTAAAGGCTTTTTTTTTTTTTTTGGTTGAATTAGGTTTACATCCTCCTATCATAAATTCCAGGATTCCCCCTAAAGCCTATGGTAAACTGAAGCCATTCCTGAGTTCATTTAAAATTTTGTCAATGGTGTTGAAAAAAGTCTGTTTGAAAAGTGGTGTGTACGAAATTCTTCCATGAACTTACAACCATTACCAGTATTTATTTTAAGCTGACCTGTGGTCCAAGATTTTTTCAAGGTTCCCCAATATAAATGAACAATTGCTGCTTGGTGAACAGGATCCAAACATTTCCAGTTGAGGAAAATACTTAATCTATCAGAAAATGAAAGAAAGTCAACACAATGAACATGCTTGTCTTACCATGATTACTATTTCATGCAGTTTCCCTTTCTTTACTTGTTCAAAAATACCGTAACTGATTTTAACTAAAGAATTATCAAACACCACCAAAATTACTCATAACAAACCTTGATCACCCAGTCATCATGGAATCTTCTTCTCTGCAGTGCACTGATAATAGCAAAATATTGAATTACTTAATCTCATCTCTTTTTGGTTGGTCTTTGATGGTTGTAGGATAGTTACGAATCGTTTAGAATTACATGTGTAAGCAAGTGCCATAATTGGGTGAAATACAATGGTGTCAGTCTGTAAAACTGGTTACTCCAGCCCTGTTCCTTTAACAATGGGCTTATGTTTAGGTAACCATAACAATCTCTCAAGCCCTCCTCATCAACTCCTATTAAACACCCATAGAGCCTGCTCTCTCAGAGATTCAGCCATTCCAACAGTTTCTATATACTTCAAGCTAAGACTCATGTTTGTTTAATTTAATAAAGTGTAAAATTATTATTTGAATAAGATACAATGTCATGCAACATAGTCATTAGTAGACAGAAAAGCCATAAGGATAGAAGAGAAAGTACATGAGGCCACATGTTGTGCTATGTTCATGTTTATGATATTCTTACTAGGTGAGTTTGTTGGGTTCAATGGTGACAATCTGAGAATCTGTTTTTCCTGCTGTTGAGTTCTTCATATGAAGGTCTTTTGAAGACACTGTCATCATATTCACATATCCTAGGATTTAAATAAAAAGAAATGTGTGGACGTTTTTGATCTCATGAGTAATTTTTAAGTTCACACAGAGATAGGGAATGATTTTAAATAATCATTAACCCTTGACTCCTAGCAGTGACTAGAATCTAATTTCTCCTAACAATATCACTCCTGAATCACACATTGAGGTCATGAGAATATAGGAAATGATCACTAACTGTAGAAGCTCTTGATTGTTTAACAAATTCTCCTTACAGTAAATGGTTTGAACCCGGGGTAACATGTAATACGAGAAAAAGTAACTTAATCATGTTTTTTCGAAGAACTACAATGAAGACTTCATCCAACATAACACTAACAGACCTACTACTACCAAAGCTAATGACAACGCAACTCCTACGACCACAGCCACCATACCATACATAAAGGGCATATCTGAGAACATCTCACGCATCCTACAACCATTAAATATCTGCATCACTCACAAACCTATCACCACACTATATCAGTTACTGACTAACATCAAAGACAGAGACAAACCGAGGAACAGACAAGGAGCAGTATATAAGATCAATTGCTCCATCAGTGAGACTGGCAGAAACCTCACAACTAGACTGACTGAACACAAACAAGCGACAAGGAAAAGCGATGTCAACAATCACATTGCTGAACATCAGCGACTTACAAACTACACTATTGACTGGGACTCTGCGCAATGCCTAACCTACAGCACCAACTACTTTCAACGACTGACCCTGGAAAGCTGGTTTACTAACTAGGAACAGACTTCTCTCAACAGGTGTCAACCACTACCAGCACCATACAAACAACTCATCCACAACATTAACATTACAAATGAACCAAACAGAACAACCTAACTTCACTAACGGATCCAAACCAACCAATCACGACTGACCTACGCCACTTGAGTCTTACCGCCAATAACATCACAGCAAAACTGACCAATCAGTGTACACAAACCGGACTAAGTACATTCAACTGACAACAACCTTTCACTTGACTCTGATGATGACTTCCGCTCAGGTTGTCGAAACGTCAGTCACCACTACCGACAACAGTCCTTCTCAGGACTACAATCACCCAGACGATCAAACTACACTATTACAAATTCTCCTTGTCAGCTCCTTAGGAAATGTATAGAAATCAGCATGGAGAATATGCATATGAATGTAAGGGTGTAAAGGGTTAACGTGATCAAGTTCAAGCTCAGGACTACAAAAAGATATTATCTTCCACTATGTTTTCAAAAATAGTTGACAAGATCAGCAAAATGGTCTGCCTCACCTTGATCATCTCCAAACAGTATTGTGTCCTCATTCATGGATTCAGTCTTCCATGGAATGTAGATCATGCACTGTGGGGAGTTCTCCAGCGGCTTGATTTGGTAAATTGTCTAAAGAAGGAAAAACATAGCTCAAGGGAAAAATTATAAGACATGCTAATGGAGTGGAAGTGGGAAAAAAACAGATATAATAAGTGAACATACAAGTATTGCAGCATGGCATGGATCTGACTTAAAAGTACATGTTGTACTGTACATGGCTTTGCTAAAAATCATGAACTCAAGAAGCAGAACAACAGCATAAACATTAAGGTGATAAAATGAGACACAATTGTATAGCTGGCAACATTGCCCATCAAGCCCAGCTTGTTTGAAGGTCAGATAAGATTCTATCCAGTGGAAGGTGCAGTAGTTTGGCTGTGGGGCTCATCCACTGGGTAGCAATTTATCCTTTGGATAGTGTTATCTGCCCTTTGAACAACTAAGCCCAAATGGAGAAGTAATCAAGGACCCCAACAAAACTAACTTGCTGTCCAAGGTTTAAGACTATAAGAAAGAGGACTTGAAAGAGGCTACTCTTTGAGAAATTTGTTACAGCCATAACACTGTAATAAAGGGCTGATATGACTTTCAAAGTCTACCGGGAGTCAAATGGTTCATTAGCAAACCAACTAGACAACTGGCTAAGACAGCATTTCAACCTTGTTCTTACTTTTACATCAACCATCTTCATATCAGATTTACATGTACATAACTAGAAGTAAAATATGCTTGTTCAAACCTACCAACTGTTTTCTTTTTGCTCTGTAGTCCCATAAAGATAATGCTCTCTCAGATGTAACCTGGAAGTGGATTTCCATTTTAAGATCATTTAAAAGAATATTTGGTAAACAAAGGCATTAATGCATGAAACCATCTGAAATCAAATCTGTTAGCTAGAGGGTGGTGTACAACTTACTGCTATTCTTCTGAGACTGGGCAAAAATCCACAGCCTGTCACCCATGAAGACTCCTAATGGAGGAAACAAGCCACATTTTATGTCACAAAAATAAGCAGTTCAAAAGCAATTCACCTCAAACATATCAGACAAACAAACTGAAGCAGATCAGAAAACTGAACCAAGAATGATGGAACATCTCAGAAAATCAACCACAATTTTCTCATTTGTTGGAATTACAAAACCATCCATATCATACAAATAGTTAGAGTTTGCATAAGCTAATAGTCACACTATTTGTGCATCTGTGACATCCCTTGAAAAGAACAAGTTAGGCACTTCTAGGCAATGGTTTTAACTTACATTCAAGTCAACGCAGGACTGAAGCCGAAACTGAAAAAATAAAGGGATAAAAACAAGGAATGTGAAAAAAGCTTTAATTTGGACACACCTACTCTCCAGGTGACAATAAAGGTTCATAATTTACACACCTTTTCTGTGTACTGTGCCCTCATGAGACCCTTAGAAACTTTTTTCACTGCTGCCTTTAGGATTTTGCTCTCAAAAGTGATCAACATGTAACTTTTCCCCATGATATCCATACATTATCCAGCAAACAGGTAATGAAAATAATCAGACTTATCAGGTAGAAATTGCTGTCTTGGCAATTAACACAAAATTCTCATAACTAACTAATACAAAATTTTCATAATTTCCATGAAATTTTGATATATGCAGTGGTTGTATTGGGGAACAGATCAAAGTCAACCAATCAGAAAGCAAGCCTTTCAAAGTAGGGGTTGAAAGGGAGTAAAAGGCCTCAGGATACATCAAAGGCGTGAGTAAAATTTGGCATTACTGACACATTAAAAACTGGTTTCCTTTTGGAAACAGAATAACACTGGATTGGGAAAAATCATAAGAAAATTAATAGACTGTGTGTGTTAATGAATACCTTACTGCTCCATTGACAAATAATGCCTTTCTGAGAGGCAATGATGTAAAAGTCATATTTTGGAACCTGAACAATGCACTGCACAACATCACGTCTTTTCTTATCCCCTATGGAAACAAAGCAAATGGTTAACACTTTCCAACCTAACATCAGTATGCATATTCTCCATATTGTTCCCCATATATTCCATAAGGTGCTGATGAGGAGAATTTGTTTGATAATCCAGAGCTTCTCTAGTTGGTGACCATTTCCTTTATTCTCATTACCTTAATGTGTGATTTGGGGTGATGTTGTAAAGAAAAATTAGATGCTAGTCACTCTCAGGTGTTAAAGGGTTAAACAAGACAGGGATTAGATATCTCATGTCTTGTAACAGTATTAGCAGATAGACCTGCACACAATTTATGTGAATTGAATAAGTTTCATTTAGTATAATATTTATGACAACAGCGAGAGGTAAGAAAAAGAGCTCGCAGCTGATTTTCCTCCTTTCTCCTCTAATTTTTCATAAATTCTGATGAAAGTTGAAAAATGTTTGGCATTTATGCTAGTTAAATAAATTTTACCTGATATAGAGTACAAAAGCCAAGGAACAAATGATAAAAGTCCATTCGCAGGAGTTTCATTAAAAGCTGTTTACTGGCAGTCTATCTGCTCTTATTGCCCTCTGTTTAACTTGTAAGCAAGCTCTCGTGTTTTGTGTTTTACCTTACAGCCCCTTCTAGCCACAGTTGCCCATTACCATATCAGCAACTTGTCATAGAATACATGTAGGTTGTTGAAACCCTAGCATTCATCAATTTCTGTTGAATTATGCTCTTTTGAAGCACTTTATCATCAAACTGCTTTCAAGAAACATTTGGTCCTTACAGAAGAGATTATGTGCAACTGTGCATGTTCATACCTCCTGCCTCTCCTACAGATCGTCTCTTGCTGGTGGTTATGACTGATGAAGTGTCTTCATTTAATAACAAGTCAGGTACTTCATCCGTTGCACCACCAATGCCAAACAGCTACATAGAAAAAGTTTTGCAACGTAGAACATTAGTAAAAGAAATGGTAGAAAGGGATGCTGGAAAGGAAAGTAAAAGATCTCCACATTAAAATTTATAGGATTTACTTTATTTCCTTGGATGAATAAGCACCCATGCTCTGAATAAGCACCCACCCCCCAGGTCATACTTTCAAACAAACACCTTTCTCAAATAACCACTCACCCCTCTCCTCCCTCACTCTCTTAAATAGTTCACCCCCTCCTCCCTCGCTTTTTTTAAATAGTACCAATACAGAGAAGACATGTTTCTATCAGTGCCACTTAATTTATAACTTTTTAAGCTTCAACTACAGCAAAACAGTACTGGTTATTAGTATCTTTATCAGTGCCCCTCCTTTCAGCCAAAATTTTACATGAGCACCTGGGTACCTATTCAAGGAAATATGGTAATCCTATTTCATCAACATTTTCACTCCCAAGATCTCATTAATAATTATCCTCACTGTTTGTGATACAATTCTTATGAGGCAAGTTTAAGGAATTTGCAATTGGATCAAATGAAAATTCCTTTTCTTTATTCTCATTACTTGTCAGCTTGACATTTTAATGATGTTGTAAGGAGAAATTAGGTCTTGGTCAAGCATGGGAGTTAAAGGGTTAATGGGTCCAAACCAATAAAAGATAGCAATAAAGAAAGCAATCAGCAGTAGCTTATTGCTTGTCACCCATTAATCTCCTCAATCTAGAGTGGGATTAAACTGCGTTAATTTGTAGAAACATATCTATGGACTACCCCAGCCCCTGGGTAACATGCGCACTGGCCCTGTTCCACTGAAAAGGGCCTTTCAAAACAAGAAGTTGGTTTGAATTGCTTACCAGGGGTTTCAATAACTCTTTCTTAAACCAGCTGCCATACGGCCAAACCCAACACAAGAGCCTGCTCACAGGCTGAATAGACTGCAGTGAGAGGTCTTACAGGCAACGGGAGACTACCAATAACTGGCTTTTATCAAAACCCCTGAATTACCCAACAAAAATGACTATAGGGAGGCAGACATAATTCCGTGCCTGCCTCTGGTGCTCTGGTATATATTTTGAGTATGCTAATGTCAAAGCAGTATTTCCCATTTCCTTCAACCAAGAGGGGAAAGTTTGAGTGAAGACTGCAGGGAGACATGCTGGGACATTGGGTAAAAGGTGGCAAAAAATTGATTTTGGCTCTCTATAACCCAATGCCCTTACATGACTCCAACTTGGCAAAAAGAAATATAAAAGAAAAACAGGCTACTTTTTAAAATAAGATTGCACCTATTCATCATAGTGAACATACTTGTAAGAGTGACAATGAAAATCACTGCTTTATTATAGACTGTAGTCACTACCAATGTGGATTGCATTGGAAGTGCTGAAATCGTGAAACAAATGATTATACTTCATACATAAAGAGGGCTGTGTTAATTAATGTGAACACATCTAGCCAACCATTTGATCATAATTATGAGGTAAGTCTATGGTTGGCAAGCTGTTTACACCTCTCAAAACCTCTCGCCTACCAAGTTTGAGGTCAGCTGGGCATCAGTTGTCTGTCCAATCATATAGTGTGTAGGATTTTATTTATTAAATACTATGATCTAAATAGTGCCATTTGATTTCCCATCTAAAAGTTTTCTCCTCTGCCATTCCCTTTCAAAACAAAATAATTCAGGTGTACAGAGTATCTCAGGCAGTAAAACACGGCTTCACTAAAGAGTCATTTCCTTGTTCTTAAGCCATGTTTAGCCAGATAATCTATATGGTTTGTATTAACTTATATTACCAGGTTGTTTATTCAACTCACCTCACTCCAATCAACTTGAGCATCGGGATTCAAAGCTATCTTCCTGAACAAGGCCTTCAAGTCTTGAGTACTCACGTCGTTGCCAAAAAGATTACGAATTGCTTCGCAAAATGGTTCGTAGCCTAGAAAACCACAACACGTCAACCACAAATTAATTACCGCACGTATGTAAGCTTTTAAAATCCGTGTCAAATTTCGAAGTTTCAAAAACCTTCGAAATTTGACATGGATTTGACCTTTCTGCATTCCGATTTCGCTAAAAAACAGTGCAATTAAAAAAAAAAGAGCTTCTGCAATAAATCATTTAGTACGAACCGTTCGTCAAACGAGCTTGTAGGATCTGTTGTCGTTCTTCTGGATTTAATTCTTCGTCGACATATGTAAATTCTTCGATGAATTGCTCGAATAACGCCAGCTTCATTCGGAAGCTTCCAACAGTATATGGTCGCGAGCTCTGGCTCGAAAGCATTTCCACGGTGGCGATATCTTCAGCTGAGTTGTCTCATTCTTTCACTCCAGGATAGAAGAAAAACAACATCAGATTCCAGTTCTTTTGTTATCACATTTTAACACCAAGGCACAAACCTAAGTTCAAAAGACTTATTACCACAGCAACACGGCAAATTTCAAACAACCAATTAAAATTGTTCTTTTGTTGGGAACACAGACAACAGCCAATCATAGTACTCTTAAAAAAAACCGTAAATTCCGGCGGGAAAATGAATGACAGTGAACAAATGCGCGAAAGTGTGAATGAATTACTTGTCTGACAAAGTGTAAATCCCTTTTGAAATGTTTTGTCTGTTTAGGGTGTTTATCTGTACAATTGATTTTGGAAAACCCTCTATTCTGTTTGAAGATGTCAGATTTCATCGTGTCATTGAAAAATGCTCAAAGTACAAATGACCAAATCGAAGTATTAGTTTGATTATCATGGATTTAAAGAACACTGTTGAAGAATTCTACTTCCAAGGTTCATTAATAATCGACTTTCCCCATTTAGAGTCGACTGTCGATAAGAGAACTCAGTCTAAAGTCATCTAAATTCTTTGCGCGTCAAATGTTGGTCGAATAATATTCTTAGGAGCTAGTAGACCTTTTGTTCAAGAGTTTTCTATACGCCAGTTCTGAATTGTGGCGAGTGACGAATCCTAATAGATCCTAATTTCATTTGTGTTGTTTTTTCAATTATTCCTAGTGCGGCCTTGTTTCATTTTTAATTACACAGTAGTTACACGGACTAGAGTCAATAGTCGGTACTTATGCATGTGAGGGATGCCTTGATATGGACTGTTGCGTCCTGTTTCTGGTGACAGTGACACCCATTAAGAGCAGGGAAGAGGGGACAGGTATCTGCCATGTAAAGGGCTGGCCACGCAACCCACGGAATTCCTTGATGTTATTTGACGAAGCCAAGCAACAATGGCTCATTGGAAAAAGGCTATGCCTGAAAGTGATTGTCTGATATTTCTTAGAGTCAACCCTAATAGAATAACAACCATCGAACACAAAAAGACACACTAAATGGCTTATTAGACCGGACCTTTTCCCGATTTCCGTAGCAAGAAGCGACTGGGAGTCAGGGTTCCCTAACAGTCCACCGATTTGTATGTTATTCGCCAGCCGGACGATACATATCGAGAAAAACTGTGCCCTCTGTTCTGAGTGACGGAGTGAGCATACGGACCGACCTAGGCTGGTGAACAACAGCATTATCTTTTTCTAAAAGTTAAAGAAATGCTTTCCAAAAGAATTCGAATGATTTAGGGCTGTTAGAACGGTAAGATCCTGTCTAACCTGAACACTTCTTGGGCGAGTGAATGGTAGTTAAAACAGAGGTAATGCAAATTAGAGAGAGGCGTCACCGAAATATTTCTGTTTGTGAAATGATAAAGGTGGCTTAAAAGGCTTCAAGACAAACTTTGAAACATTTCTTTAACAAGTATCTGTCACAATCTGACACCTGACAATTACAGACTTCGTAAGAAAAAATGCGCATGCACACTTTTGAAAAGAAATCGACGGCACTGGTGAACGAGCTCAAGTTCAATGACTGTCACGACGGTTTTTTTTTTCAAAAACATTCAATGATCTTTAAAAAAAAGAGTATGATTCACTTCCACTGATGATTAATGTGAGAAGAATACCTCTGCTCATTCAGTAAACAGGAAGGAAAAGCAATTGTAAGTAACATGACATTCAAATGCTTGTTTTGATGTTGTGTGAGTTTGCTCGTCTGTTTGCGGCAATGTCGTGTGTAAATCTGGTCTTTCTTACACCGAAAAACTAAAGTTAAGGGAGACACTTTAACTAGAGCCAAGGGGAATGTAATGCGGTTTTTTTAGTTGAATTCCTTCGGTCTTTGTTGTACAATTTTCGGTACAAATTACCAAACTGAACGGACTAGCACAGACTTATAGAAAGCGTATTTGTAGTATAGGACTGAAAACTTCGCTCTCCGGTTTACAACGAAAAAATTGTTTTAGAGAATTTAGATATTAAATGAATGAAAATTCCACAAACTAATTCAATTGTTAACAATACCTCACAGTTTTAACTTTCTGAGGTACTTTTTGTGAAGGATTAAAATTAATCAGAAAAGGTTTTTCAGGACGCGTGTCAACTAATTTAATAATAAGACCTTAAGCAAACCACGACGGCGTCAGCAACGAGGACATGGAAAAAAAGATCTAATTGGCAGAACAATAGCTCAGCTCGTGCGTTTTAAAACTTTGTACATTTCTTAGCCGTTCTACGCAAAATAACAACGTGAAATCGCCACAATTTGCGTCGTCTGCGAACCGAAACCGCGACGGCAAATTATTTTAATATCCATTTGGAACTCAACGCTTCTCGTAAACTTTATGCTGAAGTTGAGGTGTGGCGCCGTTTGAGACGGTAAACACATGCAGCCATTTTTGAAATTCTAATTAAAGGCAAAAATTAATTTTTTAATCAAAGTCTCCCTTGGCGTTTCCGTTCTGACTGCTTAAGGTCTCTATTGACACATTTGCTATCAAAAATTCATTTCGAAAACAATTTTTTGCTGACCACCAAAGTGATTGGAGAAAAAAAAAAAGAGAGAATAAATAAGTTTTTTAATCGACATTATTTGCCCAAGAATACTTTGCTTAACAGTGTGCCCGGCCAGCAAAATAAAATATATCTAGGAAAAATGGCAACAAAGGTAGAGATGTACTCGGCGACTCACGAAAGCGTTATCTTGCCCGTGGATAGAGATAGGAAAATCCGGACCGCACTAAGAACCAATCAGATTCTAGGATTCGTCACCGTGCCCTCTGAGAAAAAAAATAAACCCATTTATACTCCTGAGTGGAGAGAGGCATTGTCAGAGTAAAGTGCCTTTTCCAAAAACACAACAAAATAACCCGGTCAGGAATTGAACCGGAACCTCTCGACGTGGAGGGCGGCGCGCCAACCTTTGGGGCTCCGCCCTTTTCACTTTGATCTGAGAGGAGGGAGGTCAAAAAACTGCGTAGAATTCCATGTTCTAGCCAGGCCTTCAATGTAATTAGAATTAAAAACAAGAAGAGCGAATTAAAGCTCTGCTTCTGGGAGAAGTACTAGAAGATATAGAACAACCAGGCTTAATAGAAGCGTAATCGTTTCGTAATGGTTGAAAGAGGGTTTATGGTCGGCAAAGATGGGAGGATGTAGCTATAGGCGATCAATAGTATGTCAATAAGCCTCATTAGGTTACATCGGGGTGTAATCATTGGCTTAAAATTTCTCACAAGTCAACTGGTGTTTAACATTTTATACAGTTGGGTTGAACGACTTAGTCTTTCAAAGATGAAATGTATCATGTACAAGTCACGATGCATGCAAGCCAAACCCCACCTCACCCATCCTTTAGAGTCGCGGCCTCACTCTAAGTTCAATCTGCGCTTTGCGAGTCTTTAGCGAAGAAAGCTTCCATGCTAAATTTTGGCTTGCATTGGTCCTGCTTTAGCTCAGAGGCCATGATCGTGGGGCTGGGAACAAAAAATATACTAGAAGTCAAAGCAGTTCTTCTGCCGCTTTCTGAAATGTTTAATCGCTTCCCCGACAGTCCTAACCTTACGAAGACCAACCACTGCCTCATACCAAGCTTAGAGTGATGCTCAAACATAAATAACAGACTCTGTCTTAGGAGTCAAACAATCTTCAGTATTTCCACATTCATTTGAGTTTTCTCTTTATCGAACAGCTTAAATGCTCGTCGACAAAAAAACTCATTTTGAAAGTGAGCCTCAGAAAGAATTGAAAGAAAGATTTTGTCTCATCATTCATTTTATCTTAATGTCATACACTTGCTATCATTCACATTACTCTTACTGGAAAATATATCAATGAAACTTATATAAGATATCAATATAATTATACATGATATCAGGAGGCTCCTTAAAATATATATGTATATATATATATATATATATATATATATATATATATGATTAGTTGATTTGATTCACTAGGTGACTGAAAAGAACATAAAAAAATCAAGAATTTTCCACCAAATTAAATGATAAAGTTGCCACTCACATGCTAAGCTATTTTGCGTCATTTCATCTCCAAAAATTAAAATATATTTACAACAAAAGTCGCTCTAAGTCCGGAGCCTGGATTTTCCAAAACAAATTTAGTAGAAAGACAACATGAGGTAAAGAAAGACGTTCATAACATAATAAAGTTGCGTGCAGTTATCATCCACAGTGGAATTCTACCAGAACGTTATCGACTTAATTTTTTATCTAGCAAGAACATTCAATGGCGATTATTGCTTTCTCTTTCCGTGAAAGGAGAGTCTTCAGCTGCTCAACCTTTGCCCATATTACAGTAACACTGTACATTATGTCTAAGAAGATTGATTTATAGTCTTGGTAATTAAACAAAGGCTCGGTGGTAAACCTCAAGGGGATTGGATTTGTCTTTGGCGTAACAATTTATTTAGAGTACGACTTTATTTGGTTGGATAAACTGCAAAAATTTATTTGTGTTATTATTCCAAACTTTCTTCATTACCTGTAGTTGCCTGATTTCGGTGACACGCCCCACCTGGATTGTGCTATCAAAAATACATGTGCCTCATGTAATGGGCGGGAAATTAACAGGTGTTCTCCTGCGGAGTATTGTATCTTTCATACCATTGAATACGGGAGGAATCAACAAACCTGCTCTAAGGAAGTTTTGATATTAGAAATTTGGTTTAAATTAAATAAGAGTATGAAATGCATATACGTTGCACATACTTCGCTAAACTTTGATATATCGTAAAATATCGAAATTCCCCAACTGTGAATTCGCACAAAGCTTATCCTGTATGAATGGAAGCAGCTAAGTTTGAGACTGCACAAGTTAACCCAATGTCTATGTTTAGACTAAGCGTTCAGCAGGTGGGATGAGAAAATAAAAGAGCTTTCCTTCTTGTCACCGACCTTGTTGATTAAAATAGCTCCCACCTGTTTAGGGAGACAGAAGCCGTTGATTATTAGCCTAAAGCATTTCTGCCACTCCAGAATTAAGAAGTAAGACTTTTGAGAGTTTTTGCAAAGTTATTCACGACAGAATGCTAGGGCCAACAATAGTTGCTCGTTTTTCCGCGAGCTGGTGAATGGAATGGAATTTCTTGTTTGGAATAGCCTTAACGTTATATAATTAGAGGAATTATTTTGAAACTTGTTCCATAATTGTTGTTAAGTTAAGTTAATTTTCGGCGAGGTATATGGTACCATCCTAGTATTTTTTTTCGAAAGTGGTTTGGTTGCCATTCTGGAAGAATTTCTTACCTTAATAAAAAGAAGAAATTTAATTATTGTAAATTGATTAACGTCTCCTGAACTGAAAAAGTTGACCCTTTTTAAATGAATCAGTCCATTCAATTTAAAACGGAGCAAGGATAAAGCAGTTTCACTCACTATAATTAATTAAGTTATTAATCCTTTATTATTCATGTTGGCATGCGCCATTTATATTTCGATATCAGTAGCAGTGGATTCGAATTCTATATGAAATTTATCTCCTACATAGTATGAAATTGCTTAACAGGAATAGTACGTATCTTTTAGGGGATTCAACTGGAGGATCTTAACGTAGATTAGTAAAAGTTATTCACAAGAGACAACTTTAAATGCTTTTTGTCCAAAGCCATTGCGCAAATAGTGTGCTGGTCAATATAGATATCTTGCAATGTTGTATGGACTGAAACAGGTTTAAAGGAAGAGTTATATTCTTGGCTTCAAATGCTGTACACACCATTGCTCCGATACTCTGTTGACTAGGTGCACTAAGATTGTGGTAGGAATGCTTGTAAAGACCGTGAATTTCTCTACCCAAAATAATGGAATAATGGATGAGATGTAGAATAGATTATAAAAAGTTTAACAACGCGAAGCCTGTGTGGCTGAAGCTCGAACCATATCCTTTAAGGACATGAAGACCTGAAAGACAAACTTCAGCCGAGCTAACAAACCTCTGTATTCAACCAAGTACTTAAATATGTAATTGTTTCAATGCATTACTCCTATTTAAACAATAGGAACTATCAGCTAAAAAAATCATCTAATACAATTTTATAAAACAAGAGGCAATTCATTTTAAAAATTCCTGAATGGTGTTATGGTGAAAATCTTGCAAACTCTGTGTCGTGACTGATGAAAGCCAAAACAAAAATCTCCTGTTGCTTCGTTTCCTAGTATATAGAGCTATGATGTCTTGATAAGTTTACAAGCTCCCTGTCTTCGATCAAGTTTAATTTTCGACTGTTTCTATCCGAACATATCACTATTCTGTTGTAATGGATCCTTTTGGCAAAAATCGTATCGCTTATGTCGGACGTCGACTTTAGGAATTACTTTACTTCGTATTGGCCATAATACAAAAACAAAAGAAACCCATTCTTTTCAACGATTACAGTCTACTACGTGAGTGGGGTTTCATTCTTTCTGCCCTCCAAGATGGTAGCCATTGGACGCTGTCAGTAAGTTCTGCGTTGAAGAACACCAGGATAGAATAACCCGTTGACTGATTTGTGGTTACGAGGTCGGTAATTTGCCATTTTCAGGGTACTCATCAGATGTAGAAGAGGAAATGGGAATCCTTAATTTTATGGTGAACAAAAGAGGATTTACATCTTTTATGGCTTGTTTGCGTGCAGTTCATTGATTCCACGTGCAACATGAAGTTAAAAAATCTGTAGAAAACAATAAGGTGAATGACTATTAAAAACTCATTCAAGAGAGAAAGGACTTGCAAATGGTACCAGCTTCGTGCAACTATTTCATTCCCGACAAATATCATTAGACAAAGCTCAACCAACCCCACGAATTTATATTACCTATTGAAAAACCCTTCTTTCATGTATTCTGTTTTGCTCTATAGGGATTGAAAATTTGCTGAAAGTTCGTCACAAAAGAATGTAACACTATTGAACGAAGGATTTAGTATAGAACATTGTTTACTACTTGAAGGACGTGGGAGGAACAGATGTCGTGATATCCAGAGGTTTTTCGTGGAATTTGTGCCCAAATGCAAACTACTCAAATTTTACCCGGCAATAGATTAAGAAGAAGCAAACTTAACATTACAAATATAGAAAGAAAAGTATTGTAAAAGGTGGTGGTGATTAGGGTACTCGTTTCTGAGGAATAATATTTGCCCACATGCCATCAGACTCACAAATCTCGGCTGAACAGGTGTGATATCGCGATACCGGTTACAATTTTTGTACTGATGCTTCTCGGTTTCAGCGCACGAGGTTCCATGTAGGAGGCCGTTCATTGTCTTAAACGAATGAGTTTAATTATGATGTGATACAAAAACTTCAGGAGCTCCATGAAGTTTAACTTTATCATATTTAACATATGATGTTCCTGAAAATCCAAAGTGTCGATGCCCTCTCAAAATGACAAGGTTTAATATTTTCTCTAAAGAGGTACGTGCGGATAACTTTGGCGAAACCAGATTTATTAGTGCTGTAGATAAGTGCGTTGATATTAATAAAAATTTATGCTATTACTTACATTTTGTTCTTTGAAACTACTCTAGTTCCCTAATGGCTCTGAAGCAGTTGGGAGATGAAAAACGGTTCAGTAAAAGCATCATATGATATTTTGTCAGAAACCAAAGACGTCGAGTTCGTATATCTATTATTAGAAAACCTTTTGCACTTCTCATGCCTTAAGAAATCCAAAATAACAGACGTAATGATTGTATGTCTGGATTCTGTAAAGTGTTTAGTGTTAAAAGCTAAGTAACGTGCAGCCCAAGATTCGGAAATATAGTTTTCTCCATGATGATCACTTCTGGAAGTGAAATAATTTGGAGGAGTGGAATTTAAGTTCGCCTTTCATATATTAGGTAAAACTATAACGATTTCTTAATGTTTGCCAGTACCTCTCTCCACCAATATTTCCTGAAGTTAAAGTACCATAGCACGGAAATATTCTTGCATGGTATTGCTACGACTATTGACGATTTGATACGATTCCTCGTCAAGACGAGTGGTTGAAAGTGGAGAAAAATGATAATCAGCTTTATCATTTTGAATGCCCTTTTTGAACAAAGAGATTAATGATTGCTTTAAAGTCTGAGTTCGCCGCTTACTTTTAAAAGCAGTCTCTTTAACAGTGATCAGTCAAATTTTCTGAACGAAGAAGGCAATAGGAAGATCGTTCTTAATTTCTTTATCAAGCCTCAACATATTCTTCCATTTTTCTTTCAAGAGCTGTGGTAGAAATCAGAGAGAAGAGGCGATCGTTCCATCATTTCGAATTACCTTATTTTCGAAAAAGAGATAGGTGTTTGCTTTAAATTTCTTGTTCGCCGCTCTCCCTTAAAAGCAGTCTTTTAGTTAGAGACCGATCTTTCAGATTTTTCCGAAAATAGAAATCAAACTAACTTTGGAAGAAGAAGAAGACAATAAGAGGTTCGTTCATATTTCCTTATCAAACCTCGTCCTTCCCATTTTTCTTCTTAGGTCCTAGTGGAGAGGTTAATGATTACACCCAATATCTTCTATAGCTTTTGTCTGTTGTTGCCGCAGTGTACATCCACTATAGCTAAGAATTTCACTGTCTGTGCCATTGTCTTGCTTGTGACGAATAAACTTGGCTATTAGTTGGCCATAAGTGTAAGATTTATTTTTCACAGTCAGACATTTGCAAACATAGTTTGTTTTTGCCAGAATTGTCATCGACATTTTTTTTCGAGAGAGCTATTAATTAGCATGTAATATCTAAGTTCAAACGCAAGTGTATTTAGCAACGGATATACAAACCCCTGAAAAAATCTGTATGGAACTTAAGTTAAAAGACCAAGAAAAAAAAATCTTACAGTTTTTGTAAAGCTATTTCAGTTTTTTTCTTCTCTTTTTCTTAAACGTCCAACAGATTCTCACATCTCATTCAGTTTTCCTTCTCTACCCGGTATTACGTGATGTTACCGAGTTTTAATAACTGCAAGAGTGTCGATTTTGACAGAGGTGTCAATACACTCGCGGCTTGTCAACAAAGCAATTTTTCTTCTTTTGTCTTTGTCTTTGTTCTTAATTTAGCAGTATTAAAAGGTGTTCGTTTCATAAGAGAAACAATCGAAAGGAGGCAGGTTAGAATACTGGTGACCCACCTGAACAGCTTGTGGGCTACTGCAAAAAACACCGCCTTTAACTCTTCCAGAAATCATCCTTCTAGTGGCGGGATTATTTCTCCCTAGGAGCTCATTATAGTTTTGGCTTTTAGGTGTGATAAAGGACATGATTGGTGTCCTACCCAGGTGCAATTATTCATGAATCTTTCTTCGCATGAAAGTACGGAAACCAAATTTACTGTCGAATTGTGGCAAGCCTCAAGTATTATGGAACAAACAGGCGTGTTCTTCAAGAGGCTGTCACAAAGTTGTTTTTAATGATTCCAAAACATATATTGAAAAACCTCTCTGTCTTGTTTGCTTGCTTTTAATAAGCATGCCACTTGGGGTTCTGTCACGGAATACCACTTAAGGAAAAGATCTGTGACTGAATTCAATTCCTCTTCCCTCTTCACGTGTAAATTTTCTCAGAGCTCTAACTGGGGAGTCGTGGTTCACTGCAGGTGCAATTGTTTTCTTTTTCAAAACACAAATCTTCATACCTTCCCACTGGGTGTTTACGATGCCGTTTACGGCATTCTTAAAACAATGTTTCTAAACTTTAAGAAACAAAGCGACAGTATTTTGTTTTCACAGAAATCGTGGAAACGTGTAAAGTTATTTTCCAGATACAAATTTCTCGAATTAAGTATACTTGCACAAGGGGTCTTAATTAAAGACACTGCAGCAAAGCAACCGTCAACCGCTGGAAATTTTCCAGAACGGTTTGGCAGACGTTAATTGCCGCACTAAACACCATAATTACGCTGTTGTGGAACTTTAAATAATATGTACAATTTCAAAGGAGAAGTGACACGTTTCATTCAAAGCAGACTTTAATGTTGGAAGACAATTTGCTCGGGAATCGCTAAGTAATTAAAGATGCCTCCATGGCGAAAAATATTGCTTTCGTTTCAAAGAGGGAGATGAATCCTTCCTTTTCGTTGTTCTGAGTGTTTGTCCCTCGGTGGGTTGGTTTGTGGGATTCGTTCAGAAAAGAAAAACTTTTGATTGCTAGCAGAATTAAACCACAAAGGAGGCGGTTTGTTTTCATAGGACTCATATCTTTAGTAATTCTGGGAACCGTGGCTTTTTTCAAAGCAGAATGAAGGGAACACCAAGGTACTAACTGTAAAAACCAAGAGACTACTGAAAACTCAGTACAGAACAAAGTCTCGCGAAGCATTGAGCGAGCATTTATATTCGTGTCTTCTTTCAATTCTCATTAACAAATACATAATTTTCAATCATGATCATATATATATATGTATATATATATCTGGATTAATTTTAAAAGTCTATCTATTTGCATTTACAAAATAGCATCACATATAAACAAAATACTAAGAAACTGTCGTTATTACTGAAATATGGTACATCATATCAACATTAACACCTTTCTTGGAGAAACTGCTTTCAAATCATACAAAAAGTGTCTTCATTTTTTAAAATTTTCTGAAATCTCCTTTTTGAAAGGAAGAGCATAGGCGGCAATCATCACACGACAGGGAAGCACGTTTAATAGATCTCTATAACGACACATATCTATTCATTGAATTTTTCCTATAAAATCTTCATAAACCGAAAGTTTTACAAACTTTGCGGGAATATAATCAATAATTCTATTCTTTTTGCTTTCCAAATGTCTAAAAATACTTGACTAAGCGTATTATTGACGTTCAACGCGAAACATAACAAGCTAATGAAGGATCTGTTAACTCTGTTCATATTTCTTTTAACTCGAGTGCATGTCCATGACGGGCTGTGACATTGTCAACACATTTTCTGACGAAATTAAAGTGGGTGAAGTTTGTGTGGAAGGTAGTCCCGGATGGCCAGGGTGTCCAGGGTGAGGATGATGTGGATGAGCGTGCGGGTGCCCCGGTGGGGGCATCATCATAGCATGGGGGTGACCAGGGATGTACATGGGTTGCGCCTGATGAACCGAAGTTGGAGGCATTGGCGATCTGTAGGCGTGTGCGGGCATTTGTGCGTGCATAGAATGCGGTCCTCCAGTCATAGCTGACATAGGGGGTATTGTACCCACTCCACTAACTGAGGGATCGCCTGTTGGGATATATCCTCTTGGTCCAAAGTGCGGGGGCTGTGGAACTCCACCGTCCATGTGCGGGTAGTTGGGATGAGGAGGTGGGTGATGCTGATCTGGGTAATATCCTGGGGGTGCTCCTGGAGGACCGAATCTCGGTCCCGGTGAAGGAAGACCTTGACCGAGAGAGTTCTTCCGTCGTCTTGACTTAAACACAGTGACAACCGGTGACTTTCCTGCTCTGTTTGAGGCATCTATCATCGGTTGAACAATACGTCTCCTCGCGTTGATGAACCTGCCAAATATACGAAGCAGTTGTAACATCCTGTTACAAAAATGTCGCAAGAAATCAACAAACGTCTTGGCAAAACTTTCCGGCATCAGCTAACAAGAGGAAGTCAACTAATGACACAGGGAAATTAATGTTAAAGCAGCAATGATAATTTTTTTTTTCGGTGTTTATCTATTTCTGTGCCTTTAATAAAAGAGTTTCGAGCTATGAGAGAACAATAGCTGGCATTTATGATATTTTGGTGGATGAAAGATCAACGACTCACCAGTTGTTAACTTGTAGTATAGTAAGTCCGGTTTCCTGAGCCAAGGATCGCTTCTGTTCCTCGGATGGGTATGGATGCTAAAAGTGATAGTTATTAAAACTCGTTTATTCCATGATTTACTAAAACAATTGAGATGGAAGACAAAAAGATTTGGTCGGAATATGTAGCAAAAGAAAGTGTCGGTTTTAATAACGCAGGGAAATTAATCCCTTAGAGAGGTTTGTCTCTATTTCTTGAAGAAGGATCAAACATCGTAAACGAGAAACGGAAAAAATAAATTTATGACCTTTTATTCACGGTGCTCAGGCAGTTACTTTGCGTGAGACAGGTTATAAAACGCAAGGAGGCACAAACTGGTGCCAGAGAGATCAATGTCCCCACCAGTTTCTTATGAGTTCCTCTGCTCTCAAGAATCAAACACCCACACGGTTCAAGGAGCTTACTAAAAATTTGCCTATTACGGTTCAGTTATCCCTTGAGGCCACAAAAGAAGAATAGAAATTAAAACGTTTTTATATGTGTGTAACGGAGAAGAAACCGAGCTTACACTAAGCGTGAAGAAGGATCAAACAGGCGACCTGTTTTGTTCTGGTTCAAAGCAACAAACAACCCTGTATAGTCTTGACACAAACTGGAAACACTGGCAATTTAGTTTTCATTTGAATTTGTTCACCAATAAATCCGAACTAACCCTTAAAGACACAAAATATCTTACCGTTAAATGTTGAAAAAGCCAGGCCTTCATTATGTTAGTTGCTGCTTTGGGAAATATTCCTCTTTTCTTCTGGCTTTTCTTCGATTGTTCGTCGTCCGTATTGTCACCGTTTCCATCTTCCGAGCCAACAGACGTGTTTAACGAAGGGTCTGAAATGAAGAGGCAGGCCATGTTTTCTTTAGAAAATACTGTCGTTACCGAGAGCCACTTCAAAGACCTTATTCTGTTACACGTAGCACTGAGAGAATATTGAAATAGACAGTGATGAATACGACACGTTGTTAAGACGATCACATTTGCAATTTTTATCCCCTCATTCACTTGAATGAGTTAAATAGCACGGACAGCTAGTTTTGCATACAAGAAGGATTAAGGCAGTTGTGACAGCCTAATTTTCTTGTGGAGGCTAGAAGGTTAACACTCTCTGGCTTCTGCCAAAGAGAAGAGGCTTACAGCAACACCTGCTACTCTAGTTTCCTGTCAAAAATCACAAAGACCTACTTGACATATTCCCAGAACTTTTCGAAATAGCGTTATTGGTGTCATTCAAGACAAGACAACCCATTTCCTTCAAATACATATTAGTGAAAACACTCCAACTTCCCATCGAAAGGATGACTGCGATAAGAGACTTGTGATATGCTTTGTTGACTTAAACTTCTGGAGAAAACAATAGAGAGGGTGGAACGATTTTCCTGCAGTTAACGAGGGTGAGAGTGTTTTGGTTCTCAGAACGCCCCACCCCGCAGTCGAGTCTCACCGCTTTACCCCAGTCACTTTTTTCGCAGCATCGCCTGCCACATTATGCCTCTTAAGAAGCGGCAATGTAAATAGTGGGTGGAAAAAGGAGGAAATGTTAGCTCAGTGTCTTGGATTAAGTAAACATTACGAAAGAATGATAAATACTCCAAGTCAAATTTTCTTTCTCTCAAAATGACATCTATATGAAAATGAGGCGAAACACAAGCAAACATCTGGTTGGAAATTGAATGGAGCTAAAGACAGGATAAGAAAAATAACACGGGAGAGCGTCCACCGCGCGACACAAGACGCATGCTGAGAAGCAATCAGGTTGGCGCTTAAGCCTACCGGATTATTAAAGGCAGTAAAAACTAAATCCCTCTTAGCGTACATGCGTGCATTTGTCACTCGAGAAGAAACATTCATCGACCTAAACTAAGGATTAACCAAAGATCGCTTTCACGAAGCACTTTTCAATCGAGAATCTCGACTTTGTTGATGAAATTTTATAACCAAAGTAAGGGTAAAATCCTTAAAAAATGTCCAGTCGATTCTAGAGGAAAGGTCTTGCTTTCAATTTTTTGACAAGGAGCAATTAAGTTAATCGGACGCTATCACCGCGCTTTTATGGCTTTGTTTTCTATCTCTAAAAGCTCCCAAACCAAGATGCGGAATTTGAGCACGATTTAAACTACCTTCAACAAGCTGATAAGAAAGAGTATGGCTGGCGAAGCCTAAAGTCTGCGTTATTTGAGCTTAATTAATTTGTTCAAGGGGCATGGCAAGATAAAAGACTAGAATTTCACCACCATGAGGAGAATCTACTACAGATAGATCCTTGAAATTTGACACCCCTAGTACTTGGATGCTGACAAAAGCCATCAGGTTCACTTAAATACTTACAACAGCCCTTAGTCTTACTAATTCATGTTACTCTTCTTTCACCTGGTATTCGCTCGTGACAGCAATAAAGCTCTTGAAATTGTTTTCCATGAGGCATCTTCGAGAGCACATAGAAATTAGAAGTTCCAAAACCACTTGACGATAACAAAAGTTTTGAAAAGTTAACGATTGAGGAGGCGAGAAGGTCTCAACGAGAAGTGGCGCGCACTAATTTGCGAGAGCTTGTTCTTCTTTGTTTTTCACTCCTAGAATCCCGAAACTAAACCCCGGAGATTGTAGATATAAGTGACGACAAAAGCATAATGAATTATTGGTTGACACTACTTCAGGAAATTACTGGAGGAAATTGCAAGAGGCTATCTTGTCAGATTTATCAAAGAATCAAGAAATACTGTCAAGAATTGAGACAATGACAGAAAGGGATGGTACACATGCACTTAAATGAAAGGCAAGCTATTATCGGCTTCAATATTTTTAAAATACACACATTTTCCAACTTAAGTGAGCTATATGAAATCTTGACAGTGAAAGCTTACGTCGCATAAAGACAAGAAGCTCTTGTCAAAATTGCTCGAATAACTGGCAAGGTCCTGCGGTTAATTAACATTTGAATCTATTCCTAGGAGAAAAATTACTGATTAGAACGCAGCCGAACTTCACAAAGAGTCTTCCTTTTTGACAGGCGAATACTATTTTATAAATATTATTTTGTCCATTAGAAATGATTGCTTCAGTTTTCATCTTTTAGAAAGCTTCATGTTTGACACTTTGTAAACGAAAATGGCACATCTGTTACTAGCTGTTAATTTTATCGTCTCTTCATTGTCAAAATAATTCCTACAAATTCTTTTCTTTCCCTTTGTTTGAATACACAAAGCGAACTAGTGTTGGAAAGGAAAAAAATTTGCGCCGTTCCCTTCACCTTAATTGTAACTTTTCTTTGACAATTAGTGATGTTTGTACTAGAAAATATTCTTGTCACCTCGCAATCAAAAGAAGGCGTTCACCGAATGAGAAGCACGCGATAAGCTATCCGTGAACTTTTTAGGGCTCATTTCGAACCTCTTTATCGATCATGGTCTGTTTATCATTGCAGACAAAAAAATCACAAAAGCGTTCGTAACAAAGTCTCACACACAGGGTGTTTTGGTTGTTCCAGCAAACGACACATAATGACTATAAACGTATGCATATGAGGAAGAAGCAGCAGAATTTGCATATGCCTTATCCTTTAGCGTCGTAAAACGCGTAAAGTGATATTCTTTTTAATTACCAACAGAAAGAAAGCCTTTATGCAGCTGTGTCAACAGAGACATAAAGCTTTCAACTCAATAAAAGCCCACAAGAATAGACGTAGGGCTGAACCAATAATTTCTCTGTTCAATCCCACTCTTTATATAATTGCCAACGTGGATTAAAACAATGGCCAAGAGCTACTCGTTTAGCATAATAAAAGCGCGATAAAACAGTAACCCCCGATAAATTCTCGTTTTAGTGATGTATTACTGAAGACATTATTAAAAAGACATCGAATACGGAAACAATTTAATAAAGAAGTGATAGAAATGTCGCTTTTAATAAAAGCTTTAGTCATTTCCTCACCTTCCGGAGTTGTAGGTCCATCGACCCCAGAGTTGGACGGTGGTCGGGACGATGATTGAGAATTGGAGCCTGAACCGGTGGCCTCATCTCCTTGACCGGGTTGCCAGCTCTGGGAGTTTGATGCCTGTGATGAGCGAAGGAAAGAGTCGCAAAGATGAGCGATCGATCGCGTGAATTGCTTGTGTTATCTCTCGAAGCGCGAAGAAACAATTTAAATCCTTTCATATAGTTGACACTAAGTGAATAAGAAAAGCAAAGCGAGAGGTGTAAAAGTTTCGACACCTAACACAGTTTTTGTCACTAGTGATTGTGAAGAGGTAATTGACGAAAATCCCATCTACAAGAAAATAGGCCCGCCGCGCTAATAATTTTACAAGTTAATCCGCCATATCGTTGTTTTCTCCCGGACTCTGTCTAAGAGCGCGGTTGTTTTACCTGTCTAAGGTGAAAACAGGTAACCATTCAATTGTTAGTGATTTTGTCAGGTTGAAAACGTAGAGGTGTGAAATTGATCTTAGATAAATGCCCAGTGTTTGGGACACGAAAGAACCCTTTTTTCAACACGTCAATCCGCCAAAATAGCTGTCTAGGCTCAATAAAAACTTCTCTCAACTTGACAAAATATAACACCATCACAAGTGTCCAATTGATGGTTTACTAGATGACTTTTGGTGACTTCTTGTGACGGCTTGTTGTACGAGCCGTCTTAAATACAGTAACCACACAACAATTTGTTTTTACTTTCCCATTCAACCTATTGGACAATGAAAGTTTAGAAAACATCGCCGCGGGGCGCAACGTAAATACTGCAGTCAGTGTTCATCAATCAAGTCCTGAACCGTTCGCCCTGGGTCGCGCTGCAGGCAATTCACTTCTATCGCGAGATTGCCAAGACAGTACAGTAACCGTGCGGTATCATCCTCGCGCGACTTATTAATAGCCATTCATCCACTTAGATGATAATGTGATGTTGTGAAAGAAATTTACACCTCCACGAAGGCCATCTACTAGATGAAAAAACAACCATAAGAAAACGGGGCGATAGCGTGGCGTTCGGTCGCAATACATGACACATCAGATTACAGTACCTGTGGCAGGGCGCTTTCTGGCGGTGAATCGATGTCCAAAGTATCGCTGTCGCTTCTGCTTTTGCCGATATTTTCCTTCTCGTCCATAACAAGATCAATGGGCATTTTCCCCTTAAGGCAGGAAATGTAGCGCTTACAGAAGTTGTCACACAGCTCGTGCACCTAAAGGAAGAACACAAGATCTGAATTGGATTATATAGATTTTGTTTTAACAACAGGAACGACTTCCCCTAATTTAAACTTGACTGTAGTGTTAGCTCGAAGAAATACCTTTGAAATCCATCGAATAAAAGCAAATGACAACACGAGATTAAATTTCTAACTAAAGATAAGCGTAATATATGCATTATGCAAATTCTCGTCTGAAAAATGTCTGGAGCCTTTTTGCTTATATACACATATCTGAGGGCCTCGCAGAGCCTAAAGAAATTCTCTTTACCTTTCCGCTTGCTCAACAAGCTTTTATGTGACTGCTCACGGCTGACTAGAAAATGACACCCGCGAATCAACTTAAATAAATATTTTCTTACCTTTTCTAATTCCAGGAGGTGAAATCTCAGGACTTGGATCGATTGAATCATCTAGAATAGAAAGAACCCAAAAATTGGCAAAAAAAAACAGAGAAAAAGCAGGATTCCGTCATGCTACAGCTCGCGACACCGGGGTGATACAAAGCCCCAAATGACTGCTGTGCGTGTATAAATCAACGTATAAAGGCATCGAAGCATGTGGCAACATTTTGTGTTATTTAAATTCAATCAACCGGGTTCGTATTAATATTTTAACACGTCCACCTTTGAAATGATAGCTTACGGTTTGTTGAAAACAAACGAAAACAACACTTACCAAACTGTCGACTTCGTGGTTGGACGAGAAAATCGTCTTGTCACTCCTGAACTGAAAACACAACAACAAACGGAAACCATTATGAGATTTCGCTAGATCATCCTAGTGTGTGACTCGAGAATGAAAACTGTTGCACTTCAAGAACGGTTTTGAACGATCACGTCAGACTAGTATATCACTGGATATCCGTCCCCTAAAGGCCTGGGGGATAATTGTAACTACTGGATTAGAAACTGTGAACATACCTGCTTCGAAAATACCTGGATATCTTCGTTGAACGAAGCGGACGAGCACACGTCCCCACCGACAGCTCCGGGCTCCCGAGGAGTACACGTTGCCAGTTCGCATTTCTCGAAGATGAGTGCCAGAAGAGGGAACAGTGAATGCCTGGAATTAGAGCATTCATGTTAATGAATAGAGTTCAGTTAATAAGCGTTCATTTACCGCGGTGCAAATGAAAAAACTTGTGATCATGATCCTGCAGGACGTCTTGCTGTAAATCGCTTAGACGTGTGCTCTGTGACCGTCATGTGTAACTTTACCTATTTGTAGTTTGCGCGGTTGTCAGTGATCACCGAGATTCTTAGATACAGTCGATCGTGAGTGATACATTTCAGTCGCATGACATGCAAATCTGAGCTGAGAGGCGATCGTAACGTACATACCCATATATTAACTCCTTATCTCTCTTATGAATATCAGAAACGGCGCTCATCGCATTCGACACTCCTCCTCCAGAGGCTGGCGTGTGATGGTACGGCGAGGTAGCGCTCGTGTGGTTCATGTGTTGCATCTGAGCTGAGCGACTGTGATCGTACATTGAGGTTGCAACGTCCATCGCGTAAGAGCCCACTTCATCATAAGGCTGCAAAATTAAACGATCATGTCAGCTGTTGCTTACGTCTCCTGCTAGACAGTGCGTAACAGCAGCGCTAAACAAGCATAAAATGATGCACACACACCGCCAGAAGCCGGCATCACGGGCAAACGGAACGCTCGGTTACTGACCCGTTGTGCCATACGATGCTTATTCACTCAACTCCAGGGTGACGAGCCGCTTTGTGGAGGATTGTTATCGTAAAATTGCTGCAAATGTTTAATCCCGAATTCTGACAATCAGTTTAGGACTGACACAGTTGGATAGCTTTCTAAACTTACAACCCGTCAACTGTATGTAAGGAAAAGATGTGTACGGCCGTCAACACAACTAGTAACGAATTGTCAAGCCTGTCTCGTGGCTTTTGGCCACAAGTCTGTCAATCACCTTTCAAAATCTCCATGGGCCCTTGTCACGTAACGAGTGATTGAGAGTTCAAATGTTGATCAGGATCACCGAGCATGTAAGAAAAATAATTCTCTCTTACAGGAAGGTTTAGAAAAAGTCAATTTATTCAGGAAGGACTTAGCTTAGTGTTTGACTTGACAGGGCATCTCAAACCTTAATAAGCTTTTTCCCTTAAAATAGAACAACGCAAAGTACTTTGGAACGGAGGCAAAGCCATTAGTCAATTCTCCTGGGTATTTTCATAAAACCAGCCACTTTTCAATAATACCTGGTGGAACCAATTAGCTTGACCGACCAATCAGGACACATCTCATCCGCCAAGCCAAATAATATGTCTAAACATTTCAATCTCCATTGTCTAAGCCATCGTGGTTCTTTACGCAGGATCTGGGGCGTGTCATCCTTTTCAAAAGCTTACAACAAAGTAATCGAGTGCAATTTCTAACGTGTAACCAAAGCCCCGAATGAATGGCAGTTTATTAAAAACACGTTTTGGGCTTGCGATAGGCATGGTTTCCGAGCATGCATGTTTCAAATTTCACACCCCCGTTTAATTAGAACACAAAACAATTTTCAAATGTCTCGATGCGTTGGGAAGTATGTAAAACAACCCATTGTCGACTTTGATTGACAGCTTTCTAACACCTGCTGTTAATTGGCTTTGTAGTGTTCCTGCCTGGGAAAGGCTTTCTATAACAACATAAAATGAACCTTAATAAACGTGTTAAAAACTCAAATACAGCTGAAACAAAGAAAATGTAAAAACAGGTAGGTCAATTTGGATTTAAAGTCATTACATCCAAAAAATTGCGCCTTGTCTGCTCATTTTTGTTTTGGTTGCCGTTATTGAATTTGTCGTAAATTGAAAGTAATTTTGACGGATTGTGTTTCACTATCAATTTCCTTGTCTGTTTGATAACGAAGAAACGTGACGCCTTTTGTCAAAAGCTGTCAGAAAGGCGGAGAACACCGACATTCGGCTGAAAACAACATATCCAAGCGAACATGCTTGAAACCGCACAAGATACTGTGTACTTGTCAGTGCTTGCTGTGAAGTTCATTGTCATTAAAGTGAGCTAAAGTTGCAAGCTATTCAAAATCCGATCGCGAGCGTAATCCTGATCAATTTGCGGCGAGCGTGTTCGTGTGTTTGCTGACAGTAGTAACAGCATGCCAAGCAGTGTTTACGCGCCTGTCCGTACATGTCTGCCTGTTGTTTTGCAAGTTATTATCATCAGCACTTTTCAAAAGCTCGTTTACAACGAAAGGCGTGCGTCGTAGACTAAACGTACAGGTTGTGCTTAATCTAAAGATCTCTGATTTGCTCATGCAAATTAAGTACGTGATGCGGCGGGCGAAGAGAGGTGAATTCAAGACCTGAACTTATAATTGGCAACTGAAATTGGACACTGTTATTTGCTCCCTCTTTGCAAGAGAAAATTTCCGCGAGGGCTTGTTAATAAAATTAGGAAATTCTTAAGAGAGGCTTTCAGAAAAATCAAACATAGGGATCACGCGTTCCTTCAAAGGCGCCAATTTATAACGAAACAAAATTACAAGGAGAACAAAAAAAGTTAACATTGTGGCACCCCGGGCAGATGACACAAACATTCCTATCAAAAGACAGAGTTATTACAAATTTGTAGCCATAATTTTTTTATCATTATCAAATTAATCCCACGTGGAGTAACTTTTCAGCAGTTTTAAGTTCCAAAGAGACTCCCAAACCTTAAGAAATTTCAGAGCGTGTTGGCACAGCTTAAGTTGAGTTGTTTGGGCCGCCACCTCAGGTTTCATGTGCACAATAAACAAAGTGCAGTGTAACATAATCAGTTTTCGATGTCGCTCGGCACGAACTCTTTTCGTTCACGGTGCGCGCGGGATGTGTACGCTTTAGTCTGAGCTAACTAACTGTAACGAAGCTATGTTTGTCAATCCAGTTGTCGCACTTTTCAACATGCAGTCAAGCAAGTGACGTTCTGGCGAAAAGCTTCATCCTCCAAGCTGACATCTGCTAATTAGATCCTCGTACTTATCTACCCAGTCGCATGACAATGATTAGCCGCATGAAAATCATTTTTAAATCATTAAGCTTTTACTTTAGGAAAGAATTTCATATAACGTCAAATGAAAATACGTAGATCAAGAAACTAACGCATCCCAACAAAGTAGTCAAAGTAGGAACGTGAATAATTTAGCTTGACTCCAACAAAGGCATTTATTAATCAACAGAGCAAAACCGCAAGTGACATTCCTTTCCCGAAAAAAATTTCCATCAAAATAGTTTATCTACTCAGCACCACAGACCCCTGATATTTAACGCGATAGTTTTCGCCGATCAAATCTGATGGCTTGTCTTTTGTTATTCTATCGACATCTTGTTTCGTTTTCACATGGAATGAAAGACAGCGAATGAGAGCGTTCGACAGGGTGATAACTGCTCGACTATTAAAACCGCGAAAGGTTGATGTATGTGACAAGCGAGGCTTGAAAACAGCGAAAGTTTTGACACTTTATAATACACAATAACACAAAGTCTGATATGATGCCTTGAAGTCGTCTGGTCACGCATGGATAAACGTTTTGCATTTTTGCTACTCGCCACTAATTTAAACTTCGGCTTCAAGGGTCCTTTCAGCTATCAGTTCTCAATAGTTGACCCACCAGGTTTGTTTTGATGAAAAAAAATTCGTAAGAACTCAAAATTTCAAACGGATATTTGTAAAATAATAATAAAAAAATGACCTGGCCTCTTCTCTAAGAGCCAGTTCAAGGTTCGAAGTCCTGTTATCATCATTTGAATATGTAGTTTGGTATAGAAGATATTTTCTCGACGGTCAATAAAGGCCAAGCCGCTCGGGAAAGCCATCCAACAACCTCGAGATCGGTTGGTGACAAGGCAACGTCTACACTCCGATTGCTTTGAAAGGACCGCTTAAAGTTTGTATGTCATGCATGAAATTAGGATTGCTCTCCAGAGTTCACAATGAAATCTGTCATTACAAGCGCGGCCTAAGTGTTGGGGTGTCATGCCGATGTTTATTTCTTTCACTTATGCTTTTCTTTACCTCCGTGTGGGGGGAAAACAGTGTGTTTGTGTTATCGGATTAAAAAACCTTTGCCCCTTTAATAGGCATTAAAACTGCCACCTGATTTATTTATACATCTTTGGAGTTCGCTGTCTGTGAAGACAGACCGTGAAAAAGCTAACAGCCTTGAGTTGTCGCAAAATAAAACCATACTTCAATTTCACAACAAAGGTATGACAACTATGTCGTGTCCATTAGGACGCCTCATAACATTCTGGCGAACCGGCGGTTAGGCAAATTGGTTATTTCTGGTATTTTAGGATTAACTATGGCATCAATCAAAAGCGCTTCACGTCGCTATAGCATACGTGCGAACGAAGGTTTCTTTGCCATCCAGCTTGTAGGAACTATACGTTATTTGAAGGGCATTAACAAGCGCTGAAGCTGCATGAAGACAGTAGGTTAGTCTCTACGATTCAATGTTTCCCATCGTGGAAGTAGATCAGGACTTATATTACAACTATATTGGTAAAAGTGGGTACTATTGATGCTGTAACGGTGTTCAAACATATCTGCACGATACATGTTCAGTTTATTCGGCGGAAGGAAATTTTACGAGGAGTGAGAGGAGAGTAGAGACGCCATGTTTTAGTGGGTGACCGGAAGATTAAATGAAGAGAGAGACGAATTGATTTAAACTGAAAGCCAAGAGATAAAACAGGAACTTCCAAAAGAAGAGGCTAGTATTGTAAAGAGAGCTTTCGTTAAATTAACTGTTAAAGAAATCTTAACAGTTTCAAAATCGACACTAAACAATAAAATCGTTTTTGAGAACAAGAGACGCGGGCTATTTGATACAAACAATGATCTTCAACTGTTGCCCTATCGGCTCACCGGTCATAGCAGACCGCTCGTAGGATCACGTTTGAACAGTGAGGAAGGAAGTGTTTTGTAGCGCTGAGTCTGGTTGTTCCGCCTGCTTGCTTGCCTGTGTTTAAACACAAACATCAAACGAGCTTCGTTGATGAAAAGCGACTAGCGTTCACACGATTTCGTAAACAATGCGTTTGCACTTTTCGGGGCTTTTCACCTCTTTGTTTGGACGCTTTGTTTTTAAAACTTGTCTGAACTGGTTTTATTCTTTAGGCACAAAGTCCTAGTACAGCTCCTCATTTAAGATTTTTTTTAACACATTTTTTTTTCTTTTAACGTGACCCTAACATAACCTTGCATAATGGCGGGTGAGAGTAAAGCGGTTATAGAACCCCTAGCGTAACAAAATGTACCAATGAAACTATCCTCACCTTCACTTCATCACTTTTTCGGTTCTCGTCAGAACCAGCTGGGTCTTTTCGTTAACTTTATCAGCCTGGGTTTTGATCTTAACGTCTGCAGTTTATTTCGAAATCGACCTCTCGATACTTCTGACGACTACCGTTGTGAACGACATATGCTTTCAATAAACCTCAAACAGTGGTTCGGTTTAGGATTACACTTCGGCTTTTTGCGAGCTGTGAAGTGAGGAGATTTCATTCGAGGTAGGGATTTTTCTCGCGCCCAAATATAGACCACTTGTGTTTTATGAAAAGCAGCCAGGAGCCATCGAAAATGTTTAAGTGCTTTTAGTAGAGAAGACTTACGAAATCCATCTCGAATGGCGATGATGAAGCAAGTTTTCTCAGACAGTCCTTTTCTTCCCATAGTGATATTTGTACAAACTTTTAAGCTGAAAGGGAAGTTTGCTCTCGAACGAGCCTTCTTGTACTACACACGTTCGATCAGCTTCGTTTGACTTTTAAGATGTGGTTTCTCGGTGCAATACAGTGAAAATACTCTTGACTCGGTACGAAGATAAGACAAGACTTTGCCGTGAATGAAAACTCAGCCAATATCGAACATAAGAGGCTCATCCGTTTGTGGACACGAGTCAGTCAACACGGATTTAAAATGACGAAAAAAAAACCTTCCTAGGTAGAATGTTTTCCACACCTTTTTGAAATTAGAGTTTGATTTACTTGGACGTATCTCTTGGTGTTGATTTGACAAATTGTACTTCTGAATCTTTGTGCCATGGCCTCCATGTTGACATCTGCCCTCCATATTGGTTCGCACGAGAGAGGCATGTTAAATTTAATCGTCGAACCGGACTTCTTCACATGAATCCTATTTGTTTAAATGCAAAGTTATGAAAAGAAGGTTCGCCTTAAAATATTCATACAGTTTTTCAACAGCATTGAAGAGGATCGAAATCATACGACCGAAAAAATGATCTCATATTTAAGGTATAAGACGCTTTCTCGTTGTGTGACTTCAGTTTCATATACTAAATGAAGAAAACTCTTTATTCGTTCTTGTGGTATTAAACAAATTGTGTAAATAAATTGTCGTTTAAAAAAAGTAGTTTCATATTTGTGAAATAATTTCTTAAAATGATTCAGTTTATAGTGACGAGCTTCACCTAGAAATTGGTTCACCAAGTTATGGTTCGCCATACTTCGCCATTTCAGTCCATTTCAATCAGCTGGTTGTATTTTGACAATTCATCGCAAACAGCCCAGTACAGCTGATGGCTCAGTTTGCGCTGTCTTTTCTTAATTATCTCAGCAAGATTGAAAAGGCGGGAAAGCGAAGGTTAACCTTGGCTTATTAAAGAAAGCTTTGGACTTGTCAATCTACTGTCCGGGAGCGTTTAGCACTAGACGATTATGTTGATGCTTCAGGTCGGGTGCAGAGAACTGCGGTCAAACTAGTTGGCCTTCCAAAAACCGGAAAACGCTTTACGAACATACTTTAATACCATTAACGGGCTTTACTTTTTCCATCAATAAAGCTGCTAAACAGCTTAGGAGAGTAAGCAGGAGAAGTGGATGTTGCATCCGTGACATATCCCGGCTGCTCTTCTTTGGAGCATAATAGCCTCAATGACGAGTGGCATGATGACAATTCGTGTTTCAATTTTTGGTCGACTTTTTGTCGTCTCTTTTCGTTTGGCGATTCTTTATGCGGTGCCAAGTTATTTTGGGTCATTTACGTCAAGAACAAAGATCAAGGCGCAAATTTTCGTTTAAATTTGGGATAACCAAACAATAATCTTCCCGCCCAACAATTCAATGCTCTCTCGCCAAAGAAAAGATTTCCTATTCCTTGAATAGTCATCTACACCACACCTTTTGTTGAATGCAAGGTTTTTTTCACGGTGTACAAAAATATTTATGTGCTTTTAAAGAAATAACTCTGACGCAAAATACGAAGTAAAAGTTTTCTAGGGGTGTGCTTTGGATAATCACTTTTGTCGGCTGTTTAATCTATGTGGTGGCTTTCTGTCAACAAAAGATGGTTCTGAAACTACTTTGCAAAACGCGATTTTCAATTAGTTTTTAAATCTGTCGACATGAAATAAATGTCGAAATTAGCGCGATTTTCCACGAAGAACCTAGAAGAAGGATTGTACCCACAGGTATAAAATCCAAGCGATTTAGTAAAAAGTTGCCTTGTCCTCACTTCAGCTTTCTAACGCTGCCGAGCAGGTGGCTGTGTATATATAACCTTTATCTTAATCTTTTTCCCTTTCTCCCGAAGGAACGATATCTTCCGTCTAGTTGTTGTTGTTGTTTTTCATCAAGTGAATGTTTTTTTTGTACTTTTTCCAGCGCCAAAACCATTCAAGGCGTAAATATGTTGGAAGAGAAATTCTTCAAAGCAAATCGTACAGGATGTAATCAAAGCGTGGTCGACACTTCACGCTTAGAAATGCTCCCTAGTCACCTTTATCGGTTCACTCTTTTCCTAGTTACCTTCGATTTATCTTGCTGTCAGACTGCTATAAGGTGCCGTATCTTATAGAAGTTGACTTCAAATGAGTAAATAAAAAGCACGCGGTTCTCTTTTCTCCTTCAGTTTTAAGGATAGTTTTATTCTTTTATTCGACTGTCGATGCCGCCATGACTATTAATATGCCGTGTGTCGGTTGTGTTGACTTAAATTTGAAAAGGCCCTGAGTTATAAGCTTTGACATTTCTCTAGAGTAGCGATCAACGCACATTTACCGCACAATTAAGGAGGGAGCCGAATGGCCAGGCCAGCTTCGATTTTTTACCGGCAAATGAGTGATGAACCTTGCGAAGGGTGTTCAATCGGCCTTTTGTCCCGTCGCAAAGAAGCAAAGGGCGGTTTAAAACGACAACGCAGAATAAATGACGCCAGTGATGTTTACAGAAAGAAAAAAACAAGAAAGCACTCACTAGAGTGATCAAATATGGCCAAAATAGCCTTCTTTCGTCAATGTGGACTCCGCTAGTGGCTTCGCGGACTGTTGATGGATAAGCTTTCTCCCCTTAATATCAACTTGCTCGAAGGAAAAACGAAACTGAGGATGTGGGACACTTCAGAGCTTCGCAATCATAGACTAATTATTTTGAAGTGCGGAGTTGCTCTATTCCTTCATACAAGTCGTAAAACTGACTCCTCATGCCGAATATTCCCATGTTATTTGGTATCTAGGATAAGCCGTCTGAACGTTCTTTATTTCAAGAGGTTGGTTATTTGATAGCGATGGAAAGCGAAAAAGCTGTCCAAAATGTCCGCATCTGTCTGTCAGAACAGTGGCTTGAAGAAAGCGGATGAAAGGCGACCGAAAACAAACTTAACATACCAAAAACACCAAGCAAACGAGAAGAATTTGTTGTAACTTTAAAATCGCGTTTTTTCGACTATTTTGTTTCTTTAAATTTTGGCTCTCACAAACTACGTCTTATTTCGACTAAAAACTCCAAGATATGAGACAATTTTTTTTTAACCTGAGGGCCCGGACTTTACGATTGAGATGAATGGTGACTGCCGCTAAAGAAGTTTGCTTTTCACCTTTGAATCATAGCACCGATATGGCGGAGAAACAACTGTGATATCAGGCAAATAAGAATTCCAGTTGGACCATAATGGGTTGTTTGGTCTAGGAATTGGAAGCGAATCAGAAGGCCGTTTGTTCTCATGTTACTTCGGATTTAAGGTTACAAAAATCCACCTTCACTGCTTTCCAATGCCTAAAGGTAAGTTCAGAGTTTTGATGAACAGTACTAGTTGAAAGCCAATCGAACATTAATCATCCGTGAATGCTTTGTCAGCTTACAGTGTTTATTAGTTTTCGCTTTGTGTATTGTAAACCTGTAAAGTTTTAAGTCAATTTCGACTTTAGTTTCGTTGTTAGTTTGCTTGAGGTAATCCGGCGGATATCGCGGCTCAACGCGCTAATTTTTCCTCCATTTTGTCGCCTTCAAAGTTGAAAAACAAACCTTGCGAAGTCACGAAACTTTTCGCGGCAGAATCGTTATCACACAATACCAAGTGATACTTCGAGAATTGTACTTAAAATTGTATGCTCAAGTGTGTAATGGACCGACCGCCCGAGCACAAAAAGTATCGACAAGTTTTCATGAGACGCCAAAATGTTATTAATATTTCGATCGTCTTGTTCGATTAAAGCTTGATCTTTGATGCCTGAAAATTATCATAACTGTTAATGGTGAAACTTTTTACGAAGTAATTGCTTCTCGCGTCCGTGAAACTTTTCTTGTAATCCAAATACTTATCAGGTAAACAAATTTTGCTTTGCCGAGTGGTTGCCATCTTGGCAAGATCTATAGTAAGCCACCTACCCCCTTATCGTCGTAATGTGCTGGCGACAGAGCTAGGTTTTGCATCGCCTGAAGATCTTGAAAATGTGATATAGACATCTCCTTAGCCTGTTAGGGTTTACCGGGTCAATGACCGCTTTCTCTTTACCAGCTCTAGCAATCGAGATGTTGCTGCTGTGACCGTTCCGCTGTAGCGCACGAAGGGTAAATTGCCGCGACTCAAGAGGCGATTGGGTGGCTTGATTCAAGGCCCTGCTGGGTCCTGTCGAATCCCCGTTCAGAGCGCGAGTGAACTCTTGTGAGGGAAATGCTTTCAGACGGACGTATATCGTTCACTGCGGCTATACATTCGTTTCCTGTACAATCACTGATGAAGCCCATTTTTATGTGGTTTGGTTTCTGTGTTTTCGAGGAGGGATTTGGCACACCTGGTCAAAACATTTTTTTTTTTTTTTTGCCCTCTATGAGTCTTGAACTTTGTATTTTTGTTGACTACAGAAAAACATGTTTCTTTTCAAGCATTAAACAAGATATATTACTTAAGCTGTTGGTAATTTTCACTCTCGTAAACACTTTTTGCTGATAGCCCTTCAAGCGAACTCGAAAACCGCAATTGGGAGTAAGGGCCCATTGACAAATCATGGCCAAGGGAGTCGAGTGTCTCCCGCTAATGATCATAAAATTTTATTTTTGTTGAGACTAGGATCTATTTGTTTGAATTCCTAGAATTATTTTCAAAGAACTGTTGATTAATTGTGGGCATGCAAAACAAAAATTGTCACACAAGTTCAGGTAGAACTTAATTTCCAATACAAAAACGCAAGCTTTACACAAGGATCACCTTACAAGAAGGAAATTCATGTTTTGATGTTTTCAAAGGTTAATAACAGAGGGGCTTGAATTTAGGGTTAGATTAAGGAAACATTCAATCAAAAAAGTCCTCGAATAAGTAAAGAAGGGGCATGTTTCTACACGAAAAGCAACTGAAATTGGGCATGAAAACTTGAAAAAGACGAAGCAAAGTCTAAATGCCAAACTTCCGTAAAATGTTGGTGTACATGTGAATTATTATTGACCAGATATAGTCTACATCTCAACAATATCAATGGTTTATTTTAGCCGTTTCAGAGTTTTAACAGTTATCATTTTTTGAAAAGAACAACTAATACTGGGCTGGTATCATCTCATTCTCGTTATGATTTTGGATTTCACTGAGTTAGCGTGTGGTTTAGACTAGCAAGCTTTAATCCTCCCGACAACAGCGAAGAGATATTTCAGTGAATGGTTTCTTATCGAAAACACTTTACCTCCCCGAGAGCTATGCACTGGTAGTAGTTGGTGTGATTAATTTATATATTAAAAACTACGTTTGACCAGTGATTCTGTTTCCTTGTTGTGAACCTTCGCAGGTCGAGTGTGTCTCGTTTAATTTCAAAGCATTATACATCATTTGTTTTTACGTGTAAGGCAAAAATTTCAAGGAAACTAATATATTTAGGCAGCGTTTAGATGTTTGAAAATCTACGGCTTTCATGTTTCGCCAAACTTTTTCGACAAAGGAAATTCATGGCCAGTTCACGAGGTGTCGGATTTACACCCAGAAAATTTCATATTAAATTGAAGTGTACTTGTAAATTGAAAAAACAAGTCTCAAAGAGATGATTCTACATTGCCACAACTGTTCGGCTAAAAGCACTTGAAAAACTTCCGTCGTGTTGAGGTACAACGTTTGGATCATGTTTCTTGATAAAAAAAAATCGAAAACAAAACAAGTGGATGTGTATTTAGCTGTTCACCACGTGCACAAGAACAACACCCCGATTGTTTTCATCACCCATGGACGCCAGTCTGTTACACGTAGAAAACTCAGGCGCCAATATTTTCTTTAATTCCATGATAAAATTTTGATTTCTCGCCTTCCTAAATCACGTTTGACCCATATCACTCAGCCCTAGAGCAGAGGCGACGACGCCAACACAAATGTTATTTATTTTTGCAAGAACGACTTAGTCTCGTTTTAGTTTACTTTAAAAATAGGATCACGATACCCCAAACCATAAGAAATTTAAAAGTAACGGAGACTGCAGTCTATCAATATGAATAGCACTCAGCCCTCTTCAGTGAACAGAGCCGTCAAAATGGTTTTTTGTTGCAAAATATCGCGGCGCGTTTAACGGATTAGGTATTCAGTCTCCTCTTCTTGAAGCGTTCATAGAATGCAGAATGTTCCTATTAGAAAGAACAATTGTTGAAATTATTGTTTTATCAAAATTTATAAGAATCTCCACGGTGGTCTTTTTCTGATAATGCTGAATCAATGCCTTGCTTTTCAAAGTTCATTCTGTGGCAATGTGACAAAGAAAACAATAAACCCACATGTCAGAGTATTATTTCAGTCATAATTTTAAGGAATTTCAATATTTTTTTGTTTACGTTTTTGTCGTTTTGCCTGAAAAATGTCTCATGACATTTTTCGGGCAAAAAAATAAAATAAGATATAAAAAGGAAGGGAAAAAATCGTTTGTACTCTTATCAACAGATTTTACTTTGTTCGATAGATAAGTGAACCACTTCTAGCTTCCTCTTTCTGTTGAAGCGGCAAATGAGACAACTTTGAGTTTCTTATGTCAAGCGAGCTAACATCAGCTAGCTCCTGCTGCTGTTTCACCGTTTCCCTTTCATTCGTTTAGTAGTGGTCAAAATTTTTCACTAGAGATCAAAATAGTCTTCGTTAAAGGGCGTACTGTACATGAACATTAAAGAGAAAGGTCTTTGAATACCGTCGAATGTAAATCGTCCACAGAGGCCTTTCCTGTTTGAAACATTCTTAGCCAAGTTTTGAGGGACAATCAAATTAGAGAACGCGGTGAAAAAAATTCAAAACAAAAATAGACTCTCATGAATTCCAAATTCTTTTTGTTTTGTTTTCGGTAGGAAACACTTGTAAATATTCTACTGTTAACTTAAGGTGAAAATAGTTTGCCGGATTGATTTTGGTATTCAAGCTGTAAGTCCAAAACCCAAATACATAAATATTATCACAAGTCTAACTTTAATAACGTTTTCTCGGGAAACTGGAGTTTTGAAGACAGGTTTTGATATGAATTTTCTCTGTCTTAATAGCCGGTCAGTATCAAAGGAAAGTTTTACAAGAATGAGAAAGAAAAACTGGTTTCCTCTGAGTATTAAACTTTTTTTCGGTGGATCAGTTCTCTGGCTGAGAGGAGCAGTGTTGCCCCTTATAAATGATATGATCAAAAAGTGCATTTTACAACATCAAAACAAGGCAAAGTTTGAATATTTTCCGATAGATCAGCGATCTCTATAAAGAACAAAAAAAAACAGCTGATACGCCTCTGGAACTTTGACAAGCGCTACCAATGCCAGCCAAGTGATTTTTTTCCTGACAAAGTTTATAATGCTCACCAATGTCAAAGAGTGAACATGCAAGGAAACCAGAGCGTAATTAATATTTGAGGAGGGAAGTTTTCTTTTGGTTTTTCAGTCTTGTCCAGATTCAAAGGATACTGACTGCAGGTGATTTAAATGGAGATAAATACCACTGACTGTAGAATGATAGTTTATTGAATTTTTGAAGTTGTGAAAGCGCTGCTCTGCACAGAAGAAATGTCAACAGTGCCATGAGTGTTATTCCTCTTTTCCTAGTATGAATGTTTGTTTACCTCTACATTCATGCAAAAAGAGAGAAATTCAGTTCTGATTTGTTTATCCCTAACTGTAAACAGTGGTTTTTTTTCATCCGTCTTTTCACTTCAAGTCTTAGCGTAAAAAACACTTACGTCTTACGACGACAGAGAAAAAATTTCCAAGCCCCAATCGAAATAGGCTTTTTTTTTCAGGCAGAAAGCCGAAAATGTACAACTAGGTATAAATAACTTAAGTATGGTTTTATGTTTTATTTTCAGCAACTGCTTGCTGCCATCAAGAGCCGAGGAAACAGGCCAGCTCATCAAAAACGATGACATTTGAATCACACATTAGGATCACAACGAAAAAGCTACTTGACATCCATAAAACCAACACAGTCAGAAAGCGTCTGAATTGAATCGAATAATAAAGTTTAAAATAAAGCCTAGAATTGCGCTGAATGGTTTGATAAAACTGTAGATTTGCTTTCTAGAATTAGCTGAAAAAAGGGCCGAAACTTCAGGAGGGGAATGTTCGGTTTGGCACCGAGAAACAAGGATCAATTACTGTGTTTTACGGCGTCATGTGCATTATAAGCTAAAAAGGGTTTCTATAGCTCAAAGTCAAGTGTCGACCAAATTGAATTCAAACGCCCTTTCTTGGAGTGAATCTTGATGAGCAATTCTGATCAATTCCGTTTACTGCCTTCAAAGATGAGCAGGAACAGACATAATCGTTGATAACGCCTCGAAAATTGCAAATTATCAACATCTAAGTTACTTTGGCTTTTGTCTTTGCCTACCACAAGCGGATTAACATGAGTTCCTGAATTTTTAAAACCAACATTTTAAACAGAAATCTACAGTAAGCTGAAGAATTGAATCTTTGGCACAGATTTGGAAACCAAAACTGAGCCTAAGCGCTTGTGGGCGAAAACTTTGTGTTAAGTGCTAAAGAACAGAATGCATAAGTTTCTCCTCCCTGACCATATTCACTAATTCCCTAAAGCGTTAAATGTCAAACACCAGACCCCGAAAAAGTTATTACAGCGACAACATCTAGATTAATAAGAAAGTGATGCAAATTTTTATTTCATGGTCATCTCCATGGTCATATCCATTTAATAAATAGAAGGCTGAGCCCTTTCAGCCGACTTTAAATTTATAAATATATGGCCTGCCTCTAGAATTGTGCAAGCGTTTGACGCAGTATAATCCATTGTATCATGTCAGATTAGTAACTGTGGTCGTGAAGAATGATGTCGATATGCAAACCGATTTTTTCCCACAGCCACAAGCGGCTAAAAAAACAACAGGCAGCTACATCGAACGGAACCTGGAAGTTTTAACACAGATTATCGCAAAAGATCATCGCTTAGCACGGCAACACTCAGCTTGGGATTTAGCAAAATTAAATGAGATGCGAAATTTGACATCAATCAAGTGGAAGTGACGCGATATTTCAAAAAAATTAATAAACTTAGCATAAACAATTTCATGGAAAGCAGAAGTTTATTTCAACTGATGAAGTACTCGATACAGAGGAAATCAATAGGGTTACTCGAGTTTGCTCCGCCCTGAGCCACGTTATGACTACGCTCTGCACCATCTGGCAGAAACCGCAACAGCCGTGGCTGAGATCATCGTTGTGAATTTTCATTGTTTCTCGTGCAATAGAAAAAAAAATAAACGATTAGGTAATAAATAGGTAGTTGCTTGGCGATGAGATAACAGTCACGTTTTAAAAAGACGCTTTTGAAAAACGAAATGGACTAAAATAACATAACTCGTGGGCTTTGTATGAATAAATTTGACACATAAAAAGTTCCGTGAGTTTGAAATTTGTACAGCTTAGCCCGTTTGGCTCGCAATCAATTCCTTTGTCGCTCAATTTGTTTAGCAGACAATGAAGACATCAAAACAAGCTGGGGTTTCGGATTCCTTAAAAGATACTCAAATGTTTTTGTTTTTCACTCTCCTCTTCAGAACATCGGCGCGTTGAATCCATGCTAAGGATTACTTAGATACGGGAGAATCGGAATTTTTTTCTTTGTTCTTCGTTCAAGGCAAGCTGAATTACATCTCGTTTAAGCTCTCTTTAGTTTTTGTGAGACTCCTTCTAACACCTTATGTCGAGACCGTCGCATTCCAGATGTTGGTATGATCGATGCTTCACAATTTTGATCCACTTTTCAACCGTTACCTCATTAGAAACTTCTCATTTCCACCCACAGACGACTAATGAAACACATCATTAATCTTTCTTAAGATGGATTAAACACAAGGCTTTGTTTTTTCATCCAAAGAATTTTACCGTTGGTAACATATTTCAGTCGATTGTTGAAAGTTTAGAAATGTGGCCAGCACATTGTTTTATTGCCTCGGCTATTAATTAAGTTTTATATCTTGGGGACGTGTTGTGTCTGGGTTGTAATGAAAATGATAATTTGTAAACTGAAAAAATGGCCCACACGTTTCCTATTATCAAACGTCTCAATCGTATGATTCAGTTTCTCGTCTGAGGTTGTACTGTTAGAGTAAAAACCAAACTGTCGGAACCATGTTCAGTTTTACGTAAGGCCCAGAGAAACGATCGGCCAATTTTTTTTTCCTGATTGGAAAACGCCTGTCTACATTACGAAATGAAATTCGCCGTCCATTACAGCCTCAGTCCGCGGTTTTATACTCAAGTAGCACTGAAAGTGTCGCGCATTATCATGGCATACAATCATATCTCTATGGTTCATAAGCTATAGGTAAGCTGGGGATAAAAGTGAAAACATATTGAGTATATTTTTTTTCACGAAATTTGGTTTGGTATTTTTTTTTTCATTTTCTTAAGTTAAGTTTATCCCTTTTCCTTCTCCAAATGCACTAGTCATCATATTATAGAGGAAAGATTGTAGCTCCGCTCTCATATCACCCCAATGCTCCTGATCATTTGATGCTAAAAGAACCGTGACTGGTTCTGATATTTAGGGACGATACCCGTGGAAGGTAACTCGAACCCGATGTGTATTTTAATAAAACTTTCAAACTTTGGAACAAGGAACATAGTTCAAATAAAAGAGCTTAAAGTAGCAAGGAACTGGCCATCGCCAGTTTTCCAAGGCTATAACTGTCTTTGCGCCCTGGGTTATATTTGAAAAGGATATTCTGCTAATCGGAAGGCGGCAGCAATGAAAATAAATTCCCCCTGTAACATTTAATATTAACTAACGGCCTCGTGAGTTCGTGAGCATTAGTTCTGCGAATTAGCGCATTCTACGTACGATAAAGTAAACTTGACTGCACTAGCACAAGAATGGATAGGAGTTTTACTGGAACAAGAAGAGTTTTTCCCTCTCCTATACCTTTTTTAACCCGGATTGAAATCTCAACTCGTGAGATCTCAACCCTCCGCAATACCTCGACCACGAAAAAATTACCCGTCATGTCTTACCGGCGAATCCACTGTAGGAATTCAGAACCCCCAAACCAACTCACCCCTCCCCCTACCCCCTTCGTGACAAAACGCGTGATTTGAAAGTGACAATCTTGGCTACGAAATCTTGTTCCGAAGGTTCTCTTCCCCCCAAATGCATGAAAGGCGGCGCTCAAACCACGTGTGAACTTATGCGATTTTCCTATCAGTTAATTATGAAAAATAGGAAAAGATATCCTGCTGCAGACCATGGGAAGGGAGGGAGGAACTGCAGTTGTGGTTGACCCTCTCCATAATAGTATGACACATTACACCACTAATACACTGAGCCGTGTATTTCTCGTCGAATGTGAGTACAATTTGAAGGGAAAGAAAACACAGTGAACCTTCATTGATGTGACACTTATTGGAATACATGTAGCAACAGCTAATGGGAGTCCTGATAAAGTGAAGAACTAAAGTAAAAAAACTAACTGGAGCTCCAATTTTTTAGGCTTGGCTAAATCTGTGTATCACAAACAATTTGATTGGTTCTTTCTTATAATCTATTGGAGGACAAACCCATAGATGACGTAGCAACACTTTGCTTTTTTATCATATATAACAAGTAGATTCCATATTGCCGTGGGTATGTACAATAATAGATCACAGAAGACGTTACGAGGCGTAGCTGAGTGTGTCACTGATGTACAATAGTGTCCTAAGAGTACCATAAGAGAAGCTCTCCATTACGCGATTTCTATGTATGATGCGCTAATTTGAGTCTCTAAGTTCACACAGTGAGTATAAATTTCAGTCTTCATCGAAGTTTCTACCAACATCTATGATTATTAATTAATTATTAGGTAAGGTGAATTGGAATTACCTTCTCCTCATATCTTCTGAAATGTGAAGATCCCCTTGACGAAAACTGCTGCTGAAAGAGCTGAAAAAACTCATTATCCAGCCGATTACGGCACTTTGGTAACGGGCGGGGAAGGTCTTTGTAATAATGGAACACCTCTGTCGGGCAGGTGGGAGGAACGTTCAGGAACATCGTGCAGTAAACCACTTATCTTCCGACTGCAAATGAAAAAAGTGATAAAATAAATCTATAAGGTACGTAAGTGAAGATCCATAACTTTAGACACTACAATTCCACTAAAATAATATAAACAACCCCTTCGTCTTCAACAAGGATCATTTAAAATGTCCCTAAAGCATTGATAAATATTCGCTCGTACGTAGGTTTGCCATACTCTAAAATGACTTAAAGCGTTCTTTCCATTCTGTACTCAGTTACTTCCCAGGCAAAAACTTAGTTGTTTTGACACGAAAAATCACATGAAAGGCGTATGTTCGTCGAATTTAGGCTACTCCTGAATGGAATGGTGAAAAATGCTCGCCATGATAGTAAGGATTTTCCGGTCAGTTAGCGACATTCTTATTAGCCAGTGTGATAGATGGCTTCAACATTGATTTGTTTCGCTCCTGACTTTCTGCTGAAGTCCTCTGTGAGAGTCAATCCTTAGAACATATCAGTTAAAACAACTGAGAACCTGGTGAGGTTGATCGTTTGTAGTGATGAGATGTTAAGCTGTTTTTGAACTTCAATGGCCTCTGCTACGTTATAAACAGGAGCAAGAAATGTGCTCGGCGATGGTCACGTATTTCATTAATAGAGTTATATTGGACTTTCTTAATAACAGGTGCCAGGCGAGATATTGGTCTTGCACGACGTTGTTTCAAAAAAGGAAAGGCTTCAAGAACTGTTTCTAATAGCTAAAGCACATTAAGACAAAGCAATGAGGAAACAATACCAAACAAATCAAGCTCGGTAATTAATCACATTTCGTTCAGTGATACTTGAGGCGCATTGACCCATTCAGCAGTAAGAAGATGAACCTCTGAAGCTAGCATTGAAAATATCACTCAGTTGAGTGTAGCTGTATGATTTTTTTTTTTAAGATTAAGAATGTTTAGAAATGTTATTTCAATAACAGTGAGAACTTCTACATGTTGTGGAAACATTTAGCATTCTCTTAATGGAAATATTTTTAGCATCATTTCTTAAGTAAACTTCAAACAACTGAGACATAGGTGAGTACTCTATATGAATTGCTGTTAGATAAAGAGGTTTGGAAACGCTGTTTCCATAATTGTGAAAATTTCTGTCTCCGGTGAAAACATACAGCATTTTCTCGATGAAAACTGAGACTTAAACGAAGCAATCTGCATTACTTTTTTTTTCCAGGCTACGAGCATTTGGAAACGTTGTTTTGTCTTATGTGGAGACATTAAGCATTTTCTTTATGGAATATGCAATACTTCTGGTATAAATTTGAAACAACTGCGGATTCTTCCATAAATTATAATAAAAGAGAAAATTTTACTTTCAGTTGCTCTGCCAATTTAGTAGCCTCTGCAAAATATGCAGCTATAAAAAGAAAAAGTTTGAATCTCACCAATGCGAACTGTTCTACTAACTCCACCTGAGTAACAAGTAACCGTCCAAAGTGAAGACTAAACTGCTGTCCATTGAAAGTAGCTATATAACGCAAAAATTAATTGATTCTCGTAAGAAAACCGAAATACTGTTCGATCTCTACTGTCCATTTCAGCTATGACTTGGAAGCCGTCGAAGCGAAGCGATTGCGAAGCGATTGCGAAGCGATTGCGAAGCGAATCAACTAATGTTTTGCACTTGATGCGCCAGGCCAAGGCAAGGACGTTTCAAGTTTTCGATTTCAGGAGCTAATTATCCCAATTCTAAACCGTACTTAGTCTCTCTTGTTTAAAAAAATTCGTAGCTCCTCAGTATTTTGTAGCCTCGGGAAGGGATCATCATAACTAAAAACAATTCCTAGAATTCAAAAAATAACAGAAACTATCCACCTATTGAGAGATATGTATTAAAACCAACAAATTAGGGAAGACATCCTTTCCATCAGGTAAAGGCAGCCATCATGTGAAAAGCAAAGCCTTGAATTCTTTTTCTGTAATGAGGATCCCGAGAACCTCCACCACTTCTCATGGAGCTGCTCGAAGACGAAATGTTTTTGGGAAAGACTAGTCCTGTGGCAAAACACCGTAAAACTTTACCTGATAACTGTTATAGAAAATACTAAACTGATAGGACTTACGGAGATCAGATTCATCTCAATCTACATGTCAACTCGACTTTTGGTTTCTCATAGTTATAGATATTATATCTACCTCTGCTAAACAAAAGAATCTGTTCCTAAGCTTAGAGGACAAATTTTATCAGTTTTGTAGGTTGAGAAGAAAGAGAGGTGTTTTAAAAAACCTTCCACATTGTCACCAAGTATATCACTGTACTTCAGTTGGCCGTTTCGCAAATGAAATTCAGGGTCTCTTGTAAGGTTTAAAAAATCTCTTTTAAAAAGCTAATATTCACGTTACAAAAATTCCTATCCTCTTTTGTTTCTTAAAGATTTCATTGTTTTGTAGCAAATGTTAACGAAAGCATCTTTACTCACCGAATTCGCTTGATGCTTTTCCTTTCCAAAATACTTATGGAAGTTATGTCCGTTCACCACTTAAAATTTTCCGTTTATCTTCCAAAAATTACCTATATCACGGAAACTAGGGGAGAGACTTTTACCAACAATGCTTTCGCCTCAAATATTTTTTCCAGCGATTAGGGTTCCTTACGCAGATGATCTACATGAACGATTCATTAGGTGTGGCTGAAAAAATTATCAATACTTAATGTTGTTTTTAAAGTTGGTGGCCATGGCACCCAAGAGACGTTAATGGTTTGACTCTACGGGAGATTCTTACTTGCGTCATTCCGCCCACTTAGAAAAAAGAACTGCCGAGCCACTTCTCAAACAAAGTCTTAAAATTCTGTTGACAGCCTAGAGTCTTTCAAGGCTCTGTCTCGAGCAGGGGGCTTTCCGCATCAGCCATCTCGTCCACCTTGGTGTTACTGAATTTGAGTTGCGCTAAACTAATGATAAGCTACTGTTTGACACTTCTGCCCTTTTGAATGTCCTTAAGTTTTCGTTTTCGCTTTAAATTTTTTACATCTCCCACAGTAAGCCTTTCTCTTTATTCTAGATGATAACGACAAGGCCAGGCGATTGAGAACACGACACGTAACACCTTTTACACCAATGCTTTGTTTTAAAGCTGTTTTGTTAAACACGGTTTAAAATTGTTTTCTTTATGGAAGTTGCCCCAAGATCTTTAGTTACTGCTGTAAGCATATGAATTGCGAGGTGTGTATTATAACTGCAGTTGAAGTTAAAGCCGGAAACTTTGGTCTTTTGTCTTCAATTCTGTATTGTTCAATCCAATTAAACTTCTGATTTTCTTGTTACAAAAGCTTCAAGATGGGATTTATTTAGTGGTGACAATCGTAAGCCGTATTCGACATGACGGAATTGGTAGCTGGTCGAAAGGTGAAAGTTTAATTAAAATGCAGTGCGTTGAAGAGGGGCTTGCAGACACTCGGCGCCTACTTTTTTGCATGAGAAAGGTGGCGCTTTTGTGAACATAGCTATATTTAGCCTCCATGCGCCCACAACTTCTCACGGCACCAGAAGATTGGCCCACCAGTAATTGCATTCAAAGGTGGTTTCCTTCTATTTTTGTCACGCTCAGAGAAACACGAAAATTAACATACCAGCACTTAAAAGGAGATAATTTTATGCTGTGACAGTGCTTGAAAAAGGTACTGAAATCCATTTTAACATGAGAATGATTCGCGCCGTTAGGACTTAGTGAAATGGACTGCAAAAACTTGACTTCAATATCATACTTGGAGAGAACATTTGGCTCAGTAAAGTCATCTTACATGTATCAGAATTTTCCTTTTCTGAAAAAAACTTTGCTTCGAAAGAGTTCTTAAATTCTTTATGAAATCTTTGCGACTATTTTTTTCTAGCACTTGATGTGGGGGGCATTTACAAAGAATTTCTAATGTCGCTTTGCAAAATATATATATATACCAGAGGAACCGGTGAAAGCCCTTCTAAATGTCATCAGCGTATGCGATTCAGAGGCCGAATTGTAACCGTTGTACAAATAGGGAAAAAATTCTTCGCTAGGTTATAAATCCATGTTGAACACATGGTACCGGTATATCGTCTACGAAAGAGAGCTGTAGTTCGAATTATCAAACTGGCGTGCTCCTAGCCTTGTCATTACTATACAATTCTGCTCTGTTGGGTTGCTAAAATATTTAGGCCGTCGCTAATCGCATGAATGCTCGATTGAATCCCACCAACAGGAGGGGCCGATTTTCAAAACATGTAATACACTCTTTTATTTTTCACAAAAAAAGTCTTGTGACGAAGGACGAAAGAATGTGTAGGTTGTATAAGATGTTCATCTCATAAATCAAATTTGTAACGCACAGTGGATAACATCGCTTAGACGATAAACATCCCATTTTGCTGTGTACTCGTCTTTTAAAAAATTGAACGCCCATTTCAAAAACATTGCGTTGAAAATCAGTAGCATAATGGTAACCTCTACGCTATAAAACATAGCTTTGGTTTCAATTTGACGTAGTTCTGCCCAAGAATGTACAATTCTATTAATAAGCTATTCAAAAGTCACGATAATTTTAGGTTTTTCCGCATGCATTTCTAAGAGACAGAGCCAAGAAAAAGGAAATTCTAAAGGAAATCTATATACAAACATGGGAATTTATAGGGTGGTGGCTACTAACGTCACGTTTCAAAGAAAATCCTTGGAAAGTTTCGTTGCCGGCCTCTGTAACTTACAGAATAAATGTATCTTTTTGTAAAACTGGCAATTTAAGGCCATAAGATGCCGAAGTGATCTGGAGGTAAACTCAAAAGTGTATTCAGGCTGAAAATGCAGAACTTGAACTATCTCGCATTATACATATATAAAATATCTAAGGGCGTTTAGCTTAAGGAACTCGTTACAATAATTCAACTGACACATGTTCATTAAATCTGTGGATGAATGTTCGCATGAGAGCATCTTGAAATTTCAAAGATTTAGGTCGGGCTTCAAGACTCTAGAATCATTTGAAATCAAATCTTTTCTCAGAATCTC